TGTTATTTAATTGATGATTTATAAATACACATTGATGACATACCAAAATGGCAAAATCAAACAAAATGTGCTGTAGTTAAAAACCCTCTCATTATATAAAATTTTTAAAAATATACAGTATCTCAACAATTTTAAATCTATACTACCAAACCGATGGTGGGGCTACTCACTGGAGAAGGGGAGAATGCGCACAAGAGTTAATGAAATCAATAATTAAAGGAGAATGCGAGAATATGCAAAAGCAAACAAAGTTATTAAACATAAAAAATTACATGCAATATTAAAATTCTCTAGAGATGTTTCATTCCTACCAACCAGAGCAGCTTGTCTGCTTGAGCAGGATAGAATCAACACGATGAAACCTTGCATCAAACTCGGCCTGATGGGTCTACACAACTTCAGAATCATCGACTTAATTTGGATGCTAAAACATTCGTTGATGTTTGTATATATCTCGTCAGTCCTCTAAGACCTGTTCTCCTAGCTTCGGTTGCTTTTCACGAGCAAATGATCAAGCCTCGTGCTTTGTAAAAAAGAAGTCCATATATAGACCATACTGATTGAACTTCTCTTCAAGTGATTAAGAAGTATTGGACTCCTCTTCAAATGAGTTGGTAGAGTCTATGAGCCATTAGCTACTTGGTTTGATGCTGTTTATGCAAGGCGCCCAGGGCAATAAGAACTATTTTCACTGTTCCTTCTGTTCCATGGAAATTGCTACTTAAGTTTAATTACCACCACTGTTCCCTTCTACTAATGTCATTAGAGTAGGAAATGAAGAGAGCATGGGGTAAGATTGGATCTCTACAGAACTTTTGTGGCCCTTTTCCGTTGCCCCTTTCTTTTTGTTGAAAAAAAAGGAAGTTCCTTGATTACTCTAGTGTTGCTTTTTTTAGCCTTATCCTATATACTCTACGTATATTTGGGCTTTTAACAATTTCCATATATAGTTTTACCCCAAGAAGAGCAAAGAATATATCAAACTTCACACCCTTTTGTTCACTTCACTCTTTATTCTATTCTGTGAGATGTGATATATGTATATATATATGTATATATATATATATATACGTGTGTGTGATTTTATGTGGTTTAAATAAAAAGTAACACAAAAGTAAATGACAGAATCCATAAAATTCTATGGCATGAGTGGAAGTAAATATAAGAATCAAATCAAAGTAGCGAACAAAACATGTTCTAGGTTTTGCTTCCATGATTAGTTCATCCTATGCAGTTTGTTTGTTTTTTTTGTTTGTTAAAGTGTAGTTTTTATTGAGTACAGTATATTCCTATAAGAGAAGGCTTACACTTTAATAGTACAAGGCTTATATATACATATATATTAGTAGAAACGACATTCACGAGGACGGGAACAGATAGCTAAAATCAGTATCTTGTATAATAAGCAACCAAAAAGAAAAGCAGAAGAAGAAAGAAACAAGATTTGTAATTTATATTCTTGTAGATAAATGTAATTTAATTGTTGGAGAAGCAAAGAAGTTGATTCTCAGTTTCTAATAGTAAGTAAGGGGGGAAAATCGAGTATTTAAGGCAAACCTCACGGTACCGTCACATAACACCAATCAGAACTCTCACGCTTCTCTTCACAGCAAGAAAATTATCAATGGAGTCGCTGATCAAGTCACAGCACGCACAGAAACTGGCTGGTCACAGCGGTAAAACTCCGGCGACGGAGATGATACCGGCGACGACGGGACTGACGATGTCATCGGACGAAAGCATGATGCTGAAACTGATCCAACACACTCACTCCCCTGATGCTCGCGAAGTCCAAGTGCGTGGCCTTCTCTCTCTCGTCGAGGACATCCTCGATCGTGCCACTCTTAACTCCGACGACTCCAACTCCTCCGTTAGTATTCAAATGCCTGCATTTCATTCTTGATAATTAAGACGTATGACATATACATAATGAAACTTTTGATCAATTCGCAGATGCTTCCATTGCCAACGGAGGATAAACTGATGCAATCAAGCGTGATGAGCGTTCTTGATAACGTCTCCTATGCTATCGATCGCGTCGGCTGCGAGGTATAGCCAAGTTCTGGACTCTACCCCTCTTGTTAAAATTGTATTACACGTAACAACCGAAACCCGATTTACGACCTAACTTGTACAGCAGGCAACATTATGATGTGTCTAATTAATTTGCTTGCATTGTTTCTTTATTGTTTTTTCTTTTCCTTCCAGATAGCCTACAAGTCTCTGACGGGATCAGACGCACACGAGATAACAATGTCTGTGTTTGAACACCTATCTAGCTTCCACTGGGACGGCAAGCTAGTCCTGACTCTAGCTGCCTTCGCGTTGAACTACGGAGAGTTCTGGCTTCTGGTCCAGTTCTACTCAAAGAACCAGCTCGCTAAGTCCCTAGCTATGCTGAAGCTCGTCCCTGTTCAGAACAGAGTCACCCTCGAGTCTGTGTCCCAGGGGCTCAACGATCTCATCCAAGAGATGAAGAGCGTCACCGCGTGTGTAGTGGAACTCAGCGAGTTACCTGATCGGTACATTTCACTGGAAGATCCTCAGCTGTCGAGAATCGTCTCTACAATCCCAATTGCTGTCTATTGGACCATAAGAAGCATCGTGGCTTGCATTTCTCAGATCAACATGATCACTGCCATGGGACACGAGTACGATATATATGACTCTTTACTTTGGTTTATTATTCCTCTGAACTGCGTCTTCAAGATCACCCGCCAACTATATATCTTTGATTTTACCAGGATGATGAACACCCAAATGGATTCATGGGAAACATCGATGTTAGCTAACAAGCTCAAGAACATTCATGACCATCTCTCTGAGACCTTGAGACTTTGTTACCGTCACATAGGTTTGTGGCCTGTCTCAATATTCAACAGATTCATCTCTCTGTTTTCTTTCTTTTCTGGCAAATTAGACTAAGAGTGGACGATTTCGCAGAGAAGCAGAGGAGCTCAGAATCCTTAAAGATGCTGCATTCTCTATTCGACACCACTCACATTGATAACATGAAGATTCTCACGGCCTTGATTCATCCGAAAAACCACACCACCCCATTGCAAGATGGTTTGACCAAGAGAAAGGTTTCTGTATATATTACATCAACTTTCAAGTTGATCCATGCATGTAATGTGAAACTGCTCATAAATATATATAAAGAAAATCTACTATGAATCTTGCAGGTTCACTTGGATGTGTTGAGGAGGAAGACAGTGTTGCTGCTCATCTCTGACCTCAACATATTGCAAGACGAGCTATCAATTTTCGAGCAAATCTACACAGAGTCTAGGAGGAACTTGTTGGGAATGGATGGAAAGAGCCATATGCCTTACGAGGTTGTGTGGGTTCCCATCGTGGATCCTATAGAAGATTTCGAAAGATCTCCGATTCTACAGAAGAGATTTGAGGCTCTCCGTGCACCAATGCCATGGTATTGATCATGCACTATCATCTATATATGTATATATAACATTCAAATTCAAAAGACATATATATTATTGTACTGTATAAGCAAACTTGTTTGGAACGAACGAGAAATTGAATAAATATATATACGTACCTATTGTCTTTGGGTGGTCAGGTACACAGTGGATAGTCCGAAGCTGATAGAGAGACATGTGGTGGAGTTTATGAGAGAGAGATGGCATTTCATGAACAAGCCCATACTTGTAGTGATTGACCCACAAGGCAATGAGGCTAGTCTCAATGCGCTTCACATGATCTGGATTTGGGGAACTGAAGCTTTCCCTTTCACTAGATCTCGTGAGGAAGAGCTCTGGAGGAGAGAGACTTTTTCCCTTAACCTCATCGTCGACGGCATCGACTCTGTCATTTTCAACTGGGTACGTGCAGTGCATATAAATTCTTCTTCTTGTGATTTCTTGTATTATTTGTGCCCTAGCTAGCTAGATTCATTCAAATTTATAACTATATATATATATATAATACAGATAAACCCGGATAATTACATTTTCTTGTACGGAGGAGATGACTTGGACTGGATAAGGAGATTCACTATGGCGGCCAAAGCAACGGCCAAAGATTCCAACGTGAAGCTGGAGATGGCTTATGTCGGAAAACGAAACCACAGCCACAGGGAACAGATCAGGCGGATCAGTGAAGCGGTCAGTGCTGAAAATCTGAGCCATAGCTGGACCGAGCCTGCCTTAATGTGGTTCTTCTGGGCTAGGCTCGAGAGCATGTTGTACTCCAAGATTCAACTCGGTAAAGCCGATGATCACGACGAGGTACCTACATATATATACATATATTAAACAGATGGTACGTAGACTACTAGTAGCCTGCCTAGGGTTTGTTTTCAAGTTTTCTTATCTATCCATGAATTAATTAGGTGATGCAAGGAATCAAGAAGATACTGAGCTACGACAAGCTTGGAGGATGGGCTCTGCTGAGCAAAGGGCCTGAGATAGTGATGATCGTTCACGGTGCCATAGAGAGGACCGTGAGCGTTTACGATCGAACCTGGAAAACCCACGTCCCCACCAAAGGCTACACCAAAGCAATGTACGACCACCACCACGACGAGGTTCTCCGAGAGACCGGGAAACCATGCGGCCACTTTGATTTCCACATCACTGCTCGGAGCGGTCGGATCCCGGACAAGATGAACTGCTTCGAGTGCCACCGTCCCATGGAGAAGTACATGACCTTCTCTTGTTGTCACGATGATAAGCTCCTTGACCAAGACGAGAACTACAACTTCTAGATCCATGCCTCTACCATTACCCATGCATGTACCCGCGTGTCCCTCGCTCTCTCGCCTTCTTCTTCTTTTTTCTTTCTTTCTTTCTACTTAAATTTGAATTCTCATTTCCCTTATTTTATAATAATTTCAGTGTCTTTGTATACGAGAATTGGCCAGTCCATGTGTGGTTTGGCCTTTGTGGACATGTTTGATTGAAGTATTCCTAATAATTTTCAATAACAGAATTTTTTTTTTCTCTTTTATTATAAAACCGGATTTTGAAGCTGTCAAGATGGGTGAGTGAAGACCCACCACTTCAAAATAACTATTTGCTTATAATTCCCTCTTCATATAATGTTTCTAAATCCCTTTTTATTTAGAGATGGATCCTCACCAAGGACATTAACATTGAACAATACACCATTTTTATGCTTTCTACTTTTCTAATGTTTTATAATTTTAATTATTACTACTAACTTATAATATTCTCATATCATATTCTAATTTATTATTTGTCATTAATTGGGTTATCTTCTTATAAATGTTTTAACGTGTAGTAGTAGTTGATATCTCATTTTCTTGTCCATTGAATTATAGCATTTCAGTGGCCCTCATGTCGTCAATCTAATGTTTTATTTTCCTTGTTTTGAGCCATATCTTCACCTGTGGGCCATCTAATCATATTAATCTCAAATATTTTTTTTCTTAATTTCCAATAAAGCACGAATTGATACTGTAAATAATCTTAATCTTAATGTTTTTGTTTTTTTAGAAATGGTTATCTACTTATCTTGATCAGAAATGGTCTGTACTAGTTTTTATTATTCTAAGCATAGTATAGATATTGAAATGAATTACAGTACGTGAAATCTCAAAGATACAATAACCCAAAACCTAACCACTAACTAGATTGACATAGTCCACATTACATTGGTCAAAAAGTGTGAATCTTTTGCTAATTTTTAGCGTTGGAATTATGAAAAGAAACATAGAAGAACGTAAGCTATAGTTAGTAGTCTCGAGAGATTTAGAAAAGAAAAGAAAAAGCCACTTGTTATTATTGCTTAATACTCTCTCTCTCTCTCTCTTTGCGTTTCCAAGAAGAAGAAGAAGAAGAAAAAAAAGCTTCAATCTTTTTAATAAAGCAAAGGGGGGAATGCAATTGGTGTAGTGAGGAAGGAGATGGGAGGGGTGATTCGGTGGCGGCGAAGTTCGCCTTCTTCCCGCCGAGTCCGGCGTCATACAAGGTGGTCACCGACGAGCTCACCGGACTGTTGCTTATAGCACCATTCCCCCACCGAGAAAACGTGGAAATCCACAGGCTTCCGACCCGAAGAGGCACGGAGATCGTGGCCATGTACGTGAGGCACCCGATGGCAACCTCCACGCTCCTCTACTCCCATGGAAACGCCGCCGATCTGGGACAGATGTATGAGCTCTTCATCGAGCTTAGCATCCATCTCAAGGTTAATCTCATGGGGTATCTTCCTTCCTTCCTTGCACCTTTTTTTTTTTTTTTCTTTCTTTTTTTACATTTTTCGAAATTCGTTCTTTGAAAGATGTTTTCTTTCTGGGTTCTCTGCTTTCAGATCGGAATTGCCCTGATTTTAATGAATTGATTGCGATATGTTGCAGATACGATTACTCCGGGTATGGACAATCAAGTGGAAAGGTTTGTCCTTTATCGTCAATCTATCATTTGATTCCATTTTTTGAGTCTTTTAGGAGGACTAATGAAACCCCCTCCTCACTCAAGTCTTGTCTCTTGTGGGTGATTGAAGGCGAGCGAGCATAACACGTATGCTGATATCGAAGCTGTTTACAAGTGTCTAGAAGAAACCTACGGCTCTAAACAGGAAGATGTGATCCTCTACGGCCAGTCTGTAGGGAGCGGTCCGACATTAGATCTTGCTTCCCGGTTGCCTCACTTGAGAGCCGTCGTACTTCACAGCCCCATTCTCTCCGGTCTTAGAGTTATGTACGCCGTCAAGAAAACCTACTGGTTCGACATCTACAAGGTACAAACTTGCTCTATTGATTGCTTTCTTCCATGACATGAAAAGCCTTTTCGTAAACACTAGTTTCTTTTGCAGAATATCGACAAAATCCCATATGTGGATTGCCCGGTTCTCATTATTCATGTAAGCTAGTTAGGCTTTTTAATTTGAGTCTCATGTTCTTGTTTTTCAAACATTAGATTTTACTATATCATCATATAAGAAGGATAATGTGCGCAGGGAACTTCGGATGAAGTAGTGGAATGTGGACATGGGAAACAACTATGGGAGCTGTGCAAAGACAAGTATGAGCCGCTTTGGGTGAAAGGAGGGAACCACTGTGATCTTGAACTCTACCCTGAATTCATCAAACACCTCAACAAGTTCATCGCAACAGTTGAGAGGTTACCTTGCCGCCAGAGCAGCGACCTGCAATCAGACAAGGATAGGAGAAAGAGCGTAGAGAAGCCGAGGCCGAGCACGGAGCGTAAGCCGCCAAAGAAGAAGAGTAGCAGCAAGCTGATGAGGATCTCTTCTGATCACCATCTCAATCTCAATCTTGATCGGTCCAGGAGGAGCGTTGACTGCCATGACAACAAGACTCGTAAGAGCGTTGACCACTCCCATCAGGTTGAAAGGGGCAGGAAGAGTGTGGATCGCTTGGATCTGGATAGAGTTCGCTCCGAGTAACACGAATTATTTATTACTCATATCATAATATAATACTTGTAACTATCTTATCAAGTACATAACTCTTCTTCACATGTACGAACAAACCAAACTGTGCTCCTTGTATTTGATTTGTAATTTTTATCAACAGACAACCTATTTGTCAACAAATCAGCGCCTCCAGTTTTAAAACCGTTTTTTTTTTTTTTAGGAAAAACTTTTTAGTTTCTACATTTCCAGTAATTAATTACAATCCAATTAGAGGATTTATTTAGTACTATACAAAGATTTCTAAAATAAGGCTAATGGATCTCCATTATTCTCTCAAATCCATCGATGTTTTTCCCCAACTTTGTAAACATATATAAATCCCTCTCCATCTCCTCTTATTTTTTTCTTCATCTAAAGCTTTTGCAGTATTCCGAGAAAATAAATAAAATACTGCTTTAGCTTTGGAACACACCTCCTCTTTCCTTTTTTTTTTAAAAAAAAAAATATATTAAAAAAGTAAAAATGGCACGTCAATTTGTCGTAATTGCCCTTTTGGCATTGGCCGTGGCGACCGCATTCGCAGCCGACGCACCCTCAGCAGCTCCGACCGCCTCTCCGACGAAAGCCCCAACGACCACAACCAAGGCTCCGGCCGCCGCACCAAAAGCCTCTGCACCGAAAGCATCAGCCCCAGCCGCAGAGGAACCCACCCCCGAAGACGATTACTCCGCCGCCACCCCCACTGACTCCGCCGAGGCTCCCACCGTCTCCTCCCCTCCAGCTCCCTCCCCAGATTCTACCTCCGCCGATGGTCCATCCTCCGATGCTCCCACCGCCGAGGCTCCCCAAAGCGGCGCCGTTACTAACGTGAAGCTCTCCATCGCCGGCACTTTCGCCGCCGTCGGATTCTTCTTCTTCTCTCTCTAAATTACTTGGGAACGGGTTTCCTTCTCTTATATTACATTTGTGTGTAAGAAGACATTATGAGATGAGATGAGGCTGTATCATATTCTAACTACACTTCTATAATGCGATCTTATATTATAAATCAAAAGGATTAATTGGAGCTATATTACGTACTGACTACTACCCCTATGTTTTTGATTAATTTTTTGGATGTCTCAATTGTTTATTTAGATATCTAATGAAAGCATACTTCCCAAGAAAGGGCGTTTGGTCTAGTGGTATGATTCTCGCTTAGGGTGCGAGAGGTCCCGAGTTCAATTCTCGGAACGCCCCTCTTTTCGTATTTTTTTTTGGTAACTTTCTGAAAAGCACCACACAACACAAACGACCGTATAAGCTCTGTTTCGGTTTCAGGATCCGAAGAATATCTAAGTTTACAGTTTTTTCTTGGGTGTTTTCTACATAAACTCAAGTTTACAAATATCAATACAATGCAATATACTGTCATAAAAAAAAAAAAACAAAAGAAAAAATCAATATGTCTTCTTCGAAACTTGAAATAAGATTCCCAAACATTGTAACGATTCCAACCAAACTAAATCCATTTTCAATATGTCTTATCCTTCTTCTTCCCAAACGCGCCAAGTCAGCGCAATATATAATACAACCATGTCTCTGAAAAATGATGATTTCGTTATCGCCTCTCTGCGCTACTGTAACAGAGCCTACAAAGACAACACATATCTTGAAACAATGGTCTCTTTTTTTATGTTCTTCGCATACATTTGGCGATTAGTGCAAAGTGAGCTTACTTTCTTAGTTTGGTCTGTGGATTTAGGTCTCTGTTTGTAGAAATTTGGAAGTGGCTTCGCCTTGAAGCATAGCCTTTGCCGTAGTTTACTCTCTTCTTTCCCCACACTCCTCTCCTCAAGCGGATTCTCATTCTGTGGCTCCATGGCTTTGAATTTGTCCTCTAGCTTCTGAAACATCAATGACCAGTAAGAATTGTAAGTCACTACTAGACAAAAGAGTAGAAACCATATTATCTCTATCTGATTAATCTGCTGAAGCTCTTCTTGCCTTTTTTCTTCTCTCTGCTCTCTCCTCTGTTCTTAAACCGAACGGTGTGAAACAGCTCGGTGTCCTGCTGCTTTTTTTTTTCCCAATAAACAAGTTCCCACTTTGTTAAACCACACATTATAAATTCAAATTGAGCAGACAGTTTTTTTGCTTATTAAGATCAGTTCAATCTTACTCCGCTGGGAGGAAATTCCATCTTCCTCGACCTGTCTTGGCAGAAGAATCAGGAGCTGTTTTCCCTCTGCACCTACTATAACACCTGATTAGTTCACTAACTACACAGAAAGTAACAAGCTTTGAGAGTAGCGTTTACCTTCTGTTACTTGATAAAGGTGTTGACAAAGAGTCCTCCACAATGCCCTTTGCAGACACCTGCAATCACAAGAGCATAAGCACTTGGTTTCATTAACAAAAATGAGTGAAAGACTCTATAAGGAATGCGGGTGTTACCTTGTTTGATGGTGTCCGGAGAGGTGTTTTGCAGTCTTTGTTTGGTTTAGAAGAAGCTCTTGACCCGTCAATCTTCCTTATGATGGACACTAATCTATTGAACTCTTTTGCAGGTGTGAACGTGTAGGAGTTGCTCTTGTTGCTATGCTTTTGACTTGGAGTCCACTCCGATGATTTGAGCTTAGAGACTCTTGGTTTGGTACTGCTCTTCGGTTGCGGATCTTTTGATTTCTTCTGCAAAGAACAAACAGATCAAGAACAAAAGAAGCCAGCGAGAAAGAAGACATTTCAACACATCATTAATCGTTAAATTACCTTTAGTATTATAGGCGTCTTCTCCACTTGTGCTTCTTCAACTGTAAAAGCTTCCCCATTGATCTCTGACTCAGCCTTCCCAACATTCTCTTTCTCATCAGATTGTCTATTACTAAATCTGCTTACTTTTTCTGCAAGTAATTTCACTTCAGTATCTAAAGATCCTCTTGTAATCTCAAGATCAGGTTTTGACACCAGCCCATCTTTCTTCCCTCCTCCATTGGTACCTTGTTGAGCTAGAAGCAACTCTGGTTCGGGTTTATGGCTTTGCTGTTGAAGCAACAGTGCCTCTTCTGCAGCAGCTTTTCTTGCAGCAGCGAGTTTCTTGTAGTGAGCTTCAAAGAAGGCTTTTTTCTGAGCCACAGATCCTGGCCTTGAGTATCTCTCTGCCTCCGCCACATAACGGTTCTGTGTTGAGAAAGCTGACCATTTTTCCCAATCAAGTTTCTCCGACATGAATCTCCCAAACGACACAGACTGTCCTAAAGCACCAAGAGAATCTCCCTAGACACAGAAAACAGAGATCTTTGTCAAAAGTTTCACAATTTCTAACAAAACGAAACGGAAGAAAGAATGAGCTAACTAACCTCTGGAGCTGCATATGAGAATGGCTGCATGAGACAAGCAGATTCTCCCATGTTTTCGGAACAAGATCTAATTTTACAGACAGTGGAAGTGAAATTTAGATTGAGTTGAATTCCAAAGATCCTGAATTTGTTAAATTTTTGTTTATAATGTGGTAACAAAAAAAAAAAAAAGTAGAAGTGGGGTTTTTTGTCCGTTGTATTGAGCTTTTTAGTGTTTAAAATTTGAATTCAAAAATGGCTGGTTTCTGGGTTTCTGTCTGTTTCTTCCGTTGATAGAAAAAAAGCTACCCACACTTTATGAGATTTTACTTTACCACAGGAGAGAGAAAGTGGTCCGCAATATTTTTTCAGAACTTTATGGAGATGAGCACTTTTTCTAAAGAAAATAATGATAGTTCAAAGAGTATTAGAGCATGGCCACTAATGATGCTCTAAGATATTACATGGTTACATAATTTAAAATATCAAAATGAATCTTTAGTTACATCAACAAAAATTAAATTAATGCAAACTGGAGGGTGCTTTCGTTATCACTTGCTGCTTTTCGTTTCCTGGTTCAGCTTGGCTTCGGGTGCCATCTTTTTTCTGAAGCAAAATGTGAAATTTCTCTTATGAGTTTGAACTGAGACTTTGGTTCCTTTGGTGTTTTGAAAAACAGAACAAGAATTTATAAATTTTAAGAAAACAAAAAGACAAAAAAAAAAAAAACAAATCCGTAAAGAGTACAAAGAAAACTATATGACTGGGGAAAATTCAAGCAAAAAAGGGATATCACCTCTTTTTTGGATTAATTGTATCTACAATGGTCAAGTTTTCAAGCAAAATGAATCAATGAGCCTTCTTCTTTCTCAGGTTTCTGTGTTGCGAACATACCTATCTCGATCATTCGTGTCCAAGAAACCTGTGTTCGAGTACGAAGTTCGTCTCTTGTTTCTGTAACCTTTCCCTCTTGTTGTTCCTTTAACTTTACGAGTTGAGAACACCAAAAGCATCACTATTAAGAACCCTACTCCAGAGATCAACCACAGAGCGATCACCCATAACTTCAACGTGCTGAATCTCCCTTCTTCCGACTCGGACGAATCCGCCGTTGTTTCTTTGGTATCATCGCTTCCTTGCGCTTGTTTCGTTTCAAATTTACCAACTTTTCTCAAACCCGAGATATTCTCGCTCCGTTCAGATCCAGGTTCAGGGCAATTCCTTCTCTTGTGATGCAGAAACAGAGCTTCGTTTAGTTTCTGTCCACATTCAATGCTGAGAAGGTCTCTTTGCCGTAGATCATTGTCTGTTTGATGGACTGCCGAAGGACTGGGCGGGTCGGGGAACTTGGCCCAGCATTTGTTGATCAGATCGGTGTTCCGCCAATTTGCCTTGTCGAAGCTCCAATTCCCTACTTTGAACTCAAGGCCGTAGTGGAAAACTCGGTAGTCAACACCCGGTTCAGGAACATAACCGGGGTAAATCAATATGTCTTTGTTTATGATATGCCGCAAATTCAGCTGCAACAATGTCATTTAAATAATAGAGTTGAGTCAAAATATTATTCGAGTCCAAGTACACAGTATTACTGGTTAATAATACATATAAGAAAGAGTTTTTGGTATGATAAGATATATTTGATTACCTCTGCAGCACCGAAAGAATAACCGTACATTTCGCTGATCCAACCGGATTCATAGATATCTCCGGTTAACTCCTTTCCGTAGTGTTCTTTGTCTGCTCGAACCTCCTGGGTTTTAAGCAGCCAGTACATTGCGAATTTCCGGAGATCCTCTATGTGCATTATAATGACTCCACCAACTTTATCACAAGCCTCGGGATTACGCGTGTGAAGTCTTGCAAGGTCGTTGTCACATCCGATAAGATAGCTAAACAAAAAGAAAGAGACAGAGAGCTTTCTTTCAAAAAAAAAGTTTGGATCATCATAGACACGACAGAAAAAAAGACATTTATGTATATTTTTACTCACTCGTAAGGAGTTGAAACTGGTCGGCCTCGAGCTGCCTTAAACTCCCAAGGAGTGATGGGTCCTCGGAGGATCATGTCAGCATCAAGAATTACTATGTACTCTGCATCGATATTCGTGTGGTGAAGCCAATGAACAACCGCCGCCGGTTTGTTGATTGCCGGGTACCTGATTCAGTGCAAAATCAGATGTTCAAGTTTAAAGTTATATATAACTTCAAATCCCGAGGTTTTCACTTTTCACTAGTAATCTTACCAATCGCCTGTGAGAGGATGTCTGCTCATCGAAGGCACATAATGCGTCGGGGCCAAGTCATGACCTTTATACTTTTTAAGACCTTCATCTGTGCAACTGAGAAGCCGGGTGACGTTTCCGGGCTGACCGCTCAACCTGAAACTGTGCATGAACCCAACTGTTTGCCAGTCGAAATAAGTTGTGCACTCGGTGGAAAACAATGTGTGGATCTTTGGATAACCTCCTTTGAATTCATCAACGGGTAGCGTCGGCTCGTGTTGGTCTGGCAAGATATGTACACTTCCTGGAGCAAGCAGTTTAGGCTTTGTTAACTCCATGAAAGTTTTGCTCTTCAGAAAGCTCAAGTATTTGGACCACTTGGGTTTAGGACACCCGTTTTCTGCGTGACGCAGTATGAGTCCCTCGTTCAATGTATTCATACATTCCAGACTCAAGATAAGACCTCTTCGCCTGTACTGATCAGGCTCCATCATCTTCACCTATTCAGCGACAGTTTTTATCTCAGTAATTGAATCCATTAGAAAGGCATGGAAGTGAAGTTGAGAGAACTTGTTAAGGCTACCTCTCTTGGATATGGAGGCTCGGGGAAGAGACGGTTGCAGTCATAGACTATATTGTCTTCGTGGTGGTCCAGTTTAGTGAAAGACCAGTTCCCAATGGAAAAAGGCAACCCGTAATGCAGAAGAATAGGCTCGACACCTTCTCGTGGAACATATCCGGGATATATCATCAGGTCGTCGTTAATCTTGTGCTTAAGTCCTGCCTGTGGGTCACACAGATTTAGAACCGAAAGAAAACGTCACAGTAAAAGCATGAGCAAGAGAAGGAAGGTGTTGAGATTACTTCTGCAGCACCGAAGGAGTAACCATACATCTCACTGATCCAACCTTTACCGTAGACATCTCCGGTAATATTGGTGGCCCAGTGAGCTGTATCTTGGCGAACATCTTCCGTCTTTGATAGCCAAAGAGGGGCCAAGACGCGAAGATCATCGATATGCATAGCGAGAAGACCGCCAACTTTGTCACAGAGTTCAGGATGCTTAGTGTGCAAACGCACAAGGATGTTATCGCAGCCCACCAGGTAGCTATTTCCATAGGGATAAAGGTGTGAGGTGAGTAACAACGAAAAGCTAAAGATTTAGGTAACATATATAGATGTGAGTACCCGTAATGTGCAGCAAAAGGTCTTCCCCTCTCTGCACCGAGTTCCCAAGGGATGATAGGACCTCTAATGATCATGTCAGCATCAAGAATAACGACCCAATCCACATTCTTGGCGTCTTCACTGTGCTGAAGCCAGTGAAGAACTCCAACGGGTTTGTTAATTGCTGGGTACCTAAGAAGAAAGAAAAAACAAGAGCTTTCCTCATACTAAACCATCATTCAAAGATTCCCCCTTAAAGCATTAATGAGTAAGCATTCGAGAGTGGCAGAAGCAGGACACAATACCCTAAACAACTAAAAGATTCAGAAATATAATTTGGAAAGAAAAGAGATGGTTTTTTGTTTGTTTTGTTTTGGATTACCAGTCACCGGTCTTAGGATGTCTGCTCCAAGAGGGGACATGGAAAGTGGGAGCGAGGTCCATGCCTCTGTAATTCTTCTTCTCTTCGTCGGTACAGCTCAATAACCGGGTAATCGGACCGGGTTGTCGGGATTTCTTGAAGCTGTGCATCAGACCAACCGTCTGCCAATCGAAGTAGTTCTGGCATTCCACCGAGAAGAGCGTATGGATCCGATACGGTGCCCTTTGACCCGATTCATCCGCCATACCCGACCCGAAACCCAACACAATCATCGTCGATATCAAACCCCAACGCATCTCCATCGTCTCGATTTTCGAATCTCAAACCCCTAAATTTCCATATAATTATTCTTCTACTCCCCGATCTAGGAACAGGAAGAAAGAAAAAAGTCAATGCATGGACAAAGAGGATGATTGATCCATGCGTTATATATAAACCGATGGTTATGAATTATGATTAGGTAGTGCCAGTGGTGGTGACCACGAAGTGCTACTAGTAATATTTTTTTCGAGAGATCGTTTGGAAGAATTCGATTGAATAATCAAAGATTCTATGAATTTTTTGTCTTTTTTTTTTTTTTGGTTTGGGGTGTGCCGGGAGGACGACGACTCTGAATCGCCGAAATTTGGCGGCCATGGAGTCCGGCTACACGTGTGTATTAGTGGCCGTTTCACATACGTCCAATAGATGGCGACTTGCCAGCGTTTATTGTTTTTTTTCCTCCTTCTCATAATTAAGTAAGCCACTTTATTTAAGGGAATCACTTAACTTAGAAGACCTCAACGAAGTTTTCTAACATGTTTAATTAGACAAGAGTCAAGACATGTAAAATGACTATCCATACTACAATCACATATATCTCTCTCGTAAACTAATTTGCCAATTGAGTGTATTTTTATTCCCTTTTTTTGATCCGACTTTATCGAACTTAGTAGATGTGATGTACTCTCAGACTTCATGTCTAAGAAGTAGAATGAGGGAGAGAGACTCCTTTTAAGTCTCATAATTTAATGAAGAATCATTGGCCCCTAATTTGCAATTAGTCTGAGTCATAATGGAGACAAAGTGGTTACGGAATAAATTTATTACTCTCGTGCCCGATAATTCTTCCCAGGTTTCTGTCACAAGTAATCTGCTCTCTTTTTTTTTTTTTTCCTCTCTCTGCTTTTGTACTAGCTAGCTAGTTGTACTTGAGAGTTTTGGTTGGGGAGTTTTGTGTATATAGATGGTTTAATAGCCCAAGAATAAAGTTTATTCCAGAAATAGATAAACGAATCTAAAAAACACTTTGGTCAACATTTTGAGTATGATCAACTGTCTTCATAATTATGAGTGTATTGAGACCTTGCTGTCAAAACTGTCCTGAACGTGGAACAGAAGCAATTCTCATTCGTTTTGACACTGAGTCCAGCTCAAAAATAGCTCTTGGTTTTGGTGTAAAATCTGTCTCCTAGACATCCAACAACAACCTTGTTCTCAGCTCCCCATTCCCCTTTTTGAATAGCTTCAGCTAGAAGAAGCATATGAGTATTCAAGACACTTAAGGCTTCTCTGCCTTCGGAGCCGTTGAAAGACTACGGGAAAGGAAGTCGCATCGCCACGTCATAGTGAGAGAAAATGACTTTACTTGTCTTTTAAAATTTTCTCCCATACAGTAGTATTTTGTTTTTGTTTTTTTTTTTTTTTTGGGCCCAACCCTAGAAACTTTCGGGCCGGCTCAAAGAACAAAGAAAAAAACACAAACATTAAGCGTTGTTGTTGTTTCCTCCCGAAAACAAACCCCTTTTTCTGAATCGCGATAAACCCTAAATTCGATTCAATTGGAATTGGAGGTAGGTAAGGTATAGGGGAGAAAATGAGGGGTCGAATTGGAATGATTAGCAGCGGATCCAAGGATGTGGCCCGGAGAACGTTTGCTGCAGCAGCTAGTAAAGCCAAGAAAGGTGGGAAAGGAGGAGGAGGAGGAGGAGCTAGTGATGCTCCTAAAGGATCGACCCTGAGCAAAGAGATCAAATCCACCACCGTCGTTGGAGCTAACACTCTCAAAGATGGAGCTGATCCCAAGATCTTCCCTGACTCTGATTACCCGCCTTGGCTCTGGCGTCTTCTCGATACTCGCCCTGCGCTTAGTGAGCTCCGAAGGAAGAACGTCGAGACTCTTCCCTACGACGATCTCAAACGTTTTGTCAAGCTGGACACCCGAGCCAAAATCAAGGATAACAACTCCATCAAGGCCAAGAACTGAGATCCTTTGTTTTTGCTTTGTAAGATGTTTCTTTCACTCTCTCTCTCTCTCTCTCTCTCTCTCCCTGCTCTTTCCTCTTCCTTGATTCTCTTTTATTTGTGGAGCCGTAATTGAGATTATCATGCTTGCTTTCAGTTAAGTTATTGCATATTTCAGTTAGTCTCTATAGCATATTATTATGCTCTAAGTAAATTTGCTGCTTCATCTTGAACGACATGTCCAGCGAGTGTAACCCCAAATCCTTCTTCAAGACAAGAGATGACTCCGTTGTAGGTTTACCTCTTCAGTTCAGATTTTATTGTTTACTGTCATGGGACCTATTTTATATTATTGAGATTTTTGCATCAATCTCTATGTCTCTTGGTGGAGTGGATACCAACTCTTGTTTGTCGGGTTCAATATCTTCACAATAAAGTTAAAGCAAAGTTTGGATCAGTATTTTCCCTTTTGCTCTTCCATTATTGCCTCTTCTTTGCTTTGATGGTTACTTGTCCTGTTTTTTTTTTTTCTTTTTTGGCTCAGTTGCCGACCCAAACCATCCTCTGTCTTTTTGTTTTTAGGACTTCTTGATTTGCTATGATATTCATTGTATCAAAGAAGGCTACTTATTGCCTTTATGGCCTCCTATTATATCCCATGCCCAGGAAAGTTGAAGAGTTTGAAAATGAGACACCACTCATCACATGCTCTTGTGGCTAGTATAACAAAAGATAGATAATCAGTAGCTAACTTTTTTTTCTCCTCACATGCCTATTTTCCTCTTTTGACACCTTAACCATATCTTGCTTTGTTTTCTTAATTAACTAGGCTAGCGTCATCTATGATTTATATTATATTTATGTGTTAATATTAAATTTAAGATTGTACCAATAAAGAGATGTTTATTTTTGAAGTTTAGCAACCTTTCGAAAGTCTTTCGTAGAGATGCCCTTGTAGCCTCTATACTATAATGGGATATTTGGTGTAGTTGAACCGTGTCACATTAAACATTGTTTCCTTGGCCTATACCTGTTTTCAAACTAGGGACCATCTTCTGTTTCTGATCTGTTGTAATTGTTCTATTTATATTTTATATAAGCACAAATTGGCCTGAAATGAATTGAGATATTTCATGTTTCCTTTATATTTGATCCAATCTATGTATTTTTGTAAGAAAAACAAGTATCGACATATATAATTACTGTTTGGTTCGAATAATTCAGATGTTGTTTCAATTCTAACGGATATATGTATGAACTGTCCAATATCTGAGATTCTAAATTAAAAACGAGTAGCGGATTTTTAGATTTATCAATCATAAATTATGTCATTCGATTTGGTTGATATATCCAATTAAATACTCCATGATTCGAGTTGCTTTGGATAGTTCACCAACACTCGATTCGATCACCTCGAAGGAAAAAGTAATTCAACTTTTGATAACATCTAAACTCAGTCTTGATAAACCCTTAATCGAGTATGTGAAGAAGAATATGCACATATTAATATATTATTTTTATTAATTTGTTCCCTAGGCTGAAAAAGGCCACTTTTCTCCATGTGTCTCTATTATTACAATCATCATCCCTTTTTCACTTTCAAGAGTTAGGCATTTCTCACCACTACTGTTTTTGTTCATCATTATCTTTCCTCACATTATTTATTTGTTTGTTAATTTAAAATCGTTTTACTCCCTAATGTTACCCGTTGAACATTTAATTATGAATTAAAAAGAAAATCCGTGTAATGAAGACACCAAGCTCCGTTACTTATACTAAAATTGGGGTTATATAGTCCCCCAACTATCAATGCTATGATTCATTACTTTCTTTATTTATATATTTACAGTAAAAATAGTTTCAAAATCATTTTCTCCGGTCACCTTCCCCGACCAATCCTTTCTTCTTCTTCTCTCTCGTTATAGGGCGTGGTTCCTTGACCACCAAGAAAGCTCTTTGTCCTCTCACTCTTCTTCTTCTTCTTCTTCTTCTTCTTATTCTGCCTTGTTTTAGTTTTCCAGAACACGATCCGGCGGTTTCGATGCCTCCCACATACTTTCCTCTCCGGTGGGAGAGCACCGGCGATCAGTGGTGGTACGCTACTCCGATTGATTACGCTGCCGCCAACAGCCAGTACGAGTTAGTCCGTGAGCTCATCCGAATAGACTCCAATAACCTCATGAAGCTCACTTCCCTCCGCAGAATTCGCCGCCTCGAGACCGTCTGGGACGACGAGTCCCACTTCCACGACGTCGCCGCCTGCAGATCACGCGTCGCCAGAAAACTCCTCGCCGCCTGCGACCAAGGATCCAAGGTGAACACTCTTCTCCGGTCTGGCTACGGCGGCTGGGTGATGTACACGGCAGCCTCCGCCGGAGATCTATGTTTTGTCCGCCATCTCCTCGAGAGGAATCCTCTGCTCGTGTTCGGCGAAGGAGAGTACGGCGTCACCGACATCCTCTACGCAGCTTCCAGAAGCCTAAACGACGACGTTTTCCGTCTGATTTATGATTTCGCGGTTAGTCCGAGGTTTGCCGGCAACGGCGGTTTCGATAATCAAACAGGAGAGACTCCGGCGGCTTACAGAAGGGAGATGAAGAACAGGGCGGTTCACTCTTCTTCTAGAGGAGGCAATTTGGTAATTCTCAGGGAGCTTCTGAGTGAGTGCTCTGTTGAGGATGTGTTGGCCTTCCGAGACAAACAGGGCTCAACAATTCTCCACGCAGCCGCCGGAAAAGGAAAAACTCAGGTCAATAATCTCTCTCTCCTTGAAAGCTTAAGCAATTGGTTTATTTTTGAGAGATAAGATGCAAACTTTTACTGGATTTTATTTTGACTTAATGAATGCGATACTAGCACACTAAACTCAAATGATAGAGCAGAGATTTTGGCGATGCTTTCAGGTGGTTAAAGCGCTTGCGCTTCATACGGTTTATTATTATTGGACGCCATAGACAACCAAGGGAACACGGCTTTGCACGTCGCAGCCTACCGTGGCCACGCTGATCTCGTGGAAGCTCTGATCTCGGCCTCTCCATCTTTGATCTCCGCCAGAAACAACGCCGGTGACACTTTCCTTCACGCCGGAATCTCCGGTTTCCAGACCCCGGCTTTCGAGAGGCTCGACAAGCACACGGAGCTCATGAACCGCCTCATCAAGTCCGCTGCCTCCAAGTCCCCCTGCGATGTCGTGAATTATAGGAACAACCAAGGACGCACGGCTCTTCACTTGGCGATCTCCGGGAGCGTTCCTCTTGAGTTCGTTGAGATGCTCATGTCTGTGAAATCCATTGATATCAACATAAGGGATGCTTCTGGTATGACTCCGCTTGATCTCATCAGGCGCAAGCCGCAGTCTCCCACGTCGGATCTCCTGTTTCGACGGTTGGTATCAGCCGGAGGGATGTTCAGCTGCCGTGAGCAGAGCATCACAAGTGTGGTCGCGTCTCACTTGAAGGACAGAGGAAACTCTTACAGCCCAGGAGCTCGTTTCGGGACATCGGACGCTGAGATTTTCCTAAGCGCCGGACTTGAACTTGAAGCTGTGCCTGACAAGACTGTTGTCACTAGGCACGTGAGATCCAGCTCCTGTTCCATTGAGATTGGTCGTCATCAGCTAAACCTGACGGATGAGAATCATCATCTCAAGATATGCAGAAACTCTTCTGTTAACGCTGCAACAGAGAGGTTGAAGAGCGTTTTCCATTGGCCGCGAATCAAGAAACAACCTGGACATTCCAAGAACGATTCTGAGATCAGCATCATTTCTACAGCTGCTCAAGAAACTCATGTGCCTCTCCGACAGAGATTCTCAAAAAGCAGCGCTTCGTCTCCTGCTCTTCCTAGTAACAACAATAAAAGAAGTTTGTCCGTGAGAAGTAACCAGTCGAGTCCAAGGGCAAAAAAGAAGCGGTTTGGTTCGGCGCGGTCTCGTTCGAGCTCTTTTTCGAAAATATCCATCCACTCTTCTTCCACTTCTTCATCTTCGAGCATGGTTGATCTTAAACAGAAGGGAGTGCTGATCGATGCGAACATAACCGGACCATCTCGACTGAACCGGCCTGAGCCGGTGAAAAGTAAGTTAGCCGAGAAGCAGGGTTCGGTGAGGAGCAGATTAAAGAGCCATTACTTCTGCTTTGGCGCTTCAGCTTTGTCTGTGAAAACGCCGGTTACGGTCTTGGTATAACGCGGTTTTTTTGGGTGTAGAGCAAAACCGGATTGACATGTGAGAGAACCAAAAGAAATAGCATTGAAATGTAGTCGTTAATTATGGTTTTATAAGTGCAATCTTTGGATATATATTGATTGTAAACTAATCTTCTGCATCTAATGAATTCTAAATGATTTGTTTTTCTATCCACACACACACACACAAACAATCAAAGAAAAGAAAAGAAGAGATAAATCAAGTCTCAGCTCTGGCGTAAGAACAACTCAAATCAGGGTGGCACCCACCTGACTTATTCATCGATCTTAAAATGACCACTACTTATTTATCTCTCTTTGAAAACTTGATTAATTTTTCTATCATTGACTTGTTCAACCCGAGCTTTTTCCAATAACTTGTTTAACACGACACGCACACACACACGATTCTGAATCTAATGCTCTTTCTCCCGGTCTGGTTATTCCATGTCATTGGTTCATTCAACTAACCAAAATTGAGAGACTCGCAGCCATTTGCATTCGTAAATTTGAGTATATTAGGAGACTGTAGAAATCCTAATAAAATATATGAAACAAAAGGCTAGATCAGGCTAAAATGGCTAAAAATCCAACTAACTACAGTATGTAGTAGTATAGTAGAAAATCATAGTTTGTATATTTTATTATTTTACAAAAACAAACTCTCCAACGGGGAATCTGATTCCACTTTTTGTACACTCAATCGATTTCACCCTCTTCCACTTCTTCATTGCCAGGAAACTCAAGCTGATGCTCAGCTGCTTCATCTTCATCCTCATCATCGTGTTTCATAAATAGCCCCAGCTGCTCCAGAGGATTGCTGCCTCCAAACCCAAAAACACCCAACCCATCAGCATCCTCCTCTCCTCTTGTTATATTTCTCAAATGCTCCTCCGTGTATACCCTTGTTTCCAGCAGTTCCAAATCCTTGATAAACCTTGAGTCCTCGTTTATTTCAACCGACTTCTCCATCTGTTGTTGTGAATCAAAATCATATATACTTCTTTGACTCAAAACAACCAACCAAACCAACCAACTTTTCTTTTTACCTCAACCAATGCCTGTCGCGCTGCTTCTCTTTCAAGTTCCAGTTTCCTCTTTGCCTCACTCGCAGCTTCAGCGGCAGCTTCTGCCTCAGCTTTTCTTTTAGCTTCTTCGGCTTCCTTGGCTTCTGCTTGTAACCGTGCTTTTTCTGGGTACCCAAAAACAAACAAACAAAACATGACAAATTTTTTATATGTTCCCTTACTTTGAAAACCATCATCATTCAGAAACTTAAACTAGCAAATCAAGATTATTACCTTTCTTCTTTTGCCATTCGAATTCTTCCCTCTCACGTCGCAATTTCTCTGGGTCTCGCTTCTCAGTCTGATCTCAGACATACAATTTATTCAGCAATTAATTTCCAAAGTCAAAATGGGTCACCAGGTCAGAGCTCCACAAACACAGCTAACCTTATTCTGAGTTTTCTCTCGAGCCTTCAAGATTATATCCGCAAATCGGTTTTTCAATAGAGCAGCCCTGTAACGCTTTTCTGGAGGTAGTTGCTTCTCATTCTGACCGCTGTTTCCTAAAGTATTAACGGGTCAATAGTAAGATGCCACCCCCAGACATTAGAGCAGAAACATTTTTCTGCCACACTCTTGAGCTTACCATCTTGACGACAATCTGCCCCCTCAACAAAACTTAGCTTCTCATCTCTCGATGCATCTTCCAGCTGATCCAGTCCACTGATGGAAGCTGCTTTTAGAAAAGGAATAAGCAAACCAAGGGTCAAAATCAACAAAATACTTAGACATCTTTCTGCACCAAACTTAAAATCTGCTCACGTTTCCTCCTTGTCGCTCCATCCAAGGGAGATTCCGAATCCATGCTTTCAGGCCCCTGTATCAGGAGATGAGAGGGATAACGAAAATAACCACAATTAACCAACTTCTGGCAAGGTATCTCAGAATAATTAGTGTCATCTGTCAGACATTAAGCACGATTAGGATTTGTAACGTGACCATGACAACAGTTAACCAACTTCTGGCAAGGTATCTAAGACTTTTGTAGAGGCACAGATATCATCAATTATGATCCACATTAACATTTACCTTTGGTGTCAATAATCTTGTGGTTGTAGGATCATCTGGCACACTCTCCAAGCACCTAGAGCCTAATATGCACCAAAAGAGGAGATGACATAGGTTAGAGCACTCCAAGAAATGATATGATGGCTAAAGTAAACAGCAAACAGAGACAAAGGAGTAAAACAAGCAGAGAATGCAACAGGTCTACCACTATCAAACTAGGCGTGTCATATGAGCTGCTAATCAGCTAATAGCAAGTACAAAGGTTCCACTTCAAATGAAACTACAGAGTAAATGATGAGGGTTCTAAATTGACGGCCACTTCTGATAAGAGAGTACATTAAGATGGTTCCAAGGGTGAAAGTACAAATAAGAAGTGCAACAACTATACACCATCTACAAACGTTCCATAGAGAACAAGACCAACATAATGTAGCTAGATGAAGATAACGCACCGTTGGAGTTCCCCACTGCCATATCCGTCTCTGTCCTTTCAGGAGAGATGCAAGATATAGGGTGCTCATTATTACCAACGTCAATATCCTCGTCCTCCATTTCACTCCCTGCAAGTAAAAAGGACGAAAATGACAAGTTAATCATACAGCTGGACGTAAGGCCTTTTTTCAAACAGCAAAAATACAATGTATGCTAACCATCACAGTGCTGCATCAATGAACTCCCTGGCCCTGACCCATGCAAAAGCTACATCAAGGAAAATTTCGCTTGTTTGTCAGTCATGTTATAAAATGCATCAAACATGAGATATAGAAGTAGAATTACCTCTAACTCACAAGGTTCACCGTTTGCATCTTTATTCTGATTTTCACGCAAAAACTCATCCAAAAGATCCCGCAACTGGAACAAGGCATCATGACTGAGATCATTAATGTCAATTTCAATCTCATCGTCTCCACATCCCCCTTCCTTGGAGCTGTGATCTCTAAGGAAATTAAATATATGTACAGGGAATTCTGTCAGGGAGCCCAAATCTCTGCCAAGTTTTACTTTATCTTCATCTGCCATAACCTGTTTAGCAGGCTCGACGAAGCTGTCATGGTTCACTGCATTCATCTTTCTCTTCTTAGGCAAAGGCTCAGGCACTGCAAACTCTTTGCCAGCAAGAGTACCCAAGTTACTTGGTTCAGATTTGGTTCTGGATGACTTCTTCTCAATAGTTTTCCACCTCACTTCAAAAAACTTGCTGAGAGTATCAGCCATCATATAAACGTCATTGCCTGGCGGGTTATAAGTCATTGCATTGGAGAAAGTAAGACGGACATCAGCACAAAACTCTGATGGGCTTGAGTATGTGCCGGAGGTTAACTTGCTCTTAACAGTTCCTAAATCCATTGGATGCTTGATAATGGTGAAATAATCAGGTATGTTCATCTTGACCACATCAACGGGAGTTTTAAAGAGCCAACAAAACTGATGCGACATCAACCGTTTGAGGAGGGTCTCACATTGCTTCATCCGGAGCATTGTAGAAGTGGAGACTGGAGCTGGTTTAGCAGCGCTCAAGGGAAGAACTTTTTTCCCAGGCCCAGTAGAGCATCGTGAAATTCCAAAATTCTTGGCTCGAGGCACATTAGACGCAGGTGTACCAGTGAGACTCAGCTCGATATCGTTCTGAAAAGACCGTATCTGATGAAGCTCCTGACGGAGCCTTTGGATCAAAGTTTTCCTTTCCGATGATGACAAGGCAGACAATGGTAAAACCATTCTGGGGACACCAAAGGTTTCATCTTCGGGACAAGTAAACTTTTTTTGTAGACAATCTAAACCATCGGAAGCATTAGGGCTACGAGAGCCTTCATCATACCCACAGGGATAGTAGTCTCCAGGGAAACCACCATTCCTCACAGTCATCTCGCCAAATTGTAAGAAAAAAGGAAAGACGAGAGACTATTTTTAACCTGCACAAATCAAACCCATTAAGTAAGACGTATCAGTTTTGGAATTCATATGATATTTCCAACAATTCAAACATCGAGCCCACGAGCAATTCCATTGGGAAGTAAACACTCAAATATTACTCGGAAAAAAAAAAAACAACTAACCGACTCGAAATCCTGGGCAACCGAAGATCAAACCGCAGAAGAGCCTAGAGAAGCGTAAATCTCGAACGAAACCCTAAAGTTTGTTGTAGAAGCAGGTAAAGTAGAACCCTAGAGAGGTAAACAAACGGCGAAGACGACCGAGAAGTAGAGAGAGATAATCATAAGAAGCAAAAGCACAGCTCCTCTGTCTCTCTCTCTACCCTCAAGTGTCCAACAAGTCCACCCTAGCGAATCGATGCAGCGACTACGCCGTTTTGATATCACGCCGGAGAACCGTCGATTTAAAGAGTAATCTCGAATGGACAAGCACGTGTGTCGCTCGTGCGGAAGAACTTGCAATGAGAAAATATTTCGGTGATGCAATCGTCCTGGGCTTATGGGCTTTATAGTTATTGGACTTAATAATCATTGGGCTTATAATGCAACAAGAAAGCCCGAAACACCTTCCCTTCCTCTTCGTCGTCGTCTTCTTGTTTTTGTCAGAGAAGAAGAGGAAACTCAAATCAGGTTGAAAACGAACGAAATGGAGGACGAAATGGAAAGGTCCGTTAAACTTTTAATTGGGCTTTATTGGGTCTACAGATAAGCCCAAATTATAACTCGACCGTCCGCTGTGAAAGCTCAAATTACACCACGCTGTTTTACCGTCGGAAAAGCTTCCACTGTTTCTCCTCCTCCGTTCGTCTTCTTCTTCTTCTCCTTCGGTTCTTCCATGTTACATCCGAACACAGATATACAGCAAAGCAAGCTCAGATTCCTCGCCTCGGATCTCGACTTTTAGTATATTCGATCCGGGAATGGACATTCTTTTCGCCCAGATCCAGGCCGACCTCCGCTCGAATGACGCGCTTCGCCAGTCATCGGCGCTTCTTCAGGCGCTGCAGCAATCCGCCGCCGGACGGGATATCTCGGTGATCGCTAAGTCTGCAGTGGAGGAGATTGTTGCCTCCCCGGCATCGGCTGTTTGCAAGAAGCTCGCATTCGATCTCATCCGATCTACCCGCCTGACTCCGGATCTTTGGGACACGGTTTGTTCAGGTGTGAAAACTGATCTTCATTTCCCGGACCCCGACGTCACCGCCGCTGCCGTCTCCATCCTTGCGGCACTTCCGTCCTTCTCGCTTCCCAAACTCATCTCTGATTGCAGCAGTGAGATTGCTTCATGCTTCGATTCCCCATCTGACAACCTCCGTTTCTCCATCACTGAGACACTTGGCTGCATCCTGGCGCGCGATGATCTCGTTACATTGTGCGAGAACAACGTGGGTCTCCTCGACAAGGTCTCCAACTGGTGGGCTCGGATCGGCCAGAACATGCTAGACAAATCCGACGCTGTTTCCAAGGTTGCCTTTGAATCCGTAGGCAGATTGTTCCAGGAGTTTGACTCCAAGCGCATGAGCCGTCTTGCTGGCGACAAGCTCGTAGACAGCGAGAATTCCCTGGCCATCAGGTCCAAGTGGGTGTCTTCCATGGTCGACATTGTATGGAAAAAGAGGAGCGCTTTGATGGCTAGGTCTTTAGTCCTTCCTGTCGAAACCTTCAGAGCCACTGTGTTCCCTCTCGTCTTTGCTGTAAAGGCTGTAGCTTCGGGTAGTGTCGAAGTGATAAGACAGCTTTCCAAGGCTTCCTTTATTGCTGCGGCTAATGCCACGGCTGTCGATTCCAACGCCGAGAAGCTGGTTGGCGTCTCCGATCTGGTCACCCATTTGGCCCCGTTCCTGGCTTCCTCTCTGGATCCGGCTTTGATTTTTGAAGTGGGAATTAACATGCTCTACCTGGCAGATGTTGCCGGAGGGAAGCCAGAGTGGGCTTCACAGTCCATTATTGCAATTTTAACACTCTGGGACCGCCAAGAGTTTTCTTCTGCTAGAGAGAGTATAGTCAGGGCGGTGGTCACCAACCTGCACTTGCTTGATCTGCGCATGCAGGTATGTGGTTTCCTTGCTTCTTTCAATCTTCGTTCTAGTCACCGATTGGTTGTGTACATTTTATCTTGAAGCTACAGCTCATGAATTCTGAACCATTCATTTTGGAACTTGTTACGAAGGTCTCTTTGTTTAGAAGACTACTGCTTATGGTGAGGAACTTGAGAGCAGAATCGGACAGGATGCACGCCTTAGCCTGTATCTGTCGGACAGCTCTATGTGTTCACCTTTTTGCCAGAGAAAGTGCCCGAAGAGGTCAGAAGCCCCTTACTGGGACAGATATTATTTCTCTATTTGAGGATGCAAGAATAAAAGATGATCTCAATAGTGTTACCAGTAAAAGCCTGTTTCGGGAGGAGCTGGTGGCCATGCTTGTGGAAAGTTGCTTCCAGTTATCTCTACCTCTGCCTGAACAAAAGAACTCGGGTATGGAGAGCAGAGTGATTGGTGCACTAGCATATGGCACTGGTTATGGTGCTTTGAACTGGACCGAACCAGCCCTTGAGGTTGTGGAAGTTTGCAGGCCTTGTGTCAAATGGGATTGTGATGGCAGGACGTACGCAATTGATTGCTATTTGAAATTGCTTGTTAGGCTCTGCCATATCTATGATACCCGAGGAGGAGTGAAGAGGCTTAAAGACGGTGCTTCGCAGGATCAAATATTAAATGAGACCCGATTACAGAACTTACAACGTGAGCTTGTTAAGGATCTCCAAGAGGTAATTAAGCCTCAGCTTAAAGTTAGCAATTAAACTTGGAACTTTTATGTACAGTATATATATGTTTTGTTTTCCTTGAAAAGTTATAGCTATGCCATTTCTTAAGTACTCGTTAATACCATTCTAGAGAGGAACTATTGTGTGTTGACTTTAAACGTGTTTAAATTCTTATTTCTCCCATGTATAAATCTTGCTCTTAATTTTGCAGGTAAATACCCCAAGAATCCTTGGGCGTCTTATATGGACAATCGCAGAACATATTGATCTAGAAGGTCTGGATCCACTTTTGGCTGATGACCCTGATGATCCTTTAAATATTATCATAGCAAATATACATAAGGTTCTCTTCAACTTGGATGCCGCTGCTACTACATCAAATAGGCTGCAAGATGTTCAGGCAGTCTTATTATGCGCCCAAAGGATGGGATCACGTCATGCAAGAGCTGGCCAATTAATAACCAAAGAGCTTGAAGAGTATAGGAACCATGCTGCTGCAGATACAGTTAGCAAACATCAAACCCGTTTAATTTTACAGAGGATCAAATATGTTTCAAATCTTCCTGAAAGAAAGTGAGCTTTCTCCTTGGCTTGTAATCCTTTTCTTATTTGATTTTTAATGCGTTTCTGGATTGAATCTCCCTCAACCTGTTGTTTTCCAGGTGGGCTGGAGTTAGTGAGACAAGAGGAGATTACCCTTTCAGCCACCATAAGCTTACTGTTCAGTTTTACGAACCATCAGCTGCTCAAGACAGAAAATTAGAAGGTTTAATTCACAAGGCCATTTTAGAGCTTTGGAGGCCAAAGCCCACTGAATTAACACTCTTCCTTACAAAAGGGGTCGACTCGACTTCTATCAAGGTTCCTCCCACAGCATATCCCTTGACTGGAAGCAGTGACCCTTGCTATATAGAAGCTTACCATTTAGCAGATACAAATGATGGAAGGGTCACTTTGCACTTGAAGGTTGGTATATGGTCTATGTATCTTCTATGTATCATCCTGCAGTTTACTTGAATACTGATAAGTTGGCAAAGTTTGGCGTCTCAACACCTCTTATACTTTGTGTTCAGATAATTAATTTGACAGAGCTTGAGCTGAATCGTGTGGATATACGGGTTGGATTATCTGGTGCCCTATACTTCATGGATGGTTCTCCTCAAGCAGTGCGGCAGTTGCGTAATCTTGTCTCGCAGGTTGCATTTCAGTCTTCAATGTTTATATACTCCTATCTCTTTACGGTTCTCTCATACCTAAAAGTCTTTGTCTGTTGAGAACCATTTCTGTTTTTTTTTTTCTTTTTTTTTCTAAATTTACAAGTTGATCAGTTTGAAATCTATTAGCTGTATTTTCATCCACTCTGTGCTTTACTCTTGTAGGATCCTGTACAATGCAGTGTCACCGTAGGTGTCTCCCAATTTGAAAGATGTGGTTTCTGGGTTCAAGTCCTTTACTATCCATTCCGTGGCGCTAGGGGAGATTATGACGGTGATTACATAGAAGAGGATCCACAGATCATGAAGCAAAAGAGAGGTTCAAAATCAGAACTCGGAGAGCCTGTGATCTTAAGATGTCAGCCTTACAAGATCCCACTGACTGAGCTTCTTCTCCCGCACAAAATCTCACCAGTCGAGTTCTTTCGTTTGTGGCCTAGCTTGCCAGCTGTTGCAGAGTACACTGGCACATATATGTATGAAGGAAGCGGTTTCATGGCGACCGCGGCACAACAGTATGGTGCTTCACCATTTTTAAGCGGGCTCAAATCATTATCCTCCAAGCCATTCCACAGAGTCTGTTCCCACATTATACGCACAGTTGCTGGATTCCAGGTGAATTTGTCAGATCCAGTGTGCTCTTGTAGACCTGCTTGTTCCTCCTCACACTTGTAAACCTGTATTAGAGGTTTGATAAACCTTTGTCTTGTTGTCATTACAGCTTTGTTACGCTGCAAAAACGTGGCATGGAGGTTTTGTGGGAATGATGATTTTTGGGGCTAGTGAAGTGAGCAGGAACGTGGATCTGGGGGACGAGACGACCACCATGATGTGCAAGTTTGTGGTTAGAGCCTCAGAAGCATCAATCACAAAGCAAATAGAGTCAGATCTTCAGGGATGGTGCGATGATCTAACTGACGGGGGTGTTGAGTATATGCCAGAGGATGAAGTGAAAGCAACAGCAGCTGAGAAACTGAAAATCTCTATGGAGAGAATAGCTTTGTTAAAGGCAGCTCAGCCGAAAAATATTCCAAAGACGGAGGATGAGGAAACCGAAAATGAAGAAGATGATGATGATGATGAAGAAGAAGAAGAAAAGAAAAAGGAGAAAGAAGAGGGAAAGGAAAAGGAAGAGAAGAAGAAAAAAGAAAAGGAAAAAGGAACACTATCTAAGCTGACAGCAGAAGAAACAGAGCACATGGCGCTTCAGGCAGCAGTGCTCCAAGAATGGCACATGCTGTGTAAAGATAGAAAATTTACCAAAGTTAACTAACACAACCTGAGAGAGAGAGAGAGGAATTGCTGTTTCCAAGATGAAGGTGCTAAGATCTTTGTATTCTTTTGTGTGTGGTTTCTTCTTAGGACTAGAGATTTTGTCTTGATCTTTGTATTCTTTTGTGTGTGGTTTCTTCTTAGGACTAGAGATTTTGTCTTGATCTTTGTATTCTTTTGTGTGTGGTTTCTTCTTAGGACTAGAGATTTTGTCTTGCTGATGAAGTAAAGAAACAAGGTTATTTATTATTCCCACTCTTTGTGTAATCTTGTCTTATTCTAAAATTTAGCATGATTGAAGCTTTCCCCATTTTCAAAGATTAATTGCCCAACAAGAAAGGGAGAAGATAACGATCCTTCTGTAATCATGCAGAGGTTCTGATATGAGAGATGGCTCTGTTTTGCAACGAAGAAACTTGACCACGTGTTCTGATATATCATTGTCTGCCAACCAGAAACAGAGCCGTGTCTATTATTTCGTACTCAATAAAGAAGAAAACCTTATGATCTCTTCTTACAGATGATAAGACGACTCACATCACTATGCAGGTACTTGAGAGGGAGTCCTCTTCTTGCCTTTCTTTACCTCTGTTCCACCATTTTCTGCCAGCTCTGCCTTCTTTTGGGCACGGATCATTGCTCGCCTTGTGCGCGGTCTCATCTCTCTTACTCTACGAGGCGGCATCACGAATGGCTCGAGTGGCTTGTCCCCAAAAGGATGCTCATCGCCTTCAAATATCCTGAGCTTCCGATCTCTGTCCTATATACCCACATGAACAAACAAAAACTCAGCATGTTCTTGTTGGAAGCATCAAGTACTCTTTTTTTTTTTAGTGGAGCAAATTTGTAAAGCAACAAATACTATGCAAGCAATTTACCTAGGAAGTGAGACTAGCAACAAATAGTCGAATAGGCAAGCTGAGAAAATGTAATGTATTGATAAATAGATAACCAGTTTGTAAAGGTAAGCAAAATGGCCAAACAAAGAGTTCAGAAGCATCTTCCTTCCAACCCTAAATCATTCGCAAGACAAGAGTATAACTAAAATGACAAGAACGGCTTGTTATAACAAGTAAAAGCAAATCCAGGGGCGGGGTAATTTCTAGTATATCAGAGAAGTAAAAGAGAGGGGAAATCAATAGAAAATGGGTCAGTCAATAAGTGTACTCACATCACGCAAATTGTTACTTGGAAGCATACGCCAGACAGCCTTACGGATGACCTCTGTGGGGTCTTTGGCCATCTGATCTTTCAGACTCCGTTCTTTCAGGTGTCCAACGTACCTGCAAACAGAGATTATTTAATTAGAAGAAAGATGGGAGATACTAAGCCAGAAAAACAAAAAATCACTTTTTGGAGGTGAAGGAAGAGGAACATTTAAAAAAAAAAAGGAGTGGGGGGGGTGCTTGCCCAGTATGCCAGCGGTAGAACTTGTCGGTGAGCTTTCTTCCTGTGATGCCTACTTCCTTAGCATTGAGAACAATACAAATGTCCCCATCATCGCGGTTTGGACAATAGGTAGGCTTATCTTTGGCTTGAAGCACAGTTGATATCTGAGATGCTAGTCTACCGAGAACCTAGCGTATACAAGAAGATGTACGAAATTTTAAAAAATGAAATCCTGGCCATTCAGATTTAACACAGAGATGGTTCTAAGGGGAGGAAAGAAACGTTGAGAAAACCTGGCCTTTGGCATCAAATACTCGCCAACGAAGACCGTCGAGATTGATACGCTTTATACCTGCCATAGCTTTCTGCAAGAAAAAGCGAATAATGAGCTACATAATTCGGAATAATCAAAGCTGGTCCGTCCTGTGTTTGTAGCATCTTGGGTGTTATATTCTAACTTAAACTACAGTAGGTCGTCCAAGGTTCAGTGACAGGTGATGAAAGAAGGCGTATACTGTGCAAATCATTCGTTTATTACCGACAGTAATCTAAGGATGGAAGAAACAAGGAACGAATAGAATTAAGAAACAAAAAGTACCTTTAAGTTGCCATTGAATGAGGCAGCAGCTTGATTCGCCATCGTTGTGCCGAATCCAGAAATGAGTAGTTCGGGTAGAGAATGGCAAACAACAAAACTAAAATCCCAAATCAGTATAGTCAGTCATACGGATTCAAATAGCAAAACGACGACGACGGCGGCGGCGAGAAGGGAAGATCTAAGAGCGAGCTTGAAAAAACAAAAAGAGGGTTTTAGAAGGCACAACAGATGCCTAGGGGTATTTTTGGTAGTTTAATATGTACAGACCCAGCTCCGCATTTTTATTCATTATTCATTCATCATATACGGACATATAAGGAAGGAAATGGGAAAAATATATACTAATTAGTTTCAGTCGTCGTCGTCGTCGTCGTCGTCGTCGTCGAGGGTTTAAGGTATTTACCAAAGGGGGGGGGTGATGGCTATGCTGGTGAGACGAGCTCGAATTGCTATTGGCTTTCTCAGGAGGAGCTCCTCCTTGGTTGTTGTCCAGCGTCGCGATTTCTCTCACAACCAGACCCTCTTTTCTCCCCGAGATCTCCAACCCGATTTGTCCTTGCCCCATTTTCTCAGGGATTCTCGTCGAGGCTTCGCTAAATCCAAAAAATCGAGTAGGTCTATGCCAGTTCATTTTTCATTTTTCCTTTTTCATTTGTTCAAGGATTGATTTTAAGGCAATTTCTTTCTTCAGCATCGGTGTTGGTCGACGTAGCTCCAGATATTGGGCCTAGCGTGAAAGAAACAGCCTCTTCACAGATGGAGGCAGCCATCGATGCCTTGTCGCGGGATTTAACTAAATTACGCACTGGAAGAGCTGCACCAGGTACCCTATAACCCACTCTTGTTGTGATGTGTTTTAACAGGAAGGAAGCTTTATGCTTTTCTTCTTCTGCTTCTCCCGCAGGAATGCTTGATCATATTATTGTCGAAACTGAGGGAGTCAAGATGCCTCTCAATCACTTAGCTTTGGTCTCTGTCCTCGATCCCAAAACTTTGTCTGTCAATCCTTATGATCCTGATGTCAGTACCCTTTCTTTCCTCCTGTCTTCATTTTCCGCAACCTTTTTAGTATAAACTTGGACATTGAATCAATCAATGTTAACAGAGTCCAACATCTTCTTCTTTTTTTTTTTGTCTACTGGCTTACTTACTTATTTCCCTCCAACAACAATCGCCTTAAAACTACCAGAGAGAAAGACAAAAGTGTGTTGCGTGTTTCGTTACATTTATCTTTGTTTTCTGCAGACTCTGAAAGAACTTGAGAAAGCAATCGTCTCTTCGCCATTAGGATTAAACCCCAAACTGGATGGGCAACGGCTCGTCGCATCTATCCCAGCGTACGGATTCACTACACTCAAACATCCTTCTCTGTCACATTTCGCTTTTTAGCACAACCGCCGAATCTGACTTGGCCTTCTTCTATTTTTTCCCCCTTGATGTTTTGAGCAGATTGACCAAGGAGCATGTCCAGGTAAAGTTTTTTAAAAAGTTCTCCATGTCTAGAGTTTAGCCTATGTGTTGAGCCTTGATGCTATGTGACCCTCCAGGCAATGTGCAAGATTGTAACAAAGTCCAGTGAAGCTGTGAAACAAAGCATAAGAAGAGCTCGGCAAAAGGTACTGCGAATTTGTAGAGCTCCATGGAAACTGTTAGCTGTATACTGTCTCCTATTCTCCATCCGAATCTAATTATCAGAGACATTTTTTCCAGGCACTGGACACGATAAGGAAAGCAGGCTCAAGTCTACCAAAAGATGAAGTGAAGAGACTGGAGAAGGAAGTGAGTGTCCTTGTGTATCATCTTTTCTGCAATTGGGTTTCCTTCTTTCATTATTGAAAATGGCGTCTTTCTTTCTCTTTGTGTTTTAATAAGGTTGAAGAGTTGACGAAGAAGTTTGTAAAGTCAGCAGAGGAAATGTGCAAGTCCAAAGAGAAAGAGATCACCACCCAAGCCTGATCTCATCACTACTACCCACCCATTACATTATGATCCATTACTAGCTGAAAAAGTTTCAGTCTTTTTTTTTACGGTACCTTGTACTTATAGATCCAAACGTTAAATCATTTTCAGTACGAAGATTTGTTTTGAATGTTCAATTTGATGGTGCTTGGAGGCGACTGATACAAAAGTGATGAAAGGGCCCAATAAATAAAGGCCTGGAAAAGTAACTCCATTAAACTGCCCCCTCTTTTTTTTTTTTTTTAATTGAGGCTACATTATATTGGTGGGAATGGGATTAGAGTTAGCAAAAGAATTCATATACAATTGGCTTTTGTAGTTGAAGAGAACTTTCCAAACTTGAAAACCAAGGTAAGTGAGGGTAGGAGATGAGTCAATTTTGTACCAATAATTTACATCATAATGAAATTGATGTTTTTTGTTGCAACCCTTTTCTATAATAATATTTTTCTACTTGCCAAGAATAATTCAATGATTGGATTCTCTTTTTTTTTAAGGGAAAAAAAAAGTATCAATATATTAATAAGCTTATATCTCAACATCCCAATTTCATAGTGCTTTTAAACTTATTTTAAAATTCATGTATATTTTACCCAAAACTCGGTCCATCTCTGAAGCAAAATTATATATAAAAAAAAAAACCGTCATCACCTACCACACAATCTTTAATTATGCATTTTTCTCACTAAAATGAATGAGTTTGTATATTGATGATATAAGCTGTATAGTTTGTCGGCAAAAATATATATATATACATATATGTATATGTGTATAACTTAAAACAAAACAATCAAAGACAGACAATCTTGCCCACTCGCATTTGTGTGTGTCGGAGGAAAAGGCAATCTAGCGAGTAGCGAGTATGAAAGAAACTTTTTCTGAACACGCGCTATCAAAGCGCGTCGAAACTCGCTTAATGAGGTCCTTTTTTTTTTTGTCACTAATGAGGTCCTTTTTCTAATCAGGACCGGAGATTCTTCGTAACGTCGCCGTTTGTGCACGATCAAACTTTTTTTTGTTCAGATTTTTTTTTTCTTTTTGTCATTTCCAAATGGGTGAGAAAATTCTCCTCTTTTTTCTTTTGGCATCATAATTTTTAATTCTTTCTATTTTCAATTTCCTGCTCTATAGATTCTTCATTCTTTCTCAGTGGCTCATATCCTCTGATTAACCAAAACGCACACAAGAAGAAGAGGAGAAGAAAAACAAAGGCTACGAAGATTGAAAAAATCATTCTTCTGTAAAAAAGAAGGAGAAGAAGAAGTATTCACATTTACATTGCATAGATTCTGCTGTTGTTTGGTATTCTCTCATATCACTTTGACGACTTCTTAGTGTTCTCCAGTGCTGCATTTTGCTATATAATCTCTGTGGGGTTTTCTCTTAAAGTTGCTTAGATCTGATGTAAGAGAAACAAAAACAAAATCAAAAACAAAACAAAACAAAAAGAGCGTCTCAGAAAATCTCTCGAAATGAGCTTTTTTTCATAGTTAGCTATTTTTGTACTTGTGGATTTTGGATCTTGTTCAATCAAACCAATAGTGAATATGGAAAACCAAATTAGCATAGATTTTACTTATAATATGTCGATGCATTGTCTAAACATTTAGCGCTTCGTTGGTTAATTTTCAGATTAAAGTTGAATGCTTTTGGTTAGGCAAAGCTTTCCTGGTTGTTAAAATCCAAGACTTTGTGTGCTTCTGAGTACTGATTCAAGACTTGATATTACAGTTTTTTATTGGCAAAATGGTTTTGGGGTTAAGCTCCAAGAACAGAAGAGGTTCATCGATACAAGTTGATTACCTGATCCACATTCATGACATCAAGCCTTGGCCACCTTCTCAGTCCCTTAGATCACTGCGCTCTGTTGTAATTCAATGGGAGAATGGTGACCGCAACTCTGGGACAACAAATGTCGTTGCTCCTTCCCTTGGATCTGTCATTGGCGAAGGCAAAATCGAATTCAACGAATCCTTCAAGCTTCCTGTGACCTTGTTGAAAGATGCGTCTGCTCGGAACAAGGGTGGTGATGTTTTCTTCAAGAACGTCTTGGAGCTCAATTTATACGAGCCTCGCAGAGAGAAAACACATCAACTCTTGGCAACTGCAACGATTGATTTGGCGGATTATGGTATTGTCAAAGACAGTCTGAGCTTAACTGCGCCAATGAACTGTAAAAGAAGCTACCGTAATACCACTCAGCCTGTTTTGTTCCTCACTGTTCAGCCCGTTGATAGACGCCGTGCCAGTTCTTCATCTAGGAACAGCTCCAAGGACGAAGCTACAAACGGTTGTGAATCTGTTTCTGCCTTGATGAACGAGGAATACTACAAGGAAGCTGAGATCACAGACGATGACATTTCCTCCCATTCCTCCTTGACGGTTTCGTCTTCAACTTTGGAGTCTAATGGTGCTTTTTCTGTGCGAGCTGAAGAGGTAAGTATGATGGCAACATTTGGATTCTCATTTGATATAATTTGGTTAGGTGGATGGAATGTTTCCAAACGGTTTGATGTCTTATTTGCAGGAAGAACATGAGAGGGTTAACAAGAATTCCACAGAAAGTGGCCACGAGAGATCACAATCAGTGTCTGAGAGCAGACAAGGAGAAATTGCTGACCACATTCCGTCACGTTCCTCATCAGTGGATCTATCTTCTGTGTTTAAACTCCCGGTGGACATTCCTGATTCTGTACCCAACACTTCTGTGTCTGAGATCGAGGACTGTGCTAATGTGTTCATAACGGATACTAATGAGAACTCTAAGCTGGTAAGCGGCAGCCAACACAATGACGGAGAGACCAAGTCTATGCCTTTCCAAATTGATGATCACTCGGGAAATGCTTCCCCTCGAGCTTCTGAGAATAGCCAAGATTTGACGAGTGATCAGGAATCAGAGAGTAGAGTTGAGAAATCAAGAAAGGCTAAGTCTGTTCGATCATCCCTGGATATTTCCCGGAGCAATAGCCGGTTGAGTCTATCCAGTGAAAAAAAAGAAGCTAGGGTGTATCCAAAGTCTACACGCGACACAACTTTGGAGAGCAAAGTCAAGAACTTGGAAAGTAAAGTAAAGAAGCTTGAGGGTGAGTTATGCGAGGCTGCAGCCATTGAGGCAGCTCTCTACTCCGTGGTTGCAGAGCATGGAAGTTCATCAACTAAAGTCCATGCGCCTGCTAGACGTCTTTTGAGGCTGTATCTTCATGCTTGTAGAGAAAAGCATCTTTCACGAAGAGCTAATGCGGCTAAAAGTGCCGTCTCCGGATTGGTTCTTGTCGCCAAAGCGTGCGGGAACGATGTCCCTAGGTATGTTGATATTCTACTTTGCTTGTATATCATTCTGAGTAAGCTTTCTCAGAGTTTTAAAAGAAATTATGATGTCTTTGGATCGCAGATTGACATTTTGGTTGTCAAACACTATCATTCTGAGGGAGATCATAAGTGATGCTAATGCAGAAGAGGAACTGCCTGTTTCTGCTGGTCCTGGACCAAGAAGAAGTAAAACTCAGATAGAAGAAACTGAGAAACGATCATCGTTGAGGTGGAAAGAGTCTTCTCTAAGCAAAAAGGACATTGAGAGTTTTGGTGCCTGGGATGACCCTAAAACATTTATAACAGCGCTTGAGAAGGTCGAAGCTTGGATCTTCTCACGGGTGGTTGAATCCATATGGTGGCAGGTAATGCTGCTAGGTTCTCTCTACTTCGTCTCCATTCTCTTAATCAATTATAATACAAATGTTATTGTCTTTTTGATTGCAGACTTTGACACCGCGTATGCAGTCTTCGGCAGCATCCAGTAGAGAATTTGATAAAGCCAATGGTTCTGCCTCGAAGAAAAGTTTTGGTAGAACTCCTAGCTCTGTGAACCAAGAGCAAGGTGACTTCTCATTAGAGCTTTGGAAAAAGGCTTTCAGGGATGCACACGAACGTTTGTGCCCTCTGCGAGCTAGTGGGCATGAATGCGGTTGTTTGCCCGTGCCTGCGCGTCTGGTAAGCATTTCTCCTTTTGAAGTTTTCACATTGAGACCTCAACTCTTTGATTTACAGACAAATGTCCACATCTTTGTAATGCAGATAATGGAACAGTGTGTGGCTCGGCTAGATGTCGCAATGTTCAATGCTATCCTTCGTGATTCTGACGAAAATTTTCCTACAGACCCTGTCTCTGATCCCATTGGAGACTCGAGGGTCTTGCCAATTCCTTGTACAACATCAAGTTTCGGTTCTGGGGCCCAGCTGAAAAACTCGGTCAGTGCACTCAGCTTAATTCCTAGGCAATGCCTTATAGTCTAGTCTCTGTAAAGCTTATGCATTTCTAATTATTAAACAGATAGGAAACTGGTCCAGGTGGCTCACTGATCTATTCGGCATCGATGACGAAGATGGTTGCAGCAGCGATGAAAATAGCTACGTTGATAGATCGTTCAAGACTTTCAATCTTCTCAAGGCATTAAGCGATCTAATGATGCTTCCAAAAGATATGCTACTCAACAGTTCTGTGAGAAAAGAGGTGCAAATGCTACACACACAACTCACAACATTATTTTATCTTGGTTTCGTGATAAAATTTATCTCTTGTCATTGTGAAGGTTTGCCCAATGTTTGGTGCACCGGTGATCAAGAGAGTGTTGAAGAATTTTGTCCCAGATGAGTTTTGCCCTGACCCAGTTCCTGATGCTGTACTTGAAGCTCTTGAATCCGAGGTGAGATGTTTTTATCTTTTTTAAGGATAAATCTAAGGTCAAGAATCAAATCTTACTAACAGAAACGTGATGCCACTTGTAGGAGGAAGCTGAGAAGGCTATGATCACAAGCTATCCATGCACTGCACCTCCTCTGGTGTACTCTCCACCTTCAGGGACTTCGATCTCCGCTATCCTTGGAGACTTTGGACAGCCTCAAGCGCCGCAGTTATGCAGGATCAGGTCTTCGGTTACAAGAAAAGCGTACACAAGCGATGACGAGCTTGATGAACTGAGTTCGCCGTTGGATGTTGTTGTTCTTCAACAGGCGGGTTCCAAGAAGGTCAATAATGGCGGTGCAGATGAGACAGTCAGGTATCAACTTCTGAGGGAGTGTTGGACGAACCGCGAATGATCAGGCATCGATGTGTTTTGTATTTTCAGTTCTCGCTTGCGACTGTTGTAAATGTCTTTGTCAGTTCGTTGTTGTTGGTGTTGCGATGTATAGAACGTAGCACAAACTTTATTCAAAAGTACCAGAGACATGTTGGAGCCAAATCTAGACTTGTAACGGTGATCTAGAGGGTACAAAGAATTATCACGAATAACATTAAGTTAAGAGAGAGGAATTCTTGCTATATATATAGACTCATTACAAGCTGTAGTGTCTCATCCACGTCACTATGGATCTCTCGCAAAACTTTTGAATTACATATTGTGAAAACAAAAAAAAACAAAAAAATCAAAAGAAAATTAGGTGGAGCCTGAAACAGACACATAAAAGAAAGATCAAAATTGATAAAGCGAAGCTTTGCGGAACACCATCAGAGGGTCAGCTTCTGTGAAGTCGCCAAATTAGCCTGCTTCAGATGCAGAGCTTCCAACAAGCCGTGCCATGTTTCTGCTGATGTGGCACCGCCGACATGAAAGTCCAGAAGTTTCCGCTGCTTCCTGTAGTACTCTTCCAGGGGCTTAACCTGATGCATCCCCACAAAGATTTTCACAACAGTTGAAACCAGATATAACAAAGACAAGGATCATAAACACCAACAAAAGTACCTCCTCTGCGTAGACACCGAGACTCTCCTTCCGAGCTTTGATTGCAACCGCTGAGTGTAACATAGAGCCGAGGAACTCCTGTCGAGGCAGAGCTGCTGCATTTAGAGCAGCTCGGTTTACCAGATGCTCCTCCGAGCATTTAAGATTCACAACGAGGTCAATCTGAGCGATTTGATCAAGAGTTTCCTGCAAAACATTCACAACTGTGTGAGGAATCAATAAAACCAAACCGCATATTTTTTAGAACCGAGAATCTGTACAAGATATGCTCGGAACAATCTAATGATAAGCGAGCGTTAAACCCTGATTCAAAACACAAACAAGTGTACTTTCATAAAGAAACTCACGGCTTGATTACGAGTGCGAGGAATTCCGTCAAGAATGAAACCCGTTTCCCCTCTGACAAACCCTTCTTCCAGCCTCTTTGATAGAAGAGCAAACACAACACCCTTTGGAACAAGCTTTCTTTCATTTACAGCACTTGCAATCTGTAAAACAGAGTTTGATTAGTTCCATAGGAAACAAGAGCCACTACGAACCAAAGCCTAGACAGGAACAGGAGATTCCTTGATTAATTGTAGCGAAGCCACTTATTAATGATAGATTCCTTGTAGTTATTGTTTTCATCCCTTGGAATTAAGTATGGTTCATTTAAAGCAGTTGGAATCAAAGTATCTAATCTTTAAAAGAGCACCAAATTGAATGTTAAAAGAGCAAGAATTCAATTCTTGAGAAGGAGACTTAGGAGAGAGTACCTGCTTGTAGAGAGAAGATCTAGGGTTGAGCTCTTGACGGACAAGCGATCCCATGGAAATGTGAGGAACTTGAAGAATGTTGGAGAGCCGCTCGGCGAAGACTTGCCGCAAGGCACCAGGCGCGCCCATCAGCACCCACTGGACTCCCCTCTCCGGCCCGGACCCATCCAAAGCGAGTCTCGGCTCCGCCAAACGGCGATCATCTCCGTACAGATGTTCGTCATCGGAGTCGTAGTCAAACTCCAACGCCGCCGCTGATCCGAAGGATCGACGCGTCGCTACGAGCCTTGGCAACGGCGAAACTCCTCTCACGCGGCTCAGCCATGCCATGTGTAAAGGCGTGGCGGCGGATTCTGAGAGGAGAGAGAGAGAGATGGGAAAGAATCAGCCACAGAGCTTAAAAGAGAGGAGAGAGAGAGAGAGAGGGGTTTGAATGGAGGCGAGGTTTAAGGAACACAAACAGCTGGACTATCTTCTCTCTGTCAATTAATTACCCCTCGCTTTCTCGATAATTCACGAAAATGCCACTCCCACTAAACTGTAGTCTTTCCCATGTGTTAAGTTCCTTATTCGTTGACCATTCCTTCTCTCTAGTTTGTCTCTTACCGTGACAAGAGTAGGCATATTGGCCACGCTAAAGCCCATACCTATAGGCCCAATTATATTCAACGGTTGATATTGTCAACGCACCACACTATTGTAGATTTTGTAGATAGCAAAAAGTAAAGAGATCATATATATACGGGGCGGGCTACTTGTACTATGTTCACATGATTGTTCATCATGATCACGAAGCTTCTTTAATAGAAGAATAGTCAAAAGTCAACGAAATCTTCATCGTCCTTTACCAACGAAATCACCAAGCAATTCTTTTATCCAATAAAAAGAAGAAAAAAAAAAAAAGGGGAAACTTGTCAACATAGAATTGAAAAGCCGCGGAAACTTAGCGTTTCTTTGTCCTTTGGAGCGCCTATAAAGAAGAAATTAACAAGTCCGTCCGTATTTGTAATAGTACGGTCCAGTTATATGATTTTTATAATTTTCAACGTTTATCAACAAACGTCTCTGGTCCATCTTCTATATATATAAGTATTCCACATTTCTATTGCCAAAAGTTCCAAGGACAAAAACGATAAAGTTATATTCGTATCGTTTATTTGCTTCTCTGATCAAGTCTTTTTTATCTTCCATGAAGAACAACAACGTTAACAAACGTGAAGAGTATCAAAGGGTGTTTAGTTGCTTTGACAAGAGCCAAGATGGGAAGGTTTCGTTTTCCACCATCGAAAGATGCGTGGATGCTATTAAGTACGGGAAAAAGGCAGCACCAGAAGAGACGGCTACGGAACCACAGACTCATAAATCGTTGGAACTCGAGGAATTCGTTAAGCTTGTGGAACAAGGACCAGAGGAAGACAAGGAGAAGGACTTGATGCAAGCTTTCAACTTGTATCAAGAGAGTCAAGGCATCACTCCTAAAAGTTTGAAAAGGATGCTAAGTTTGTTGGGCGAGTCCAAAAGCCTTCAAGATTGCGAGGTCATGATTTCCCATTTTGATACTAATAGGGATGGAATTATTAACTTCGATGAGTTTAGGGTCATGATGCGATAATATATATATATATATATATATATATTTCTGTAGTTACAAATGTATCATTCATCTATACTACTATTCTTCTTTACCAAAGGCTTGTAAGAACTCTCTGAAATTAAGGTATTCCCTCTCTCTATTACCGCCTCGTCTTCGTCTTCTTCATTGTCATCCACCAGCCTCGAAACCCTCTCTGCAATCTCAGCCGCGCTCGGCCTTAACTCGGGCTCTTCTGCAGTACAGTCTCTTGCAATTCTTGCTATTTCAAACGCGGAATCAACTGAATAGCTCTCTCCCAATGTGCTATCCATCACTTCCTTCAGCATTTCCTTCTTCCCCAGAACCGTTCTCAGTCTCTTCCACTCGGGAAGACAACTTTCTTGTGTCCCAAGAGATATCTCCTGTTCTTGTGTTTCAAGCAACATCTCAGGGGTATGTCCAGACAAAACCTCCATTACGATAATCCCGTATGCGAAAACGTCAGTAGCTGCAGACATAGAGCCTTCTAGAATGTTCTCCTCCGTCGCTAGTTCATCCCCTGCGCACTTTGACATCCCAAAGTTCCCGACTTTACCTCTGAGATCTTCATTCAAGAAGATGTTTCTGCTCTTGATGTTGCCGTGAACGTAGTTTATCCGATGCATATACTTTAAGGCGATGGCGACATCGTGACAGATCTTGATCCTCTGTTTCCATGCCAAGAAACAGTAACAAGACTCGATGAACTGATTCTTGATCGCCAGTTTGTTCTGAAGCCAATCCCACAGAGATCCATTCTTTGCATACTCGAAAACCAGGTAAGAACCCTCCTGACCGGTTTCTCTGAAACATGTCCCAAGAACCCTAATCAGATTGTGATTGTGATAGTGTGACTGATCGTTGAGAAGCCCAAAATCGAATCTTTTCATTGCATCAGCGCTCACTTGCTTTATAGCCAAGTCTTTGCCTTTGAGCGAACCGAAATAAACCGAACCCTTGATGTGATTGGTTGAGCTGAAATTCTCAGTGGCTTTCTCCAGCTCTTGGAACGCGTAAATCTCCAGAGGGGGCTTTCGCGGCGTTGTGGTGCCAACAGCGTTCTGAGAATCCAAAATCGAACCGTCCTGTGACCCTTCAAACGAGATTTTCTTGTCACTGGTGGTTCGGATGCTCAGACTAAGCTGCCGCGTCTCGGGGTCTTTATTGCTAATCCAGTTTTGCGTTTGCAGCCGCGTCTCTTTCTTCCAGTGTAAGTAACCGAACACCATCAGAGTGATAAGACCGCAAACTCCAGCAATCGCGCTGCTCACAGAGATCATGAGCTTCATCTTTGACCTTTTTCTCTTCCGGCGATTCTCGATCGTGGTGTTTTGTGATACGGGTTTCCCCGGTTTAGGCAACGGATGGAGAACCGGTTTGTGATCAAGAGGTATGAGAGCAGGCCTGAGCGGAAGCACTCCAGATTTGTTGTTTGCGGAGACAATCGCGTCCTCTGTTGTGTTGAACGTAACCGCCAGGCTGGAAACGCTGTCAACGTCACTCACGGGATATGTAACTAGAAATCTGGCGTTTGAAACGCCTTCTTCCGGACAAGAACACCTGACCGCCAAACGCAATGTAACGCTCTCGTCAAGGCTGTCCTCGGAAACTTGTGGATTCTTCTCTCTTATTGATCTGCAATGAAAATTAACACCCTTCGGAATATATATATATATATATATATATATATATATGTATGGACTCAATCGATAACCAAAAAGACCAAAAGAAACTCTTAATGAAGTATTCAGCGGCTCACAAGCACGTGGTCAAGCCTTGCAGAGATGCAGAGACAGAGCGAAAGGTGTCGCCTTTAACACAAGTTTTGAAGAGATGTGCCTCGTAGATCCTTCCATTACATCTGCAGTCAATCGGGATAAACAGTAACTGATGACCTTGCGGAGGAACGAATTCGTCAGCGTCGAGCCCCAGATGCACATGGTTGGGGAGAGAATTTGCTCTGAGAACGGCGAAAGTGTGACACTTTTGGAGGCTTGAGTGGCAAACATAGCTGGAAGTAGAGGTGGCTTCTTCTTCAGGGGAACAGCTAAGCAGATGATTGTGTGAAGTTGGAGAGAGAGACGATGTGGAGATGAAGAGCAAGAACACTACAAGACTTGTCATGCACTTCTTACTAACTGAACCAGCCATGTCACCCATTAACAATAGCTGCGGCATTACAATTGACGCCTATCTATGTATATACAGTCTTTGCTAAAGAGGAATCACAACTAATAGTTTGCGGATATTTTTCGATTTGACTTAACAATTGAATTGATTGATGTTGTACTCGACAGGAGGGGTGGCTCCTATTAATCCCAAGTAAGTTTATACGTACAACAACAAAAATTATTTAACTAATTAATTAATTAACTAGAAAGGACATCTTCTTGTGCTTGGAACTTTTTCTTCGTAAACTCAACAACATTCACAACGTGCAAAGTCCAAGCTAAGTGAATCTCACTTTGTCCTAAGAAAGATTATATTATATTTAGGTATGCGATTTCGACTGTTTCTCGGAACAGGGTTTAGGCCGAGTTAGGACCCACTTTTTCATTTTTGTTGGCGTATCATCTTAGAGTCATGATGGTCCATGTTTCCTTAACTTTATGATAATTCTTTTTACATCGGGTCGAAAGCATGTGCAATAGTTTATAGAGTTCAAAGGTCCAAATTTTCGGAATTGATTCATACCTAAACTTTTATCATTTGAACGTAGCTTACAAAATGATAACCACAAGAATTTGAACACGTATCCATTATTCCATTTTGTGTTAATCTATTGCCTTACTGGTTGAGAAGCAAACACTAGCCCTGCCCATTGTAGTTCAAGCTAGTTAGGACTTCTGATGTAGCGACAATATGCTTTAGTATTTTGTCTTGGGCCAATATCATTCAGAAATTGAGAAGACTGTTTACGAAATGTGACAAGAAAAGTTGAAAGATTTCAAGCCACCTTATACGGTCATTCCAGAAGAAATATATAAAAAAATAAGACCGAACCTTTAAGATCGATCCAATGGTTTGGTCAAGTAAAATCCAAAACATATAGTGTGTGGAGAATGATTTGGAATTTGATAGTAGGGGGGGAAACAAAAACAGGAAGACACAAAAACATTATCAAGAAGCTGAAAAGACATGCAAAACAAAGCAAGGACGACAAAACATCAAGGAGCCAAAAGGCTAAGTACTCTTTAGGTCCAATTTGCAATAAATCCCTAAGTTGACCCCAAAAGAACAAGGAATAAAGATTAAAACATATTTTTAACGATTTTAAAACTTTTAATTTTTCTTCAAAATACTAATACCTTATGATAAAGTGATCGAATACATTGGAATTTACCCTTAAAACTTAGTACCCAATTCCTAATAAGTAAAATACCCGGCCGTAAACAATATCGTGCGTGCTCTGTACTAGATCCCATTGTATAGTCTTGTGTTGAGGGAATTAATAATTCAAAAAATGACGTGTTACAGTTCTTGGAACCAAGACTATTTATACATCACGATTCACGAAAAATGGAGGACCAACTTTTTGAACCCTGAGAGAAACGAAGAGATACCGTATTCCGATGTGAATACGACGCCGGTTAAGCACCACCGCCACCACGTGCAACTTCCATATTTTCCATTTAAAGTAATACTCCCTCTGTTTTATTATAGTTGATTTTCTAGGTTTTTTTTCTTGTTTCATAATATTTGATTTTCTACATCTAATTAATGCACATCTTTTCTTTAAGTTGAATAAATCATATTTATGCATGTTGCTTTACAAAACTTATTAATTGTAAACATTAATTAAAAGAAAGGAGATGAAAAGCTCAGGTTAAAGTAAAAACCAGTAATAGTAATAAAAGTAATGAAATTAATTATAAAAATAACATAATTAAACAAAATAAACAGCAAATAATTGAGCATTTATAACTTTCTTAATCTGTATGTAAATATTCAGAAAATCAACTATTAATGAAATAGAGGGAGTAATAATTTAAAAAAAAAATGAATTATTAGCTAAAAGACTTGAAAGGCATATGCTATAAAATACTTGTGCATTAACTTAATCTGGATCATCCGTTTGGCCTCCGCCGCTAGATTTGCAGGATCCGAACATCATCTTTCCGACTAACTGTATATATGGTAGACAAATGATCTGCGTTACTAGCCGTTAGGTGTTTTCTTTATAATGGCAGTTGGGTCAACCCGACTCTCGACCCGGCTTCGACCAAATCTTACGCGTCTGATGACCTGGAAGAGGAATAGAGGATGGTGGCTGATAATTACATACTATGTGTTTCTTTTGGTTTACATCTTTGAACTGTAGACCTTTATGGCAATCACCACGCAGCCCAATTTTTATACGACTCAATAACATTTGGCCCAATCAATCATATTTTTTTCTGTACCTCGGACCCAATCAATCATCTTCCATAATCTTTTATCTGGTCAACGTCAGGATGACCATTTTTTCAAATTTTGGAATTTATTATTTATTTGTCATCTTTTATTTTTTTTTATTTTTTTAGACGACATATTTGTCATCTCTTATAAAACAACGAGATGATATTAAACTTATATTTATCCTAACCGGCAAATGAAATTCTAGATAATTCTAAATTAGATGTGAGAGCGACAAACATTTGAGACTTGAAGCATGAAACACAAGAACAGCAGCAAAATGTAAGAACGAGTCAAAAAAGTAAACAATTAATATAAATCAGGAAATTTGAGAGAGGGGCGAGCCCACATTATAATGTTAGGACCAATACGAACCCATAACCTAAATATCAATACAGGGGACAATTAAGACACTTACCAAATCGAAAACTGCTCCTTTTTTGTGCTCAATTAACTTCACTTTGAAGCCCCAATCTCACACACTCACTGTCCTTCTCTCTCTCTCCTCTTTGCTTCTTCATCTTCCTTTCTTTCTCTCTTGTCTATGCCTTTTAGATTCCCTAAACCCATTTCCTCTCTCTCTCTCTCTCTCCCTCTCTCCCAACAGAATTCTCTCTCTATACACACGCACGTACACGAGTGATCAATCTTCAGATGGGTTCGTGTGTCTCCTCTTCTCACAACGACAGGAGCTACTCCGCCTCTGATTCTGCCGCAAAGCTTGCGGCTTTAATCTCTAAATCCGAGACGATCACAACCACGACATCGCCGGTCAAGAATGACGTCATGATCAGTGGGAACTCTCTGATAATAGATTCCGGCCGTCGGGGTTCATCAGGTGTATATATATATATTATTTACATATGATCATATATAATTCTTTGCGTTTGAGTTATTTAAAATATAGTATTCTTTGTTCTTGTTTTATCTAGAAAGTTTCTAGATAATTTAAGTTGGTAGTGATCGATTGGTTGCTTTTGTGCCGACAAATGTAAAGTCGTTAGCTTTTTTAGACCCAATCAAGATGATTTAGGATTTACACTAATTCGGTTACAATATCGTATATTGAGTTATAAGCATTATAAGATGAAATTAAGTACTTTTTTAATCTGATCAAAATTGTTGTGATGATGGTAATGAGCATGGGTAAATGTGCAACGGGGTCTATCTATCTATCTATACACTACATAATAGCACCACATGGACTATGGTGAAGCATACGCTAGAGGTTAGAATGTCTTCAAGGCATTTTTTTTTTCTTTCGAAGTCTTCAAGGCATAGACACTAGACAGTTTAACGATATGTGTGAATGATATATATATATATATATATATATATATATGGACCACACTTCAAGTTGCAACTTTCATAAATAATTAAAAAGTCTTTGGTTAATAAATGTATGATGCAGAAACGTTTTGTTAAATATTTACAACAACCATATGTATAGTTAGGGGTGCAGCTAGTGCATTCACTCAAAACTTCGAAAACCTTTAAAGTTTAAAACTATCATCCTCTTTCTTGTGACAAATTACAATATATGATATACCATTGATTTGGAATGTTTTATAAGGTAATAAAGAGGAGGTGATGTTTTTCGATTCAAGGGGGTGGCTTGATTCTGACTGTGAAGATGATTTCATGAGCGTTGATGGTGGTACGACTTCAACGTTTACTTAGATTATATTTAAAAAATCTACATCTTGATTTTTTTCCGAAAAATAATGAATTGATGATGTTAATTTGATGAAAATAACTGCAGAGTTTACGCCTTCGCGAGGAACAACACCGGTGCATCACAAATTCTCTGACCAAAGTACTCAGAAAGCAAAAACAGATGAGATAAAACATGAAGAAGAACTGTCCCCGACCGACAACAAGAAGAGACTCCTCGAACTATTCAAAGAGACACAAGAAGAAGATGAGGATGAAGAAGAGGATGACGTGGCAGAAGGCAAAGCTAGAGCATGTCTCTGGCTAAGAACACCGGTCAGATCCTCTGCGCCGGCGACTCCTTATAATATTAATGACAGAGAAAGAAAACAACTCAAGAGGGTGAGATCGGAGGCTCACGGCGGCTGCATTCTGCGTTTGGTATCTTGTAGCAGCTTCACTGAGCGTCGACGGAGGATGATGAATCATACACCCATTGACGTCCAACGCTAATAACACCCAAGAAGACAAAAACAGAACAACTTAATTAAACTACTACTATACATTCTGTTTCTTAATTTGTCCCTTTTTTTTGGTTGTCTTTTCAAAGGATCGAACAATGTTCTCATTTCAGCTCATAATGATTATTACAGTTGTAACGCACTCTTTTCCTTATTTTTCCATAAGATTATTTGTAATTTTAGCTTTGCAATCACTCAAATTAATTGATGACACTGAAAATAAAAACAGATATTTAAACCTGACTTTGGAAAATAATTAAATCTATTATATAATAGGAGAGTTTTCTCTCCATTTAGGATGTCCACATCAGTATAAGAAGAAAATTACAATGAATAACTCAATTAATTCATACACTTTAAATAGTATTATTTTCATTTAAAAATAAAATAAAAACACTAATACTAAAGTTAATGACTTCATTAATTCACACATTGTTTATAATCATTATTTTTATCAAAAAGAAGCAGAGAAAAAGCTAGAAAAAATAAAAATAAAAAGTAGTTAAAGAAAAAGATGATGAAAATGAAACTCAAGACGACGAAAAAGAATAAGAAAAAAGAAGAAGATGAAAAAATCAAAATATAAAGAAAAACATGTAGATGAAGATGAAATAGAAGATGAAGAATACATACACGGGATAAGTAAATATAAGAAAAACAAAATTAGAAAAAAAGATGAAGAAAAACAAAAAAGAAAAGAAATAGAAGTTGAAGAAGATGAAGATGAAGAAAAAAAGGATAAAGAAGAAGAGGAAGAAGAACTCAAGCTGATGAAGAGGAATTTAAGAAAATACGAAGACAAAAATGTTAAAGATGAGAAAAGAGACCGAAAATGAAAAATAATATACTATCTTAATATGATGATGGAGAAAAAGTATAATAAAATCAAGAAAATAAGAAAAAGAATATGATGAATTAGCTGTTTAAAAATAAAATATGATGAAAGTCTATACCCACAAAATTTAATATTAACATATATTTAAAAAATATATATATACATATATATTTATATTCATATCTAGTATATTTAGTACAAATAAATAAAATAAAATAAATTTTAGTATAAAGATGCAGACAAAAAAATTAAAATAACAAATTATGAGAATATGAGAAAATAAAGATAGAGAAAGAAAAAATTTGTTGTTATATAGAAACACTATTAAAAATAATTAATAGAATACAAGCATTGTTAACACAATGCAAACCATAAAAATTATTTATTAAACAAAGAAAAAAAACTTATCAAATAAATTCTTTTTAAGAAATAGCAGAACATACGTTTAAATCCGCGCGAAGCGCGGACTCAACCCTAGTTGCTTTAATAAGCAAGTTGAACATTGATTCTAAATTTCTAATTGATTCTAAAAAAAGTACTTACAATCCATTTCCTATTCGTAGATCATATAAAAATTACTGTATTTCTCTTACCAGGAAATCAGCCATTTGGATTTGGTGACACTAAGAACTTGATATTTTGATGCTATAATTGGAAATACAGCTTAAGATTATACGTTACTTTTTAGATTTTCCCTAAATAAATCGATATATTATAGCAAAACATCTATAAATATTTCTGACTGCATATAATCTGCCCATTATACATGTTCCTAATTAACAGCACATTTTGACTGAAACCTAAGAAGAAGAAAAAAAAGGCATATATATAACTGTTTGGAGAATAGAGGTCGACAGGTTCCCAAATCCTAAATAGATTATTATTAGAGTAACTAACTAATAGAGTGGAATGCAATCATCTAATGAAAAAGCCATCGAACTTTTATGGTTTCTTCTTGTTTTGTTTGCTGTTAACCATGTGATCATTTGCATCGAAGCTGGAAGCAACTCCAAATGGATCAACTCCACGGCGACAATGTCTGCGCAAACATTCGAATCTACATCTCCATTACCCGTGGAGACAACCTTCAAGTTTCCATCTCCATTGCCTGTTATCCTTCCGGGTCCGGGTCAGGGAGGTGAGAGAAATTTTGGGAAAGGAAAGATAGATCTGGGAGGCCTTGAGGTGATCCAAGTCTCCATCTCAACGACAACGTCCAAGAGAGTATGGAGAACATTTGAAGGAGGGCCGGAAAACATGGGAGCCAGCATCTTCGAACCAGTTAACCTTCCTGCTGGCTTCTTCAAGATTGGTTTCTATGCACAGCCCAACAACCGTATGCTTTTCGGTTGGGTACTTGTTGCAAGAGACGTATCTGGGAATAGCCTGAGAGCACCCGTCGACTACATCCAAGTCGGGAACACAAACTCCATCAATGTCAAGCAAGACGGGCCTGCATATATTTGGCAGCCCCTGTGCCCCAATGGGTACCAAGCGGTAGGCCTATCTGTCACGACATCTCCTACGAAGCCCACTTTAAGACAGGAGGAATCTATAAGCTGTGTTCGATCGGATCTGACGGAACAGAGCGAGGCCGATAATACATGGGTATGGGGGATAAAAGAGATGACTACTTTGTCTGGCTCGAGACCGGCTAAGAGAGGAACAGAAGCAACAGGTGTGTACACGGGGACATTCAGCTTTCAGCAACAAAACTTTCCTCCTCCGTCTTTATCCTGCTTGAGAAACACAAGATTGTTTGACAGCTTGTCTAGCATGCCAAGCGAAGATCAGACCAGAGATTTGTTCCGAGCCTACTCTCCCTGGATATATTTTCATCCGAGAGAGGAGTTTCTTCCTTCCTCTGTCGACTGGGTTTTCTCCAATGGTGCCTTGTTATACCAGAAAGGTAACGAATCCAACCCCGTCCCTGTGAAACCAAACGGTTCAAACCTTCCGCAAGGCGGCTCCGACGATGACTTGTACTGGTTGGACTATCCGGCGGATGAGGGCGCGAGGGAAAGGCTGAAGAGGGGAGACTTAGGAAACAACAAGGTGTATCTACACGTCAAACCAATGTTTGGAGCCACTTTCACTGACATTGTCGTCTGGATATTCTGTCCTTTCAATGGCAATGCCCGCCTCAAGTTCTTGTTCATAAAGAGCCTGTCGCTAGGGGATATCGGGGAACACATCGGAGACTGGGAACACGTTACGTTGCGCATCAGCAACTTCAACGGCGAGTTATGGCGCGTCTACTTCTCGGAGCACAGTGGAGGAACTCTAGTGGAGGCATGCGATCTAGAGTTTCAAGGTGGAAACAAACCCGTGGCTTACTCGTCTCTTCACGGACACGCCATGTTCTCGAGGCCAGGGGTCGTGGTGCAAGGCGGGCAAGACGGAAACAACGGCGTAAGGAACGACATGGCAAAGAGTGACAAGTTCTTTGACGCTGGTGCTGGATATGAGGTGGTTGCGGGACCCGGGATCGTGGAGCCACCGTGGCTCAACTATTTAAGGAAATGGGGACCAATCGTTCGACATGACATTGAAAAGACCCTTGACGGCATCGCCAAGACATTGCCGGGACTTTTGCGTAAGAAGTTGCGAAACCTCATCAACAAAATTCCTCGTGAATTGCTTCAAGGAGAGGGCCCCACAGGACCAAAAGTCAAAACGTCTTGGACCGCTGATGAATAGCTTTCATTCATTCGTATCATATCTTAATTTTGGATCCTCCATCGGACAGAGCCGACCAATTGATGAGAAACTAAAATAAAAGAATGAAATTCTGCTTTCGAGTTTTTCGGCTCATCTCGGTCTATTTGACTAGTAGAAAACAAAACCAGCTAGGCTTTGTTTTCAAATATCAATGCAGCAGGGAAATTGAAAAGATATGTTGTTTTGTTATGTAGAGGGCGTTGACGCCTTGATCGAATCTCAGACCAATTTGCTGAACTTTGTACCATGAGAAGCTTTCACTTCAAAGTCATGAAGGACAGCTTCTCTCTCTCTCTCTCTCTATTTTCCTTTAATTTAGGTTATTTTTTGCCATCAAACATCATCATTACAATTTACGACCAACTAGTTAATTTTGATATGTAAGCGGGTAAAGATTAGTATTGTGTTTGAACACCTTTTGTATAGTAGCCCTCAGCCCATAATAATATAATAAAAATGTAAAAGGGTCGAAAAAATGCGTTGGTTGGTTTTACTTTTTACCCAAAGAAAAAAAGAGAAAAAAAAAACGCAAACATTATTACATTAATTTTTTTAAAACAAAACTAGTAATCATATTCTAAAACAAATAAATAAATTGTTTGAGAATGCAAATCTGGTTCTCCTCATCGAGATCCATCTCTCCGGCGAACACGGACTTGCATCCCACCAGCCATGTGAGCCGTGAGCATTGGCACAAAACCCGGTTTGGACGAACCGATCTGTTCAATCTCAAACCGGTCTAGCATCGAAGCCACAACGTATTTCATCTGCACGTACGCCATCTCTTCCCCGAGACAAACCCTCGGACCGGCTTGAAAAACCGGAAACTTGAACGGATTCACTTTCTTCAAAACTCTGGTTGTACCAATACAAGACTCAACCCACCGGTTTGGTTTGAAGTCATCCCAATCTTTCCCCCAAAGCTCCTCCATTCGACCCATCCCATATGGAAAATAAGTGACACGGTCACCGGCACGAACGGCCGTGCGGTCAGGTAACCGGTCATCGGTTAGGGCGTGTTTGGAATCCCACGGCACCGGAGGAAACAAACGCATCACTTCACACAAGCACGCTTTCAGCAGACTGAGTTTCTTCAGTGACTCGTAATCAAAACACGGTTAGGGCGTGTTTGTTTAAGTTTTGCGTACCACATGACAACAGCAAAACTTAAACAAGAGTTTCAAAGAGCTCTGTTTCTCATTTTATTTATTTAAATACTATAAACACCCAATTTCGCTCACATGCATATTTAAAGGGGAGCAAGTCTTGGTTTGAAACAAAAGGGTGAAAGAGAGGATAGACAAGTTGTGGTGGTGACTTGATCTACAAGTTAGAGTGGCCAAGGCGGAGAAGGACACGGTGCCACGAAGTGTTGAGCACCCCTCTTAGGTTCCACACTGACTCCACATTTTCCGGCTGAACATTCGCCGCCGAATCCACCTGCCCCATTCCCCACAATTTTTTTATTTTTATTTTATATTAACGAAGTCAGATCAGAATCCACTTTAACACAGCAATTCACGGAGCAAGAAAAAGTTGAGGCTTTTACCGCTTTGGCGATGACCTCGGTACTCTGAGAAACATCAATCGTGGCTTCAAACAACACCCACGCCCATTTGTCGCTGGAGTTGTGTTCAGAGATGTAATGCTTTCCTTGTTCCTGTCTTCTACAAGCTTCCACCCAGCTTTTGCCTCCATCCATGGATATGTCCACTCGCTCTATCCCGCGCCCACCTCCTGAAACCGCATATCCTTTGATACTTACCTGCAAAGAAAAAAAAAACAAAACATATAACAAATTAGATTGAATTTGCTTCTGCTTTGGATTGAGTCATGAAATTCAGCTTGCTACTCCTCTCACCTTTCCAGGCTTCACCATTTGCACGTCCTCCAAGGAGCAGATTGCACTCTGTTCAACAGAAAACAATGTTTGATTTAGATTTCACTATCTGATCAAATTCGTAGGCAACTGTGCTTCCTACCAGTGGATTTTCGAAAAAATGATCAGTCGATTGAATAAAGAAAAACATGAAAACCAATATCAAATGAACTATGACCATGACAAGGACATTTGGAAAATCATAGGATTCCTGAGTCAAGTATTCTGTAAGAAAGAGGTCGTTAATCTTGTATTTATTTACCTGAACAGGGAAATCCATTTGCGGCCTCCTTGAGGACCAGTTGATATTATCCCAATTGACAGAAGGTGGGAACATTTTGTAATCTTTTTGCATGAAGAATCCCTAAAATCACATTGTGTGACCCAAGCCAGATCTGCCAACGTTAGCGCAGTTTCTGATGGCTGAAAAAAAAATAAAAAGAAAGGCAGGGTGGTAAAGCAGGAAACTTTTGTTGAGACCTGGCATTCTTCAGCGATTACATTGATGGAATCAAGCCATTTTACGGAACGAGCACCAATCACTCCGGGGACAACCACCCTTAACGGGAACCCGTGATCCCTATTCAGGGTCTTCGCAAAAAGAAAAGCATTTTTGAACAAACAAGCACATCTCTAAATATGATTTAAAACAAAAAACGAGAGAGGAAGCAAGAGAACCTCTCCATTCATCTCATAAGCGAGTAGAACATCGGCTTCAGGATTTGTGGCTTGACTTAGAGGGATTGACGCCTTGTAAGGGCCCCCATTCTCCTCCTAGAGGAATCAAAACGAGCACAGACTTGATTAACATGTCAAATAACACACAAAAGAAAAATGAGAGAAAACGATAGATAGTATACCTTACAGCGATCAACACTAACAAACTCAACATGTCTGCCTCCTAAATTGGTTGAAGCTGTGAGCTTTGGTATCCCCAAAAGCTCAAGAACATCGGCCAATTTGGCCCCGCCCCAGACAGCTATACCAATGAAAGGCACGGTCTTTGGTATGTACGTCAAGCCAAAATATTATACAGACAAATGTCTCGTTCTTGCCTATGGGTAGGAAAAACCACAAAAAAAAGAAAAGAGTAAAACAAACGAACCGTTTCCAATAGCAGAAACATCCCATCCGACACCTCTAACATTCCTCACTTTGCTCATGGCAGTCCTTCTGTTACCGGCACACTGCATTCCAACATCAACAACAAATACAAACATCTGGTGTTTGTGTATTGTGAAAAACCCAAAAAACTTTTTTTTTTTTTTTTATAATTAAAAAGGCCAATTACACGTGCAAATTAAAACACCTGTAGAGTAGCAGTAACATTGTACTTTGGCAGTGACCTGAAATTTTGATAAATTTTTAATGGTAGAAGACAGTTCTTTGAAGAAGAAGAAGAAGATACAGACATGTATACATAGTTAGGAGAAAGGAGAGCATAAACCACCTGATATCTTTCATAAACAGCTTTCTTGGGTTATGGATTAATCCGGTGAAGGTGACGGAGTAGCTGGTTTGGGAAACAAAATCCAGAATCAGGGAATGGAAAAAGGAAGCGATGAAGGAGTTATAGAGAGAGAGAGAGAGAGAGAAAAAAAATGAACCTTTCAAGGTCATCAACAATAGGAATGGGGCCATGGTTTCTCTTGTAGAAAAGCTCGACAGGAGTGACATAAGATGAGACTAAGGAGGAGCGAGGAGGCTCAGCATTGAAGGGCTCCTGTGTAACCAGAAAAATGGTCCTCAATTTTTAGAAAAAAAAAAACGAGGCAGAAGACAGATCGATAGGATAAAGAAGAAACAAGAGCAGCGGAAGTATTTAAGAAGAAAGAGCGCTTGCCTTGGCGTTGACCTTGAGAGAAGGGTGGCGAGCTGGTTCCTGCGAGTATTCCGATGGCCCTCGAATTCCAGGCATCTTCTTCTTTCTTCTTCTTTGATCTTGACGAATCCTCGAGATAAACCAAGTACTGAAATGACGCTTGGCTCTGCGTGCCTTGTGACGTGTCAAAAGGCCTTTAAAAGGTTGTTCATTCGGCCCAAGGACCCAAAAAAGGTCGGCCCATATGGCGATGTGCAACATTGGGGGTTTGAATTATCTGATGATAACAAAAAGTCATTTTGTCCGAAAGCAATGCAATTTGTGTTTGTGGGAGTAATGGTATCCAAAAGATGAATTTGTGAAACTTGCGGTCCAATAAATCAAGAGGGATATTAGATTTGTCCAATCATCAGGCCGAACACAGGGCTGTGTTACCTGAACCCAATTGGCAAGAGAGGCATGAATCCAATTATCTTCCACTTATCTCTCTCTCTTTTTTCTAAGATCCTTTGATCACTTTTGAATGTCCATTAATTAAAGACCCTCGCTGCTCCGGCAAACCAAACCCAGCTATACAGATTTTTATTATTCTCAACTCTCAAGTGTGTTGTGCTATATTTTATACTCTATTGCTTCAATCAGATTAGGGGGACATTTTACGGTCTAACTTGTAAAATTTTCATTATTAAAAAGGAAAAACAACCCAAACATATGATAGACGTATAACAAATAAAATATATTTATTAATAACAAGGATACTGGCTAGGAAAGAAAAACAAAAAAAACCGAATTATATAGCAAGGTAATTAATTAAAGAGGTACATAGATATGCTAGATGTGAATGTGAATTTGAATGGCGATGACCAAAATGGTGATAATAGCGAAGAAGAGAATGGCATGAACCAATATGGAGATGCCGCTTGTGGTCATGTTGCCGCACTCCAACACTCTCCTCCTCGCCGGCAGCTGAAAGAGAAGCCCCGGCGACAACACTACGAACAGCACCACCGCAACCGCCACCGGGCCCCAGTCAGCTCCTCCCATATCGGTTAGAGTTTCAAAAGGTTCGTTCGTCTTGTCGGGCGTCGAATAACTAATTAATTAATTAGAGAAACATTTATGCATGCACTTGGTGACGTGTGTGAGCATAGGTGTACTAATTAGTTGAAATCTATAAACTATTTAAGGATGACAGGAAAAGGGAAGAGACTTGATTGGTATCTTCCTTTCTTGTTAGATACATCTATACATCTATACACATACTTTATGTCAAGCAAGTTAAAGTATTGATACTTGATTGGGTTTCTTTGGTTTGGTTTCGATTCTTTTGCTTTCTCTTTATTATTTCATAAATTCCATGATTTGATTGGTGACCGAGTTCAAAGTTTTTCTTTTTCTTTTTCTTTTTTTTTTGGGGGGGGGGGGGTTTATGAATTGATCCAAATTAAGAAGGATGCGGAAATGCCTGAAAGACGAGACTCGTATATATGCTTATGTTCCAAAACAAGCAATACAATCAAAATATTCAATTCTTTTTTTTAGATAATACTCCCTCTGTTCAAAATTATTTGATGTTTAAGAGGTTTTTTTTGTTCAGAATTATTTGATTTTTTCATTTTTCAATGTAAAATTTAATGAATTTTTATTGTTTTGACTTTTTATATTCTGTAGATTATCTTTTTATTGGCTGAATGATATTTAAATAAATTATAAATAATATTTTTAGTGTAGAAAAAATAAAAATTAAATACATCCTTAATCTGTGTGCAATAATCTTAAACATCAACTAATTCTAAACAGATGAAGTATATTATAGAACATTAAAGATGAAGTTGGAGAGACAGTCCAGAGAATAGTTATTTCCTTCATCCTTCAGTCCAGAGAATAAGCTCTACCAAATTTACATGTTAACTAAATGTCCAGTATAATTTAGAATGTATTTTTTGATGTTGAGGAAAGAAAAAACAAAAACAAAAAATGGGGGCATAATTCTATGTTAACGTGGCTGCATTAACTTGAGCTCTACCAAATTTGCATTAGTCACATTATGAGTGGGTGCACGTGCCCCTCCTAATTGTGTAAGGTGGATTATATTATTCTTTCTCCTTTTTACGATCAATTCATCCAGAATACGTACCAATTTAATAACTGCATGGACAAATGGACTATAGTTTGTAATTATTAGGGAAAAATAAGTGCGTTTTACAACCTCTATTGTCATTAGGGCTCCCTTTTATATATTTAAGCTAGCAATTAAGTTATGAGTTATGCCTTAGATATATAGGTCAACAATCAGCTAAATCCTAATTAACGATCAACATCTTCATGATCTAAGCTAATAACAGTCGTCGTCGCTCTCTCACAATGGTCCATCTTAAACCTTTCACGAACCGAAGAGATATAAGAAGCGGCTCTAGCGTCAACGCACTCGTCCAAACCATTGATCCCTCTACCGATCAGCTTCTCTGCCATCTTGTTCAGCTTCTTCTCCATATCTTTACCGTTAGAGGCCACGGCTGCAAATCACATCATCACATCACTGGTTATATATATATATATATATATGTATACAACTAAAGAAATATAAAGCCTAATTACGTACATGGTTGAAGGAGGAAGCTAACTTTAGGAGGGAGAGGAGGAGTAGCGTAGTTATTGAAATCAGGTCGAAGAGCGTAGGAAGTTGTGGTTGAGGAAGTGTAATTAACATTATTATAAAGGTCTTGGGAAGGAGTTGGAGGCTTCACAGGTTTGCAAAAGGGCACAAGCTTAGCTATCACGAACCTTCTTGATCTCTTTGATATGTTCATCTCCATGATGATCACTTACATATACTTACTACTTATATTTGAATCCTTGTTGGTGGTACTAAATTCACACATATAGATATGCGTATGGTATGGATATATATATATATATATGGATAGGGTAGAGTTTGGTTATGTTATGGCAAAGGCATGCAAAAAAATAGATAGATAGATAGAGAGGTATCAAAGACGCGTGGTCCTTCCCCTTACAATAATATCACTCAGAAGCATCAATTCTTTGATGACCAACTTCCAACTTTCATTCTCAATACGATCGACACATCTAATTTTACTACTTACATTAAATATAGTTTCAACATTTTACGCATTATTTTAATTCTCCCGCGCTTTCTCTCTCACGACAAAGAGTCAAAACGAAAATATGACCAAATCTTCTAAAACAGCTGAATATGTATTAATACACACACACACATTCATTACTCAACAACAATGCCTATTCCTTTCTAGCCATTTAAGAAAACAATAAATACAATTGTGTTTTCTTATAGTAACATTCTTCAATGGAAAAAGAAGAAAGGCTCGGCATATATATATATATATATATATATCTTTTGAGAAGATTCTGATCATATATTCTGTTGTATATTTGCTTTTGGTCCAAAGGTATGTTGATGTTATCTCTTGATTACGATACTTTGTTATTGGGATTACCTACGTCGACATAACAATATTCCAGATGACATCACATATGGTCCCTGGTCCTTTATATGATAAGATTTCGTTCGTTAAGAAGTTGACGAAGAGTCCTTTATTATTAGCACACACATACATACAGATAAGAGTAAAACAAAATTGCATCCATTATTTGGAGTAAGTTGGGCCTTTTGGGCTGATAAAGAAATATATAAGAGCCCATAAAAGCTAATGGGCTGCTTTCTTAATCAAAGTAAACAAAAGCCGTCCGTAATCCCTAGCGACGAACGGAAGCAGTTGAATATTTGGGGGAAAATGGGTTTGACCAATTTCATTCTGACGGTGGCCGGCGTTGGCGCGGTGGTGCTCCTCTTGAAGGGCGACGTCAAGCAATCCGCCTCCGTTTTCAGGCGCAACGTCAAGCATATTCGCAACTGGATCGAGGAAGAAACCTCCGCCGCTTCCAAGTAAGCGCACTCTCTCTCTCTCTCTCTCTCTCGTCCATGAGGTTATGGGGTTCGATTTCAAATTATTCTCCTGTTTTGAAGTAATCGGAATTAAAAATATGGACATGTTTTACCGGCTGTGATAACGATCTTAGATCGCAAAACTGGCAAGATGGTTCTCTCAGGTTCGATTCAACAACGGCTCAATATGATTCTTCAATCCTACAAAGGGTTTGTGGTAATTTGAAGAAAAAACAGAGGAAGAAGATATATTTCAGTTATCTGAAAGCGAGAAGCTAGTTTTGTGACTGCGTTTGAATGATGAGTGACTTATACTGTTGCTTTCAGGGCAGAGACACCAAAGCCAAAGGAGATGATAGATTCAAAGGTTCCAAGGAAGGGCGTTTCTGAACCCAAGGACAAGGATTAGTGACAGTGTGTACATATATACGCGCAAATGAGAGGGGAGTGTTTTTGCTTTATATATACTAGTCTCCACCATTTCGATGCGTTTAAACTATGGAGAGGAAGAGCATCAATGTTTTCACACTGGTGTGCTTATTATATATGTGTCTGTGTTATATAATCATTGCTGAGCAATTTAGCATGGGTGGATTTTCAAAATCAACAAAATACAAAACAAGTAGTACATGATCACATGTAGGATTTGAGACGGGGTCTCATAAGAGACTGCGCTCCATCCACCAACACAGTGGTGCCTGTCATGAAGCATGAGCCGTCGCTGATCAAGTAAATCACTGTCGAGTAGAGATGTTTCTCCGGGTCAAGCCATTGCCCAAGCGGTGCAGCATCCTTGACCAGCTTCTCCGCTCGATCTCTACCCCCAACGGAAGCTATATATTCATCTCCAAGATGCAGCCCTCTAGAGATCATGTTGACCCGTATCTTGTGCTTCCCTAGACTCATGGCTGATGCCTGAAATACCCCCCATCTCAGATCATCTATTGATTGATTACTGTTGTCAACACACACACACACACACACACACACTCTCTCTCTCAAGTTTACTAGAAGACTGGGAAGTGTAAAGATACATACCCGAACCAGCTGGTGGATTCCAGCAGAGGCTGTAGCGTAGGCATCAGCTCCTGGGTAAAGCCCTCTCTCGCCGCTAGCGATTGTGGCCATAAAGACAATGGAGCCTCCAGATCCATGTTGTTTCATCCTGCTTGCGACGGCCTTCAAGAGGAACCATGGAGCCGTGAGGTTGATCTTTGTGATTCTCTTGAACTCATCTTCACAGACGTCGAGAATGTCCTGCATCTTCCCTGCAAGGAAAATGACGCACGCTCTGTTTCATCTTCCCCTCGCCCCAACAAAAAAAAAAAAAAAAGAGATCAGCAGACCTTGGTAGGTATAGCAGTTGAGAAAAGCATCGAAATTGCCGAAACAAGTCCAAGCCTTGTCAACAGCCACACGGAAAGCTTGCTCGTTATCAGCTTCCATGTCGATTCCAATGAGCTCCACAGGGAAGGCTCCCTCTATGGAAACTCGAATGCTCTCTACAATGCTCTTTAGAGAAGCCTCATTTCCCATCATAACCAACCTAACACCATCACAACAACAACAACTCACAGTCACAGGGAGAGATGAGTGAGAGATCTAATCTCTTTTTTTTTACTTAGTTGTGCTGTTGTTTAGTCGGTAAAAATAGACACAGCTTAATTAATTAAACAATTAAAAGTAAGGTCTCACCGGCAACCGTGTTTGGCAAGATGGAAAGCGATGTTTCGCGAAACCTCGTCGCCGTCGGATGTCATCAACACCTTCTTCGACGGATTTTCCATCTCCCAAATCCCCTCAAATTCAAATCACTTGAGCAGATCTCTGATTCACAAAATTCGCCCTTTTAGTGGCTTCTTTTTTTGGTGTAAGAAAGAAAGAGAAAAAAGAAGGACTCTGTCTCTGTCTGGTTGTCTATATCTGTCCGGCCGAACAACCGAAACTGTGTTCCCTTACTGATGATGCCGACGATACAAAGCTAATTGCCGATTCACGTTGTCAACGATTCCTCATTCCTGATGATGCTGCCCAGTGCCCACCCACCCAAAGATTTTTTAAAAATATTTGTTTTACAAGCCCAGCCCAAAACAAGAAGAGGCCCAGGTCCACCATCATCGTTGGATTCGATTCCCCTGAAAATCATATTCTCTCAGCTTTCCGGGGGCCAATTCCACCAGATGATGAGTTGTAGAAATCGTAAATGAAGAAAGGTCGTTTATATTCTGTTTTTTGTATATGAGTAAATAGTTAGTGCCTAAAATTGATTCATTCTGTTCTACGTGGACGACTACTGAAACTGTAATAATAAGAGTGTAAAAAAGGACTTTGTTTTGTCACAAAAATAATCATTATTTGTGACATGTCAATTTTCAAGTGGGTTGGAATGAAAATAAAAAAATCCGAAAAAGAAATGGGAAAAAAATGCTTTCCTTGTTCGACTTTGCCTCCTCCTTTTGCAACCACATGAGGATATGCTTTCGGTTCATCTTCCACTCTCCTTCTTTCTCTTATGGGTTATGTCGTCTGTTTCAGATTTGATAAAGATAACGATCCCCATATGTTCAAAACCCACCTCTAATCTTGAATATATCCCTTCTGATCATCAATCAAATTGACCCCCCAAATCAGCACCCCAAAAAAAAAGAAAAAAAGAAAAGCAAATCGACTTTTGTATAGAATGGAACAAACAATAACAGAATCTCGGTTGCTTTGGGCCTGGCCACGTCATTTGAAAAGAATCTTGGAGTGTCACGTGCGTGGCCACTTGCTGGATCCCAAGGGCATCAATCCACCAAAACGGGCCAATGGTTTGTGCCTGTGTGTGGCCTACCATTTTATCCTTCTCCTTCAACTTCCCTCTCTCTTTTCTTCTCTTTTCTTTTTCCCACATAGACACAGAAGACGAGTCTTTGTCTCATTTTCCTCAGAAATTGGAGCGCCTCTCCGCTACAACCATGGATGATGATGAATATGCCAAGCTCATCAGGAGAATGAATCCCCCCAGGTATTTCTTCTTTCGTTGTTTTTTGGGGAAGGGTTGGGGCTAAAATTTAGCGGTGAGGACCTGTTCTTCTTTTCCTCCATGCTCTATTCTTGTCAAGATTTCAGCTTTGTTGCTGAGTAGTGTAGAATTACTTTATTTTTATTTTTTTTTCACGGATCTTATTTGTCTCGTCTCATGGTAACAGGGTTGTAATTGACAACAACGCTAGCGAGGATGCCACTGTTATTCAGGTAGAAAAAAGAACAGAACAGATTCCCCTGTTTGTTTCTTACACGTTGGTTTGATTGTTTTGTTTTGTGGTGTTAAAGATTGATAGTGTGAACAAACATGGGACTCTCTTGGAAGTGGTGCAAGTGCTCACTGATATGAATCTTGTGATCAAGAAAGCTTACATCTCTTCTGATGGAGGCTGGTTCATGGACGTTTTCAAAGTCATCGACCATGATGGGAACAAGATCAGAGACACTCAAGTCCTTGACTATATCCAAAGGGTACTTCCAAATCTTGCTTCTCACTTTTTCTTTTTCTTTCTGTTGTTACATATTCTCTTTTTCTTGTGTTTAAAACGGAATAATTGCGCAGAGGATAGAGAGCAATGCTGGGTGGTTTATTCCACCGTCAAGAGGCTCAGTTGGTGTAATGCCCTCTGACGAATACACCACGATTGAGCTCGCTGGAACGGACAGACCTGGTCTGTTGTCTGAAGTATCTGCCGTTCTCACAGACCTTCACTGCAACGTTGTCAACGCTGAGATATGGACTCACAACACCAGAGCTGCAGCTGTCATTCATGTCACGGATAATTCAACTAATTCAGCCATCACAGACCCAGTTCGCCTTTCCACCATCAAAGAGCTGCTGTGCAATGTCGTCAGGACAAACAGCGGCTCAAGAACTGCGAAAACCGTCTTTTCTTGTTCTGATACGCACAGGGAGAGACGGCTGCATCAGATCATGTTTGATGATAGGGACTACGAGGGAGTCCAAAGAGCAAGGACGTCCGCGTCAAGGCCCAGTGTCACATTAATGAACATTGATGACAAGGACTATACTGTTGTGACTATGAGGTCCAAAGATAGACCAAAGCTTGTTTTTGACGTAGTCTGTACTTTGACTGATATGCAGTATGTGGTGTTCCATGGCATGGTCAGCACAGAACCACTTGAAGCTTATCAGGTTACTCAACCATTGTTTATTGGTTTTTCGCTGGTATAAACTCTTGGTCTCCTGGGAGCTTTTCTTACCATAACTATGACTTTACGCTGCAGGAATTTTACATCCGTCATGTAGATGGACTTCCCATAAATTCAGAAGCGGAGCAAGAACGTGTCATACAATGTCTTGAAGCAGCCATTGAGCGAAGAGCTTCCGAGGTAACCAATTAGGAAATCACACCAGAGAGTCTTGGCTCGAAATACAGAGTCCGTTCTGCATCAATTGATTCTCTTTTGCTTATATTCTCAAAGACGGATTGAAAAAACATAACTTTCAGGGTTTAGAGCTGGAATTATCAGCAGAAGACCGGGTTGGACTCCTCTCAGACATAACCAGAACGTTCCGAGAGAACAGCTTAACTATCGTTAGAGCAGAGATTTCAACGCGAGAGGGTATAGCTAAAGACGTATTCTACGTTACAGACGTGACAGGAAACGCTGTTGAATCAAAAACCGTGGAGTCAATAAGACAAGAGATAGGAGTAAGCAAGCTGAAGGTGAAGAACAAGGAGGAGTGCTCTGTTCTTGGTACAAGTAGGGCTTCGCAAGAAACAACAATGTGGTATCTGCTTAATAACATCTTCAGAGCCAAGACTCTTCGGAACTTCAAGCTTCACCTATCACACTCATAAGCTAACTGACTCAAAAGGTAGTATGTACGTACTTTTGTATAGATGAGAAGAGTGTAATTAGACAGAGTAGCGTAGGACATATATATATAAAGACTAAAATTGTTTAGATAAATATTGTTGGCAAGCACAGATATGACAGTTAATACCGTTGGGATTTTAAAAGATTAGTGAGCACTGAATACTGTAACTAGGAAAACAAAATGGAAAATCGAAAGACTAAGAGAGAAGAGGGAGAGAGAGACGGGATAATAGGTGAGCCTAAAACAAACGCACTCTTACCCTCTAATTACAAACTATAACCTAACCTGTCGTCATTACAGCTTTGAGTTGTTCCCTACTCTCTTCCACGTTTATCTCTTAAAAAAAAAAGAAAGCTTAACTAAAAATTAAAGAAAGAAAGAAAGAAAGCAGAGGAAAAGTAAGGAGGGATCAGAGCCAGAGAGCGCCGGCGTCTTTGAGGAGTGGAACGAGAGAGCCGTTGATGTGAGAAGCCATGACTCTGTCCATAGCCCCAACCAGTTTACCGCCGATGAAGACGACCGGAAGAGCCCCTGGAGAAGAGGCGCCGGAGCAGCCGAGGAGACGAATGAGGGCTCGCTGGATGTCGCCGCCGTAGGGATAGAGGTCGAGCTCGTGGACGGCGGGGCTGACGCCCATTCCACGGAAGAGGCCCTTCACGGCGTGGCACATGCAGCAAGTGCTCACGCTGAATATCACCACCGCGCTCTCCGCCACCAGAGACTCTATGCGAAGGAGGCCTGTGTCTGCCGCAAGCCCCACGCCGCCACCGAACCCTAAGTTGTTCATCTTGTACGATCCCCACGATTCCGTCTGGTATTGCATTTTTTTGACTCTTTTCTTTTAACTTTCCACAAATTGACAGAAACACAGGTAATACTAATAATAATAACTAAAGGAAAACGAGAAAGAGAGAAGAAAGAGTTTGGCTCCAAGTTTGGGGTGAGGAGAGACTGAGAGCCATGCATAGTACTATTTATAGAGAAGGCTACACCTCCAACTCTGTTTCTCCTCTCATTATTAATTATTGTTAATTACACACACATGCATGAATATATATATATATGTATATGTATATGTATATTGATATGTATATTTATGTAAGAATTTGTGTATAAATAACTTGATATTTACTATTTTATTCAGAAATATAATAAAAAATAAAAATAAACGATTACACCAAGAAAAATTCATAAAATCGGTAAAGTAATGGCTGTTTCTATATATCGAATAAATTTGAAAATAAAGAAATTTTAAGAAAAAAAAGAAGCTGGAGAATATGTCGAAACAGGCTTTTATCAGAAGGGAGTTGTTGGTAATAGACGGCTCTGTCTGTCCTTCTTGTCGGCTCACAGCCCCTCTCACCATTAATTTAGTTTCTCACCACTTATTTTTCTCTTTTTGCCTCTAAAATGTCTTCAGCCTAACTTACGAAAGAAACAAGTGTATATGAAACTACATTTTTTTTTTTTTTTGGAATAAAAATATGGAATTATGTATTACATATGGTCTTGAATCGAATGTATACATACGGAATTTGTTCTTTTATTCCATTTCACTTTATGTAAGAGATTATATACGATGATTAATCAAGTCTATATAATGTAATCATCATAATATAATGATTTCTTAAGGAGTTAGCTTGCTTTTTGCTTGATAAATCTCTTATACTTGATTTCTTCATTTATGTGGGATCACATATGTAATGTAACTTGTCGGTTCGCAAAAACAAATCAAAACAAAAATCTGAGATTTCTTCATTTTTGTTAATTGTTGAGTTGGTAATAAGTGATCAGCAATAACTTATATTAATTTGGCATGGTTTAGTTACAATAATAAATCAATGTTGAGGTTTGAAAATTTATACGGTATTTGAATTGAGAGTACTAAAATGTGCTATAGTCACTAACATATGAAAGCCTGAAAAAAAAAGATTAAAGTTTACGAGTTAATTGTCACATGCTTTTGGCTTCCACGCTTGTGTCCTTTATATATATACAAACTGACTTTATGTATCTCAGGTTTATTTGAGGTCCAAAATACATTAATCTTAAATAAATAAATTATATGCCCGAGGTGAGATGATACGCATACTGAATAGAGTAAGAGGAGTCCGTACAGTTATGCTCCCTCCAGATGAAAAAGAAAGTTACTTCTTTTGGTGTTTAAAAACTCACGTACTTCTTTTGTTTTAGAAAAAAAAAATATCTGCATAAATAATTATACAAGATAAAAATAATCTTGTTGAATTGTGTTTGTCGAATCGCTTATCTTTTAAATCTTGATTTTCCTTACTGAAGTCCTACGTGACACTTGTCATATAATGTTTTTATTTTGTTCTTTAACAGGTCCGATAACTCTCTGAGTTGCCGTATATTTGTACATGCTTTTGCTGAAGACTGAAGAGTATTATAGAAACCAGCGGCTGGCGATACCATGATAATTTCAAATGCTCAAACCTTGAAGGCTTGAACCATTATACTAAAAGGTTCAAAGCTTAGTGAAGGAGAGTTATCAAACTTTCGGCTTATATATTTAAATATTTTTTGTTGTATAAAATGAATTATTCTTGTGGAAATTATATTTTTATTCTTGTAAATTAAATAAAGTAGAAACATTTCAGCTTCCACGAGCCTGAACGTATTTACAAAACTATACATGGAATCAACCAAAAATCATACGGACGTGCTTGAGTAGGGAAATCTTACTATCCAACGGTGGAAAGAAAAATATTACATAGAATAGAAAAGATTTGATTGATCGGACGGGTAGGGTTAGATGGCAGGAAAGAAGAGCCGTCTGACTTATATTTAAATTTATATAAAAATTTAATGTAAAGGGGAATTAAATTAAAAAACAATTGAAAAGAAATACGAGCGTGATGCTATCTTCTCAGCTTTATCTGGTCTTTGCCATTTATATATACCTGTGTGTATGTCTCTCTATGCACAATATTAATGTCATGCTTTGTTAATATAATATCCCCATTTAATAATTATACAATTTCATATTCAGTTTGTTTATAAATTACCTCAAACGGTGAAACAAAGCCGATAGAGAGAGGAAAGGTGGGATTGAAACTAAACCCTAAAAGCAGCTTCAAAGTTACTTATTTTCGCCCCTCCTCAGTGTATGATCGATGGGGTCTGAGTCTGATTCCAACGAGGCAACCCAAAATATGTATCTGTGGGTTATATTATTTATTCATGCATACGTAATACACAAACACAACTGGCACAATTATATATATCATAGACATAAATTATAAAGGTACATATCTATAAATGTACAATTAGGGCCAAATGAAATAAAAAGGTAAATTATATTAAAAAAATCATAAAGGTACATATATATATAGTTATATACATATTCGTGTGTGGTGTAGGAGTACATGTATACGTACGTAGTGCTAATATACATATCGCGTATATGTATATTTAAGAGTTCAAAAGCGATAGTTAGTGACTGATTAACCTTCGAATCAGTATCTAATTAAGTGATTATGGAAAACGTACCACAGAAAAGTAAAAAGAACTGTGTCGTACTGTCACGGCGAAAAGGCGGTGAGGTTATTGTGGGAGTGCTCACGAATTCCCTTGATTTTTTGTTTACATATATAAAAAAGAGCCCTAAGCCCATGCAAACTAACAATCCCACTCTTCTCAATTTTACTAAGCATCACTAATTAATACTATATAATTACCACTAACTCTCTTATAACTATTTCACCAAAAAGATAAAGTTTTGCATCGAAATATACGTCGGTTTTATCTGGATGCTGGTGCATGGCCTATACCTTTTTGTCGACCACAGGTATTTTATTTATCGTGTTTATCTGTTCATGCATTGTGTCTATTCCTTTATCCCTAACCACGTAAACTAGCGAACATAACAGTTGTAATCAGTGATATGGATTACTCCAAGCATCGATGTATTTTATACAACTGGGAGAGATAGAAAAAAAGGTAGATGCACAATGCACATGCACTGATGCACATGCACTGATGCACATGAACCTTAAATTTTTTTTTTCTAAAGAAGAAGAGTAGACGCACAGATGAATTATCATAGGAATTAAAAAAATAAAACTACTCAATAAAAAATAAAAAAAGCCATAAGTTTAAAAATAAATAAATAGGAGAGAGAAAGAGAGGGAAAAGGGGATTGACCATTGGGAGGAAGAGAGGGGCAGTAAATAAATGAAAGTAGGAAAAAGGAAAACAAACAATAACAATAGATGAAGGGAGGAAACAGAGTTTTGTGCCCCACGCGAGCCGCCTTCCTTCTCTTTCTTTTTTTTTGTTTGTGAGTCTTCTTTTCCGCTTAAACAGGGTTTAATTTAGACCAAACCTATATTAATGAGGGAACACGGAAGTGTATATGCATGTAGTTTACTTTCTCTGTAATTGCTTTCGATTTTTATTTATCCACACAAAATATATTGGAATAATCGTCGACTACTGATTGTATATACTCGCCATTTTGTTTTTTGTTTTTCTTTTTTTTTGGTAAGCAACAACATATTCGTATTGTAAATGTGATTTTTTTTTTTGGTAAACGTTCCACGCGTTGCTTGTGTATTCTATCCATTTTTTTTTACCGGGGTGATATCATATTGTAGTTACAAAGAGAGGGCTAAAGGGTAAATCTTGATTAGTGCAGCAACTTTAATAAAAGAAGAGAAGCAATTAACTCGAATATTATTAAAGAACAAAAAAAAAAAAGGGGGGAGAGAGAGAGAGTGAGAAGGAGAAGAAGGGAGTAACCGACAAGACGGCTTTATTTGATCAGCCTTTGCTCCTTTGATTGCCTCATCTCGCTGCTGACGTTATCCTAACGTTGACCGTCTACGCAGTTGTCCTCTCTCTCTCCCCTCTCGGTTTGTAGTCCCTTTTTTTTTTTTATATCAATGCTTATATCATCATCTGAGTTCATATTTGTCTTTGCAAGTTAGGGATAATAAAAAATAAAACAAATTCAAAAAACTTCATTGCTAGCACGTTTATTTGCCAGTCTCAAATAGTCGTCTATACCCTCTTGGCTCTTTGGTACTTCAATTTTTAAACAAACTCGAGGAGGGATATATTGTAGTCCCATATATTTTGTTTTGTATTGGCAATTGCAGTACTAGTATACAAATAATATATTAGATGCTGTATAGGCTTCGTCAAATAAATTTAATATTCGTCAGAAACAACAACACAGATAATTACGTTACTACAACAACAACAAACAAAAAAAAAGAGAGAGAGAGAGAGAAAAGATGTTGTTGTTAAAGTAAAGGGGGATATATAAATATGGAAAATAGGTTAAGCGTGACAAGCATGAGCATCTACCTCCTTGTCTTCATTCCCTTTCAAAACAGTCAACGCATATTTCTTCTGTTTATGTTCGTCTTTGGAATTTGAATTTCGTATATAATTTAGATGTATGCGGAAAAAGTAATATCAGATCACGAGATTGTCTGTTTTGTTTGGTTCTTAATCCATTTCACAAGGTATTTTCAACTTTGATCGACGCGCACGCATGAATGTGCGCGTGGGATAACAACATATTCGATTGTTTGGCCTTTTGGTATTTGTTAGTGGGCTTTCAACTTGGTTTAAACATTTTGGGCTTTCATTTTCTTTTTTTTTTTTACTTGGCTTAAGTTTGTTCACCAAGATGGGAGGAGCAAATTCACAAAGCTATGTCAGAATCAACAAGGTTCTAGCTATAGTGTAAATGATTTAAGCAGATTCTTCCAACACTTTAGTCTGTGGTTGACTCATTATCTTTAGTAGGAAACACTCTTATTCAATTAACAGTACAGCTCCCATCAAATTACAGCTATATAATACAACAAGAATAATGAGAGTTTTGTTTCCTAATACCTACAAGAATCATAATACTGTAACTTCATGATTACTACTGGTAGACCTTGCAGGTCGCACATATAAAGAGGTTTCATGAGGAGGCAACGATGTAGGTAGACGCGCTTTCTGAAGCCGCACCTGTCTCGAAGAAGGCTGAATGGAGAGCCTTCACGCAATGCTCTGCCTCATCATCATTCACTATCAGCGAGATGTTTACCTGATAATGATATCACCAAAACACACTAATTAAGAAAAGTCCAAACCGAGTGTGCATTTGACCCCCTAAACCTTTTGTTTTATAAAACACATGCATATTATACGCAGAGAAGTTGAAATTAAGTGATTTGACCTTAGATGCACCCTGGGAGATCATTTGGACATTAATTCCATTGGTTCGAAGAACTCGGAAGCCCTGTTTGTTGTTCATCGGGTACCGATCCGATCCCAAAGGTTAGTCACTATCTTTTACCAAATACATAAAATCAGACAAACCAGCCAGCCGTTATAGAGAGCTAACAAACAAACCTTCTCTAATATGAAGGATGATCTCTGAACATTTCCGATGAGAGAGATAATTGATCTTTGTTGAAGCAGATTTACAATAGCAATCTTCTCAAGTTCCTCTACCACGTGATCAAGCTCCTGTCACCACATCACCAGGAATTACAAATACAAGATGAGTCTTCCAAGAACAAGTAGTAGCCTCTCTCATTAAAATACGATACAAAATACAAAGCCATAAGCTTGCCTGTTGAATCAACTCTTTGCTACAGAACTTTGAAGGATCCAATGTCAAGGAAATGCTAACTTCGCTGGTTGCAACAACATCCACAGATATGCCCAGCTTTTCAAATGTTGAGAACACCTGGGGTGAAAAAAAAAGAGAAAAATTTACAGTAAGAAGGAACATGAAAAGATTGCCATGAATTCCAAGTTAAGTTTATTTTACCTTGGCAAGAAAACCGTATTGGCCGAGCATACGGGTGCTAGTGATGTCCAACATTGTAACATTGCGTTTCAGAACGATGCTGGTCAGTACAGCCTATGAGAAGGTAATTAATGAGGAAGAGGTGATGATGATGATGCTGTGATATTAAATAAACAAAAAAAAGTACTCATGTCTCATGTATTTTTTATAGTCCTTTTGTTTTCACCAACCTTGCTCATGTCTCTTGACCTAGTGATGACAGTTCCTGGAGCAGTGGGATTGTAAGAGTTCTTAACCCTTACAGGAATGTTCCCTTCTCTCGCTGGCCGCATGGAAAGTGGATGCAACACCTGCAACGGAATTATATGTATTTTAGGGTTGATTATATATATATATATATATATATATATATTGAATAGACAAGTCTCTTAAATTTTGGTACAACAACCAGTCATATCTGGTTACCTGGGCACCAAAGTAAGCAAGCTCAGCTGCCTCATCAAATGTCAAGTGTGGAACAGGTTGAGCTCCGCAGTATATGTTTGGATCACAAGTCAAAACTCCATCCACATCTTTCCAAACCTGTACCAACATGGTCCCAATGAATTCTTTGGTTTAAGAGAATTCCATCTTGCCCCTGATTCTAACAACTAAAAAAACAACAACATCAGCTACCTGGATCTCCCGCAAACCTAAAGCTTTCCCAATTGTTGTTGCAGTCAAATCGCTTCCTCCTCTACCCAACGTAGTAACAGCACAAGATCTCCATCCCTACAGTACAGAAACATCCCCAAGTGTTTTTTTTTTTTTTTTTAATCCTCTTAAAAAAAGACTCTTTATAAACTCAATACAATATTCGCTATGGAAGCTCATCATACCTTTCCAAGAAAGCCTGTGACAACTGGGACTGCATTTTCTTTGCTCCAGTCACCAAGTAACCTTTTTGAAACTGCTGGGTATGTTGCCTCAAGAATATCAGCATTAGTGAAGTCATCTGTGGTGATAATCCCCATCTCAAATGCGTCATACTGCCAAAGAACAAAACTCATTAATTCATGAAACAACAATCTGAGGTCTCAATTAAGATTCAAGGTAACATACCTGGCGTGCTTTGTGGCCAATTTTGTTCAGGTAGGCAGCAAATAGCCTTGTGGACATGCACTCTCCAAATGAAACCAGGTAGTCTCTTGTGCGTAGAGTTAATTCTTTCATCATTGCAATGCCTTTCAGAAGCTGTTCCAGCCCTTCTAGATGTTCTACAGACAGATTAAACGACATCAAGACTCAGATGTATGATATTATTTAACGAATGGAATAAGCTTAAAGTAGTCCATTTTGAGGACACATCAACTGTATACTAACAACTACGGGACTACCTGCAATAACTGCTGTTCCCACTCCAAGCTCATGAGCAGTCCTGGACATTAAGAGAATTTTGATTTTCCATGAGAACAAATCACAAGTTTTGAGCTAGGAAATAAAATGTCTGTCTTTCTTCAACCTGATATGGAGTTCCTTAATTATGCTCAACTCTTCAATAGTGTCTACGTTGGTGACGCCACAGCGAACAGCCTTCTCCCCTGCCTAATGAAAGCCACAACAAGCAATACAATATCAATGACAAAGAGAAGAAACAAGGGATAAAGGTACGAAAAGAATTATTTGACTGATGTTTTGTTTTTACCATCAAAAGCTTATTGGTGGTCTTTGCCATTGCTGATAGCACAACAACAGGCTTCTCATCCGGGAAACTGAGTATGAGGTTGGCAACTTGTTTCATCCTTTCTGCTGATGCCACGGATGAGCCACCGAATTTCATTACACACGTTAACTTTTTCTCACTTCTGTTTAGTTTGAAAGTTTCCGAGTCTTTTCTCTCAAGCAATTCCACCCTTCCAGCTTCACAAGTAACTCTTAGAGCTCTTGTGTTTCTACGAGGGTGATTTATGTTTCTAGTGAAGACGAGTGCTGAAAAATTCAGCCCCTTTGAGCCAAACTCAATCCTTTTTGAGTTTAAGGCAAGTCCCGACGTTCTAACTCCGCACAAGTGCATTGAAGTCGCCATCACTCAAATAAGATCTGAAGAAGACAACTGTATATATAGCTTGCTCAGAGCTCGGAGAATGAGTGTTATGATTTCGACAAATTATGGAGTATGCTTCGGAAACCTGCAATGATCCCTAGAATATCCACATACACTTTTTTCATTTTTTTTTTAGAAAAAAACAAACTCAAGAAATTGAAATTTCAGTGTTCGTCATGGGGCATTCTTCACTCATCCATATTAAAGAAACGACATTTATCCAAATAAATAAGAGGGATAGTTTTTACAACAGTCAATAACAAATGCATTAACAAAGAGGCGACAAATTTCATATTTATTTAATATATATATATATAAAAAAACGGATCTTACAAGGGAGAGAGACACGTATAAGAAAGGAGAATGCAGAGGAGATTGGGAAGTGGCATACCAGTTAACAGACGAAGCAAAGCGACAAATACGCGTATTTTGGTTTTGGTCAGATTCTTGGGTCGCCTCCCACAACACACACTCTTCCCGAAATAGACGGTCAAGATCCAAGCTAAGACGATCGCACGGCTCCGGAGTGAACTCGGTCCCGCGTGAGCCAGCCACCCAAAGAGTTTTGTTAAATGTGTGTCTGTCTAATTAACCAGCCAATCGAACGATCATTCGACTTCACTATTATGAAATTGCTTTGATAATTCAGACTCTTGTGGTTAGTTAATTAGCATCCCCATATATACAAAAGTCGTTTGGAGAACGTGACAAAAACAATATTATTAGTGTGCACCCTTAGGAGGTTGAGGGGGTATCGCCAAATGGTAAATCGAAAAAACGTGGCCACCTACTCATAGTCATAGGCAATTTACTAATTATTATTTTTATTATTACGATATATTTTTTGATTAAACATTTTAGCAATACACACTATATGCAATTTATGCATACTGCATAACACGTGGCGTCATATGTTTTGTCATTCAGTGGATGCTTTTGTATTTATTTTTACAAGAGGAATGCGCATTCCATCACATAAATACGTACTCAAATAGATGTTGATCGTCCAATGTGCGATATATATTTTATAAAACTCGTAAGGGGTTATAAGCTGAGTGTAGAAAGAAAGTAGTCATTCTTTTGTTGTTGTTAAATCATCAGATATTGTAATGTGATTATTTATAGTGGCATGAATCATTCTTATATAGTGGAGGAGTAGAGACTCATATCAATAACAGTAATAAGAATGGTTAATTAGTGGCAAAATGTTTGAATATTTATGAAAGTGCGGGAACAACAACGCCCACTTACTTGGTCTGTATACAATTTGTAGAGCTAGCCATAAACTATCTTTATGGGCTTCCTCTTACCTCCCCAGGAGAATGATTAACGGGCCTGTTATGGATCATAGAAACGACCATGGGCTTTGATTATATTATATCATTGTAAGAAAAGTATTAAGTGGCATTCTCGGGAATAGTCAAGAGAATATGCCTTGTTTGCCTTAACGTTCCCATTTCGTCTGTTGAGGGTTTCTTTCTCAAATCTGAGTGAGAGAGTTACGCGGCTGCATCATTGCTCATTCCCTCCATCTCCGGCCATGGAATCCCCAAAACAGTCTTCCTTGATCCCAAGCTTCCTCTACTCCTCCTCTTCCTCTCCCAGGTCTTTCCTTCTCGATCAGATGGTGACCTCCAATCCCAGTCTCGAGAAGTCCCCCTCTCCGCCGCCGCGTTCCTCTCCGACTATTCTCTCCCAGAAGAGTTTCCTTATCGCGTCTCCCACCGAGCCCGGAAAGAGGATTGAGATGTATTCTCCGGCCTTCTACGCCGCCTGTACCTTCGGTGGGATCCTCAGCTGTGGTCTCACTCACATGACCGTTACACCTCTTGATCTTGTCAAGTGCAATATGCAGGTTTACTCCTCAGATCCCTTTTTCTTTACGTTCCAGCTTTCTCGAGATCACTTGTGCTCTTTGGTTTGATAGATCCGTGATCTTGTTTTTCTAAGTATGTTAATGTTATTCTTCCCTTGTCCTCTCTGTTTTCATCCCAAAATGTTGCTTTAGTTTTGTGACGTATGATACTCCTTCCTTTCTCAAGTTTTATAGTCTACACTCGAATAAATTCTCTGTCTAAAACCTATTCGACTCTAATCAATCTTTTCTTTTTGACTTCCTTTCCAAATTTCACTTGCCTGATTTGCTATATATATATATATATGTATTTCTTTGCATTTACCTCTTCTTTTTAGAAGCGTGGACCTTTACACTCGTTACCTTTTTAATCTACATTGTCAGTTTCGTGTGTCTCCTTTGATGCACATCATATCAGTCCCCTTGCTCAAAATTGACATTGTTTGCCCTTCAGATTGATCCCGCAAAGTACAAGAGCATTTCATCTGGCTTTGGAGTTTTGCTGAAAGAACAGGGAGCCAAGGGCTTCTTCCGCGGATGGGTCCCTACTTTGTTGGGTTACAGTGCTCAGGGTGCCTGCAAGTTTGGTTTCTACGAGTTCTTCAAGAAGTACTACTCTGATCTTGCTGGACCTGAGTACACTGCCAAATACAAAACCCTCATTTACCTTGCTGGTTCTGCTTCTGCTGAGATCATCGCAGATGTTGCTCTCTGCCCATTTGAGGCTGTGAAGGTGCGTGTTCAGACACAGCCTGGATTTGCCAGGGGAATGTCTGATGGATTTCCCAAGTTTATCAAGTCTGAAGGTGTCGGAGGGTAAGCTGCTTGTGTTCCCAATCACATCCTCACTCGCGTTAAGACATGCCTTTGTGCCTGATTCCTTTTTTTTTTTTTAAATTAATATTTTAGTTTTGCTTTCTTGCAGTTTGTACAAGGGAATTGGTCCACTCTGGGGACGTCAGATTCCTTGTAAGTTGTGGCCTCAGCTTTACAGCTATTGCATAGTTCATGAGTGCTCGAGTGACTTTTTTGGTTGCAAAATGCGATAATGAAATCTACGTTTTGGAACAGACACAATGATGAAGTTTGCTTCTTTTGAGACAATTGTGGAGATGATCTACAAGTATGCAATCCCGAGGCCCAAGGACCAGTGCAGCAAGGGTCTACAACTTGGGGTGAGTTTCGCCGGAGGTTACGTTGCTGGAGTTTTCTGTGCTATAGTCTCTCATCCTGCAGATAATTTGGTGTCATTCCTCAACAACGCCAGAGGAGCAACTGTTGGAGATGTAAGTCTCTCTGTTTCTGTTTCCATCTCTAACAGGATGCAACTTTGTGATATTACCTAGTGTTGGAACAATGTTGTGACTTGATCCTTTCAACAGGCGGTGAAGAAGATAGGGTTGTTGGGTCTATTCACAAGAGGGTTGCCTCTACGAATTGTGATGATAGGGACATTGACGGGAGCACAGTGGGGTATCTACGATGCTTTCAAAGTCTTTGTTGGCCTGTAAGTCCCCTTCTTCGTACCTATTCCGTTTCAGAGGCTCTGCTTCTCGGCCGCTAATGAATGAATCTCTCTTTTCTTTCAGTCCGACCACTGGTGGTGTTGCTCCGGCGGCTGCCATCACTCCTGCTGAAGCAAAGCCCTAAACAATGACGAACAAGAAAGGGGACTCTCTTACGTTAGCATTTTTATTTCTTTTATAAAAAACAAAAAATAAGATAACCGGACAATGATGAAAAGATTGAGCAACGCAGCCTGATTCGAAGTTGATCAGTGCAGAAAGAAACCATTTTTGTGTTCCCAAAGTCGGGATAATGTTGTGTTATGTGGGCTATACGTGTTTACTCCCATTTTTTCTTCTTCCATTTTCTTGCCGTTTGTTTGTTTCGTCCACACTAAAACGGTACCTTCTCGTGCGTATTATGTGGGCTGTACATGCTTACTGCGCAATTTTTTTTTGTTTCTCTTTCCATTTTCAATTTTTCTTGCCGTTTGTTTCGTTAACACTGTGGGCTCTCTAAAAATGTTGGGCGATTTGGTTCATGCCCAAATGGCAAGTAAAATAATTAAGGCACAAAACCATAAAATAACAAACCACTTGCTGTGCGAGGCCGCCAGAAACGTCACGCAATTGCGTCGTTGAAAATGAAAGCAGCTCGGCAGCTGGCAGCTTCGCGCACGTGCGGCCTGTAGGAGAGAAAGAGAGAGAGAGAGAGACCGTTAAGTCATGACTCATGAGATGTTCGTTTTGCTGGAAAACAGTAAGAAGAAAGAATCTGCATTCTTTCATCTTTGGGTTTAAAATTCCTACCTTCATGGAGGAGGACGCAGCACCACCAGAACTAGCTTCTTCTTCTCTTCATGGCGATGGCGGCCACCGGATTTCACATGCTCTCTGCGGTCGGTGGCTTACGCAACGGAGGGAAGCAGAAGCACTCCCTTGGAGTAGCCCTACCCCCGGCACGGCGGCGATTCTCCGTATCTGTCACCGCTTTTAGCTCGGAGCAACGATCCGCTAAGAGCTTCTGGGACTACCTTGAGGCGGCTAGGGATTTCATCAGACCGGAAGACAACAGCCCGTCTCGCTGGTTCTCTCCCCTCGAAAGCAAGGCTCGATGTGACCGCGCCCCTCTCCTTCTTTTCCTACCTGGTTAGTCTGTCTGTCTGATTCTTGGCATTGGCATCGTTACAATTACAAAACACGCACGCACTTGTCAAAGAGTCATTTTATGGCCTTGCGTAGGTATCGACGGAAATGGACTCGGGCTTATAAGACAGCACGAGAAACTTGGACAGTAAGTAACGATTTTCGGTAATTTTTTTTTTTATTTTTCTCGCGATGATGATGGTTGATTTGATTGGTGCTTGCTTTTTCAAGGATGTTTGATATCTGGTGCCTTCACATACCACCTAGTAATCGTACTGCATTCCATGGTATTTTTTCTTTTCCATTCCGTCCAGCTCATTTGTTTCCGAGTTGCTGTGCTGGCCATATATATATATATATATATATATATATAGATTCCTCTTATTAACACATATTATTGACTGCTTTAGATCTTGTAGCCATGGTTGAAACAACTGTCAAATCTGAAACTCAACGTTCTCCCGGAAAACCCATATATCTTGTTGGAGAGTCTCTCGGCGCCTGCATTGCGCTCGCCGTTGCTGCCTGCATCCCTGAAACTGATCTCGTCTTGATTCTTTCAAACCCAGGTGACTCTTTGATCTTGTCTTTACTATTTGCTCATTAGTTACTAGGACTTTACCATTTTGACTTTGTTGAACCATTCTCATTTTAGTGGCTGCTTAGTTCACAATTTTCACTCTGGCACATCACTTACATGCTAACCTTGAGTGCGTATGACTTTAGCGGCTGATTATAGATTCCTAGTACCTTGAACACAAGTTTCTCCACCTCGTCTAGATTCATCTAAAGTATTGCTGCATTTGCAGCTACATCATTTGGAAATTCTTCGCTGCAACATCTTGCTCCCCTGCTTCAACTCTTACCAGACCAACTTGATCTTGCATTTCCTTCCGTGTTAAGCTTCATTCCAGGTTAGCTCACATATTTTGAAACAAATGGGCACTTCCGTTAATTTAATATAATCATGCAATAAGCTGGCCGGCCAAAGTATCAGTCAGAGAATCCAATCAAAATCTGGTTCATGTGTATACTTTGATCCATTAACATGCGAGTTTTGGTGATACAAGACATGGTTTTTAAGCCCTATTGGAATTGTAAGGTGGCCCTTTAAAAAGGATGATTGCACACTGGGTCAGGGGACTTCCGGAGAATGAAACAGCTGCAAACATTTATCAAGATTTGGTGACAACATCGACATTCACTTCTGTAAGTGACAAACTCATTTATGGCAGGTCGTTAGTTTTCCAGCGTCGTCAATTTTTGCTAAGAATCTGACTGTGCAGATCCTAGCTGATACATTTCGGAGAGAAACACTTGTGTGGAAGCTCAAGTTGCTTGATGCCGCTGCTCTGTTTGCCAATGCACATCTTCATCTAGTAAAAGCTCAGACTCTAATTCTATCCAGGTTCTTGGTATCCATCACTTCACTGTTTCCTCTAAAGATCATTGAGATTTCCACCGGAGTATAGCAAGTAGGTCGAGCTAACTTATTTGTCTCAATTACAGCGGAAATGACCAAATACTACCCAGTACAGGTGAAGGCAAACGACTTCGCAAAAAACTGACGAAATGTGAAGTCCGTTCATTCAACGACAACGGCCATTGCCTTTTTCTGGTATATATATATATATATATATATATGTATCTCGCCAGTCTGCGGCTTTCATCCAAACACCACTGAATTCAATATCTTTCGATGTTGTAATCGGAGATGCTTCATAAACATCTTCTTTTTGCTTTCGGATATGACAGGAGGACGGCATTGATCTCGTCAGTATCATCAAGGCCACTTCTTTTTACCGGCGTGGGTCTCATCAGGATTACATCTCTGACTACATCCCTCCAACCTTGTCTGAATTTAACAAATGTTATGGAGTCAACAGGTTACTACACCTACACATAATGTCCCGAAATGTCTTGCGTGATTAGTGAAGTAACTGACTAATTGACCTTGATATTTGTTTTTTGGTAACTTTATAGGCTCCTTGAGGTGATCATGGGCCCTGTTTTTCTGTCTACTACAGAAGATGGGAAAGTGGTGAGGGGGCTTGGGGGAATACCATCGGAAGGACCTGTACTGTTGGTGGGCAATCATATGCTACTGGCGAGTGACAAAATATCACTCCCTGGTCAATTTGTTCACGAGAGGAATATCAATTTGCGGCCGCTCGTGCATCCCATGATGTTTACCAGACTGAGAGATGGATTGTTACCTGATGTCTCTGTTTACGACACGCTTAGGATGATGGGGTCGGTCCCCATCTCAGCCACTCACCTCCACAATCTCTTGTCTGCAAAATCTCATATTCTCTTGTTTCCAGGTGGCATCCGCGAAGCTCTACACCGCAAGGTGAGTAGTTATCTACTCTTTGGTTTTCAGGAGTGAAAAGTGGCAGCAGATATATATACTTTTGAACATTCTTAATATGGTTGTTATACATCAGGATGTCGTCATTGTGGTGTATTGCTGTTATCATTGTTGTGGTAGTGAGAACTAAGTCATCACAATTTACTCAATAACAGGGAGAAGAATACAAGCTGATGTGGCCAGAGAAAGCGGAATTTGTGAGAGCGGCAGCCAAATTTGGAGCCAGAATAGTACCCTTTTGCGGCGTTGGAGAAGATGATTTCTTAAAAGTAAGCGCATTTGGTATCCAACCATGTGTAATATATAGGTGGCGTGATTGACTGTGTGTAACGAATGCAGGTAGTTGTGGACTACAATGACCAGATAAAATTTCCGATTGTTAAAGAGGTGCTAAAAAGAGTGACAGCGGAAGGCCCAGAGGTGAGGTAATGTGAATACAGAGCAGCAGCGTGCGTTTGGTAAATATTAATTGTGGAAATGGATGTTGGTGTGTGACAAATGACATGGTTGATGTTTCAAAGGGGAAGCGTGGAAGGAGAAGAGGGAAACCAAGACTTCCACATGCCAGGAGTGATACCAAAGTGGCCAGGGAGATACTACTATTACTTTGGGAAGGTGATAGAGACGGGAGAGGACGAGTTGGGGGACAGAGACAGGGCAAAGGAGGTGTACCTAGGGGTGAAGAAGGAGGTTGAGCGATGCATAGAGTTTGTGAAGCAGAGAAGGGAGGAGGATCCTTACAGACCTCTCTTGCCCCGTCTCCACTATCACCTGCAACACGGCCTCCGCACCCAAGTCCCCACTTTCCCCTTTTGAATACCTTTACCACAATTAGATTCATAAAACCAAACCATAAGGCATTTTGTTGATGGTAAAATCGCATTTACTCACGTTCTATAACATATTCATCTCATGAATCATGGTAGCAGCAGCACCCACATCGTGGATTTTTTTCCATACAGTCAAAGACACTTCTCACTTTTTGTTTGTTTGTTTGTTTTTGTTTTTGGGGTAACTACATATATCCTAATTAACTAAAGGAGAAAGAATTAGTTTAGTGCTGTATCAACTCAGGAATGAGCTTGAGAAGAAAGGAGAGCTCTCTCTCAGAGAAGTTTGGCTTTAGCTTAGTATCATGAGCATCTCTGTTGGGTGGCTTCATCATCTCCCTCACAGCCTCTGTCATCTCCTCCACATGATCCACTATGACTCCGTCTATTCCCATCAAATGCTGCATATACACCGCCTCAGCTACGTTGTTGAGCTTGCCGTATGTCATCAGAGAGAGCTTGGATTCTTTGATCCTGTTGACGGCGGCTGGGTTCCGGAACACTCCCTTCACCTCCGACACAATCCCTTGAAGGCCTCCCTCTACACATAGTTTGATTGCTTCCTCGAGAGAATTCCTTCGCACGTCGTAGTACATCTCTGTTCCTCCGTTTGTCAAGAAGAAGACCTGTTTGCATTTACACAGCAGATAATTAGTTAAAAAAGTGGAAAGTGTCTATCTTTTTTTTGGATCAGATACGAAGGGTACTTTAACTTACGGGGTAGGTGCTCTGCAACTTCCTGGTGAAAAGGGCAGCGTCCGGGTGAAAGCTGGAGAAGATGATGGGTCTGTCTTTTCCATAATCACACACCACCTGCCATATTCGTTTTCCAACACAATCAGGCAATTGAATTGAGTTGATTTGATTTGATGCCAACAGACGAACCTAATCACAGTACCTGCAAGATAGGGAGAAGAAGACGGGAGAGATGATCGGAGGGGTAGACGAGGTTGTCGTCAAGCTTGAGCTCAATGTTGAAACCCAGCGTTGGCTCGACTTTCTCAAAAGCCTCCTGGAGAGTACAGAGAGAGTCGTCTCCTTGGACGCTCCACTTGAGGATCTTGCCGTCCTTGGACATTCTTAACAATGGCTTGCCTCTCTTCCCTGTTTCCCTCTGTGGCCCGTAGGACATGAACTCCGACAAGCTAACCTCCGTGACCCTCTTCTCGTACACCACTCCCTGTTCCAATCATCACATTTTCTTGTTTTCATCATCGGTATTCCAGCATTCGCATCAAGGTTCCATAATTCCTAAACGGAGACTTACGTTATCTTCCGAGTAGATGAAGTCGTCGTGGAAAATGACTGGGCAGCCATCTCTGGTGACCTGCGTTTGAGATCAAAACAAGAAGAAGATGAGGGAAAAAAAAAGTCTTTTCTTTTTATATAGTAAGAAATGAAAAGAAAAAAAAAAAAAAAAAAAAGGTCCCCCAACGAACCTAACAACCCCCACGTGGTAAGGCCGGCGGTCACGTGGAGGAACAGAAAAAGAAAAAGAAAAAGAAGGGAAAGAAAGGAACCTGAACATCGAATTCGATAAAGTCGAGAGGAAGTTTTGAAGCGGCATTGAAGGAGAGGATGGAGTTTTCCTTGAGAGCAGAGAACCTTGGATCCGGTGACTGCAACATGTTCATGCCGTGACCTCTATGTCCGACCACCAGAAACTTGGGGATCTTGTAACGAGAAGCGCAGATCGGAGGGTTCTCAGGGATCCGGTCGAGGCTGGGCACTTCCGTTACATGAATGGCTTTCAGAGACATTTTTTATTTTTATTTTTAACAAATTAATGTAATGAATTGGCAGCTCTTTAGCTGGAGAAGAAGAAATCAGCCTTTATAATACACGTCAGGGATCTGTGTCACTGATAACAAAGATAATTTGTGAGGGATGGGTTCAGAGTTGGATATGGTGGGGTTTAAAAGACGAAGAAGAAGAAGAAGAAGGCGAAGATGGGATCTTGGAATATTCTGAGGATCGCCACGTCACAGCCGGTTCCTAAATATAATTCAGTCAAATTATCCCTTTCGGATATTCTCCAAGGAAAGGACTATTCTGTGCCTTGGTTGGCTTCCTCGCTTTTGCCTTATTCTTTCTATATAGAGAGAGAGAGTTATGATATGGTGCCTAAAATTGGATAAAGTAAGCCATCAACGTTGATTGACACCTTCTAGTAGTTCTACTCATCTATGCTTTCATTTCCGAATATTCCCAAGGCATATTATCCTCCATCTTCTCTCTACATTCAATCAATACTACGTCAGTGCACATTACTGCACAAATTATAATATTTTTATGTGCCCGTCTTTGGTCATTCCCATCTGTTAATAACTTCAACACATGTCTAATTCTCTTTTTTCCTATTTGTTTATTGGAGATTCCCGTCATCTCTACAAACTGTGTTGATTATTAATCTGGCACCTGTCTAATTTTTGTGATTCATTCATATTTTTTTAGACCGAAATCTCTAAACAGTAAATTTAATAATCAGAAAAGTATTGCTTCCAACCCCAACAGAAAAAAAATATTGAAATTACAACTGTCCAAACCTACGGAAAAGCGAGGAATAGGGCCCAGTCCAAAGCTTAATTAGGGTTTCAAACGGGCCAGCTAGAGCCTCTGGTTTTGAATTCCCATCCACATTTGTACCGTCAATTTGAATGCGTTAAAGCCCATTCAACTTGCTAATTTCTTAATCACTGTAGTGGTTTGTGTGTTGCTTTAGACGTACGTAGGACTGACCCACGTTGGTCTTTTCACATTTGTATTTTCACGTAGCACAGTCTCAATCTATTGGACTCATTGGTCTGAACTCTGAAGTGAGGTATTTATTCCTTTTGGATGTCGGCAAGGAAATAGTCCTCTTTTTTTTTTTTTTTTTTTTCCAGAGCAATGTTCTTCAGTTAACACATTCTTAAAAGAGATTAAGTCCAATTCCCTTTGTTTTATTCTGTTCATTTTCTTCGAAAAAAATCAAAGCTTTTTAATTCACAGAATATTGGAAATAGTCTTTTACGACTTAATATATATGCAAAGCAAAATTTGGAAGCTATTATGCAATGATTGCCTGATTGGAGGGCGAGACAAAAAAAAAAAAAAAAATCCCTTAAGAAAAAAAAAAGGCCAAAGAAGGGCAGATCCGTTGGTCGACCCAACGACATTAATTCATACGCTTCAGTTGTAATTCTTCTGATGTTGTTGTCTTGTTGTTCAATCTCAGGGCCGTTACGCTTCTTCTTCACCCATTCTTCTTCTACTTCTCCTCCTCTTCTCTCTTCCTAAAATCGATCCTTTTTCCCGGCAGGGTGTCTTTTGGGTTCCAAGAAATGGCGGAACAGAAAAAGGAAACGATTCGTCTGGAGCCTGAATCTGTCATCCCTATCCTCAAACCCAAGCTCATCATGACCCTCGCTAATCTCATTGGTCAGTTTCTTTTTTCTTTTCCTTTTTGACCCCAAAGTCGGGATTTTTTTTTTATCTTTTTTCAATTTATTCCAGATTGGACCGACCCGATACCGAAAAGCTTTTGAGGGTTTATGTGATTAGATATTGAATTCGATCGCCAGTTAATGCCTCCTCGTGTTTTTGCAGAACATAGCAATGATAGGCAAGAGTTTCTCAAGCTCTGCAAGAGAATTGAATACACTGTTCGAGCTTGGTATAATCTTCAGTTTGAAGATTTGATGGTGTTTACCTCTTTCTCCTCCTCCTATTTTCTCTTCTTTGGAACTTGTTTGCCCCTTTCTTCTCATGCCTTCTGTATCTGCAGCAACTCTACTCTCTTTTTGATCCCGTACACGGTGCTCAGAAACTCCAGCAGCAGAACCTTACTTCTCAGGAAATTGATGTGCTTGAACAAAATTTCCTCGCTTACTTGTTTCAGGTTCTCACTTGATTTGCTTATTTCTTCCTTATTCTTTAAATGCCAGCTGTGTTCCTGAATTTCCTCTTTTTTTTTTTTTTTTTCCTTCACAAGGTTATGGAGAAGAGCAACTTTAAAATAACAACAGATGATGAGATCGAGGTTGCACACTCTGGGCAGTATCTTCTGAATCTTCCCATCAAAGTTGACGAGTCAAAGGTTTTTAATCCAAGAGCATTCACTCATTAACGTTCTTATTCATTCCATGATCCCCTCCCACCCACACTCACACACTTGTGGGTTTTTCTAAACCACTTTTCTTGCTTTGGTGGATGAAGCTTGACAAGAAACTACTCAAGAGATATTTTGAGGAGCACCCACATGAAAATCTTCCGGACTTTTCTGATAATGTACAGTTTGAGTTTGTAGATAAACATTTCAAGATTAATTTTTTTTTTTCTTTTTACTTTCTTGACAGTCGATGAAAGCGAGATGTGCCTGGTGTTCTGAGAATATCACTTTGATTTTACCCATCTTTTGTAGTATGTCATCTTCAGACGTGGTATTGGAATGGATAGAACCACAGATTTCTTTTTCATGGAGAAATTGGATGTGATGATATCACGTTTTTGGTCCTATCTCTTGAGAATCACTAGGTAAGTTCAAGTCTCCCAGTGTAGCCTTTCTTAAAGTTCTTAGGTTAAAAAAAATATGCTTTTGATTACGATTTGGGTCTTTACATCGTTCTTCTTGTCAATGTTTACCACCGCATTGGATCACAGGTTAGAGAAGCTACGTGCTAATAGGTCAAGCAGGCTTCCCAAGAAAGATCCCAAAAAAGATGATGAGACAAATCCTGAAGCAGATAATGAGGACTTGTATGTGGAGCGTATTCGCCTTGAGAATACACCATTGAGGTTGTCGTCGGTATCCCCTCTTCTTGTGATTTTCTTTCAACCCAACTTTGGTTATTTTGAAAGACTGTTTATCATAATGGCTTCTCTCTTGATGAATTCAGCTTTAAGGGTTTCTTGAGCAAGCTCACAATACAGGAGCCTACATTCGATAGAATGATTGTTGTTTATAGGTAAAGTTTATGTATGTCTTGTTTCAGCTATCTGTCCCTTTGTGAACTTGTGGTTCAAGCATGCGTGTTGATGATGTTGCAGGCGAGCAAGCTCTAAAACAAACATAGAAAGAGGAATTTACGTCAAGCATTTCAAAAACATTCCTATGGCGGACATGGAGATTGTGCTTGTAAGTTTCTGTTCTTGCCATCTTTCTCTTTGCATGCTGGATTTTGTCGAAAAAAAGAAGAAGCAAACTAGCTGCAATAACATTAACGTCTTGTGCAGCCTGAGAAAAGAAACCCTGGACTGACTCCAATGGACTGGGTCAAATTTCTGATATCTGCCGTAGTTGGTCTGGTTAGGCTCCTTGGCATATTCTTTTTTTTTTTGTTTTTGTTTGTTGTTGTTGTTTCTGTTCATGTTTTTCTTGGTTCTCATAGACTTTCTCTACAGGTCGCCGTGCTTACTTCGGTTGAGATGCCGAAAGCAGATCCATGGGTAATTATTGCCATTCTCTCTACAGTGGTTGGTTATTGTGCGAAAACATACTTCACGTTAAGTGCTTTCTACTTTTCACTGCCTTCATTCTTCTTTGTTAAGCGAATTAGTTACTTATCGCAAGTTGTTTTACTTCAGGTTCCAGCAGAACATGGCGACATACCAGAACTTGATAACGCAGTCAATGTATGATAAACAACTAGACAGCGGGAAGGGAACGCTACTACACTTGTGTGATGACGTAATTCAGCAAGAAGTAAGTTTCTATATACATATGGGTGTGAATGCCTTTAAAATAGGAACAAAAGGCTCATTTTGGGTTGCACGCGCAGGTAAAAGAAGTGATGATTTCCTTCTACATACTGATGGAGCAGGGGAAAGCTACCTTGGAGGTACATAATGTACCAAATTTACTCTTTGGTATTGTCTGTTATGACCAGCGAGTGCTGACTCAGACTTGGTTGGCATGTGTGGGAAATAGGATCTAGATCTGAGGTGCGAGGAGCTGATAAAGGAAGAGTTTGGTGAGAGGTGTAACTTTGATGTGGACGATGCAGTCCAGAAGCTTGAAAAGTTGGGGATCGTTGCCCGGGACACCATCGGAAGGTTCTACTGCATGGGGTTGAAGCGAGCCAACGAGATCATAGGGACCACCACGGAGGAGCTTGTCCTGAAGGCCAAACAGGGCGTCACGGCTTCTTGAATTTACCTTCTCTTCTCTTCTTGTCGACATTTGTTCGTTCTCTTGTTATCATTTCGCTTAAACTCTCAAGTCACTGTATGTGGTGGGTTCGGTTGTTTTCAAAATCCAAGGTGCAACAAATTCAGGAATTGTCTGTTATGATGATATATGAAGTATGAACCAATACAAGAACCAAAATTGAACAAGTGTTATGGCAGGCAAGTCTATGAACAATTACCCGTAATATCAGGCTACTGTAAGAACCAAAAAAATATATATATAAGCTGATAGAAAAAGTTGTTTACATTCGGGGAAGATGGATCTCTTGAAGGAGCAAGGATCTAGCTTTGTTAACGTTGGTGAACCAAAGGCAGATATGATCCTCAAGATCCTTGAGCTGATGGGTGAGGTTAAGGTGGCTCTTGCGAAGCTGTTTCAAAATCTCCTGAACTGAATACACGTCCCTCCCCCTCTCCAATCCAAGTCGAATGAAAAGCTTGTCGTACTCAATCCCCGTGTGCAGGCGGGAGACAAGACGGTCAATGGTGTCGAGATCTTTGTTGAGCACAAAAGTTCCCTTGGCAGCAGCATTGAGCTGAGAAATGTTAGTCAACTCCTTCTTCTTCAAACTGTGAGGTAGGTAGGGACTGCACAGGGGACCTGCAACAACAAGGGTTGGAAGTGCATGAGAGGCAATAACAGCCGCAGAAGCAGCAACGGCAACAACAAAAGACAGAAGGCAGAACCAGCTGTGGCATGGTGGAGGAGGCGGACCCGTGACCTAGACTTACGGAGACGGGCATCAAGCTTGTGCTTGAGCTGGGAGAAACATAACTGAGTCCCTCGAAAGCTGTGGGATTCCGGAGAGGATGAGAAAGGGTTGTCAAAAGTGTCGAGCTTGAGGAAAACGTCGAAAGCCAAGTTACAGAGGGACTCGTCAATGGCGTGGGAATCAGAGGGAAGGATGTGGAAGAGGTCAAAGAGGGGTGTGTAGAGGTGGCGAGCGCTGTGGACGCTTTGGTAAAGATTCAAGCAGAGGCGGGTGGCGTCTTCGCTGTGTTGGAAGTAAGCGGAGATGAGATGGGTGAGTGTAGTTGACTTGGCGTGGGCAAGAGATTCTTGGACGCATTCCTTGTTTGGTTGGAGAACTTGAGAGAGAAGCAGCTCGGTCCGATCACCACCGACGTCCGGTTGGATGAGCAGATGATGATGATGATGCTGGGAGTGGGAGTGGGAGGGATCAACCACGTGAACCCGTGAACGTATGTCGTGGTAGGATGGGGTCTGAAAAGCGTGAGCCAACTCGCGGCTGAGGTTAAAGTTGGGAGAGGGATTGGAAGCGTTTCTGGAAGAGGAGGCCACGGCCTCTGTAGACGAAGCTCGTTAAGAAAGGCATTTCAACAAACACGTGGTGTGCAAAAGAGAAAACGAAGAAAGAGTCGCATTGCGTTTGCATTGCATACATACCTAGGGGAGGATTGGGAAGAGGGTCGTCGCCTGGAGAGGCTGTGTCGAAGGAGAGACAGTGCAGCGGCATCTACATGAATAGGAAGCTGCTTGTTCAAGGCAGAACAACAAAGAGCGTTGAGAATGATATATGGCCAAAAGCAAGCAACTTACGTATCTCTCTACTTGTGCCTAATTAGCCCAACCCATTGTGTTTTGTTCGACTGTTTCGCTCGCTTGCCAAGGTAAAATAACCTCTTGTTTTGTAATTAGAGTCCATTAAAACTTGCTAATTACCTCTGGAGCTCAGCCCGAGGAAGGAAGTCGAGGGAGACAGAATCTTAATGAAAAATGGATTAAATTAAATTAATGAAGGAATTAAATAGAGCTTAATGTAGATAAGAAGATTAAAATAGAGATGGGAAAGGAACAAAACTCCTCGGCTGATTGCGTAAACAAAATATAGATAGATTCATTAGAGATAAGATGTGTTGCGTTTAAGGACGGTGTAAGAAGAGAAAGAGCTCGACGAAAGATTCTTGAATTGTTTTTCTTTTTTTCTTTCGACAACGGCGGTGGCGATGGCGGCCGCGGAATCTGGAGTCTCTTCCACTGGGAATCCTTCTCAAGTTAGTTCCCTTCTGCCCACTTGTAAATCGCGATGATTGGGAGAGAAAACCCTTAGAGCGTGTCGAGAAGCTAACCTGAACATAGTCATAATCACTTCCTCTTGTTGGCGCAGTTATACTAGTTCCTAGTCCAAACTCACGCACATCTTATGCTTACAATTCTTGTCCAAAACCAAAGCTCTTGACTTGTTTTCGCCGGTCTCACATATTGTTTGGCTTGACTGCTTTTTTTCTTCTTGTCTCCTTTAATCTTAAAAAAAAAAAAAAAGAAAGAAAACAAAAGCGCACTAAACTGTTCTTATATGCTTGTCACTTGGGAATTCTTCTTCCTACCTTTGTTTTTCTGCATCCATCTTCATTTCTCTGTTTTCCGGCATACTGAATTCTTCTTAATATCCATTCGTTCAGCTTTCTTGGGTGAATATCTCGAGGAATTTGATTTTGGCCTACCAGAGCTTTGGTGTAGTCTACGGCAGCCTCTGTACATCCCCTCTCTATGTGTATCGTAGCACATTTATCGGCACGTTGCGCAACCATCAGAACGAGGAAGCCGTATTTGGTGCATTCTCTTTAATTTTCTGGACCCTCACGCTGATTCCCCTTCTCAAGTACGTTCTTGTATTACTGAGTGCCCATGACAATGGAGAAGGTGCAGTCTGTTTTCCAACTTACATCTCTAGTCTTCTGCCATATTAAGAGCCTCGGGAAATAATTGAATCTCTTGTTTTTGTTTTTGCGTCTCCAGGGGGGACATTTGCTCTCTATTCGCTGCTTTGTAGGCATGCGAAGCTTAGCTTACTTCCTAACCAGCAAGCTGCTGATGAGGAGCTCTCAGCTTACAAGTGTGGTCCGTCCACGGATACTGGAACTTCATCCCCATTTACAAGAATCCTTGAAAAGCACAAAAGGCTGAGGACGGCGTTGCTGGTTGTTGTACTATTTGGAGCTGCTATGGTTATAGGAGACGGGGTTTTGACTCCAGCAATATCAGGTTAAGTGTTCCCATCTCCTACATATTTTATTCGGAGTTGTCGCTTTCATTGTTATCCTTTGTTTCTTTCTGTTGAAATCACCTTCTCCGAGAGCATCATTCTTTTTCTATTCACCAGTATATTTTTTGACCGAGACTATAAATCACTCCTGCTTTCTTGCAGTTCTGTCGTCCATGTCAGGTTTGCAAGCTACAGAGAAGAAATCGACTGATGGTATAATGCTGGTTGCCACCATGTGCTTGTATCACGTTTTGATTGTTGTTTGGTTCCATCTTGTGGACTTTTTTTTTTGTTTTGGAGGAATATCTGAAGGTCTTTACTTAAACCACTGCAGGGGAACTCCTGTTTCTTGCCTGTGTCATATTGGTTGGCCTGTTTGCTTTGCAACACTGTGGTACTCACAGGGTAGCTTTTATGTTTGCACCAATTGTGATCATCTGGCTTATTTCAATACTCTTGATCGGTTTATACAACATAATACACTGGAATCCGAAGATATTACATGCACTTTCCCCGCTTTATATCATCAAATTCTTCAGAGTGACTGGTCAAGATGGCTGGATTTCTCTTGGAGGGGTTCTTCTTTCTGTTACAGGTAGTTCTGGTTCTGGATCAAGACAGAAACATAAATTATTTGTTTTTTCTGTTTGTCTTGAATCCCGTATTTACTACGTCTTCTTCTTTTTACCTTGGAATGAACGTTCTTATGAGCTCGTTCGCTAAAGTGATTATCACTGTCTCATCAGGCACTGAAGCTATGTTTGCAAATCTTGGCCATTTCACCTCGGTCTCAATCAGAGTAAGTAGAGGTTTCAGGTCTAGTGGTGTACATCATTTCTTTCACCCACGACTTCTCTACAGCCTTGCTAGTTATCCTTCATTATATGTCCATGCTTGCGCAGCATTTTTTGGTTACAATTTACTTCTTTTTGTTCTGTGCAGCTTGCTTTCGCCGCTGTTGTGTACCCTTGTCTGGTTGTACAATACATGGGCCAGGCAGCTTTCTTGTCAAAGAACCTCAAGTCTATTCCAAACAGTTTTTACAATTCAATCCCAGGTTTGTTTAATCTGACACACCAGTGTTTAAAATTCACTTGCTTCCTTGAGGTAATGACAATTCTGGTCCTTCATGCAGATCCAGTTTTCTGGCCAGTCTTTGTCATTGCCACACTTGCAGCCATTGTTGGCAGTCTGGCTGTGATAACCGCTACGTTCTCAATAATCAAACAATGTCATGCTCTTGGGTGCTTCCCACGCGTCAAAGTAGTCCATACTTGGAAGCATGTATTTGGACAGATCTATATCCCAGAGATCAACTGGATCCTGATGATCCTGACTCTTGCAGTAGCTATAGGTTTTCGGGACACAACTTTGATTGGAAATGGCTATGGTAAACATTCTGTTCATTGGAATATACATTTTTCCCTCTCCAGGATCTGATTGCTTGATGGTGGTTTTTCTCGTTACTCACAGGACTCGCCTGCATAATAGTAATGTTCATCACAACGTTCCTCATGGCTCTTGTTATAGTTGTGGTTTGGCAGAAGAGTTGTTTTCTGGCGATTTTGTTCCTTGGAACTCTATGGATAGTCGAAGGTGTCTACCTCTCAGCAGCGCTCATGAAAGTTCCCCAGGGTGGTTGGGTACCTTTGGTGCTGGCGTTAATATTTATGACGGCCATGTATGTGTGGCACTATGGTACTCGCAGGAAATACAGCTTTGATCTTCATAACAAAGTATCACTGAAGTGGTTGCTGGGACTAGGACCTAGTCTTGGTATTGTCCGTGTGCCTGGAATAGGACTTGTATACTCAGAACTTGCAACGGGAGTCCCTGCAATCTTCTCTCACTTCGTCACCAACATCCCGGCATTCCATAAAGTTGTGGTGTTTGTTTGTGTGAAATCAGTTCCAGTGCCTCATGTTTTACCTGAAGAGCGCTTCCTCATTGGCCGTGTATGCCCAAAGCCTTATCGAATGTACAGGTGCATAGTGAGGTATGGGTACAAGGACATTCAACGGGAGGACGGGGACTTTGAGAATCAGGTGATACAGAGCATAGCGGAGTTCATCCAGATGGAAGCAGGCGAGCTCCAGTCCTCGGCTTCTGAGTCTCAGTCTTATGATGGGAGAATGGCGGTGTTAAGTAGCCACAAGAGTCTCTCCAACTCGATCATGACGGTTTCAGAGGTAGAGGAGTATGATTTTGCGACGATACAGAGCAGTAAATCCATGACCCTGCAGAGCTTGCGTTCAGTGTACGAGGATGAGTATCCGCAAGGGCAAGTGAGGAGGAGGCGTGTGAGGTTCGGGTTAATGCCGCCAAGTCGTGGGATGGAGTGCTCTGTGAGGGAAGAGCTGATGGATCTGATAGGGGCGAAAGAGGCAGGTGTTGCATATGTTATGGGTCACTCGTATGTCAAGTCGAGGAAATCCTCTTCCTGGTTGAAGAAGCTGACAATTGATATGGGCTACTCGTTTCTCAGGAAGAACTGCAGAGGCCCAGCTGTTGCACTCAACATTCCTCACATCAGCCTCATTGAAGTTGGCATGATTTACTATGTTTAAGCCAACCACCAAAAGAAAAAAAAAAGGCAACACTTGATTGATGATCACATGTTTTTAACTGTCCCCAAAAACAAGGGCATCAGGAAAGCCAGGCTGAAAACGAAGAAGATAAAAAATATTTTATATCATCCGTTCTATATCATTTGTTTCCCACCAAATGCTTTTGTGTATAATTTGATGATGAAATCTTATACAAACAATAATCAATCCCACCAAATGTTTCACGAACCGGCATCTCCTGAGACGGCAAAAACTGAACCACACATTCACTCAAATCAACAACTCTGGTTTTTGTTGTCCCAAGACGTCCAGGGATTCTGCCCTAAACTCCGACGTAGAAACTGAAACTCCCGTGTGATGTTCCGTTGCCTTAAGGCGCTGACTTGGCAATCCCACACTTGCTGGGATTCTAGTTTCTCTCCCCAACTTGAACCTTACCGAGTTCCGTACAATCCAATAGATCAGACAACTTGGAGTTGGTGGTGCTCCTCCGCCTCCCGTATGTAAACCAAACCACTCTCTTAAATCTTTTTAAGTATTAAGCCAATAAGCATCTCTCTCTCTCTCTCTCTCTCTCTCTCTCTCTTCATTATCCCCTTGTCTTTCATAAAAACATAAACCCCCTCTAGGATTCTTGTTAAAAATGACATCTTTGCTCCCAAATCCCGACCTGGTGTCTACTACACCCCTCGTCTTCAAGCTCTACTCCTTTCCTCCGCCACGGAGACTCTTCACTCTCAGGCGCTCCTCCTTCGCCCGAAACTCATCATCTCTTCCATTAGTCGCTGTTTCCTCTCTCTCCGCAACTGCCGCAAAACCTACCAGATGGAGAGAGAAGCAGGAGTTTGCGGAAAACGATTCAATTTCCCTCCTCAACGAGAGGATTCGGCGGGACCTCGGCAAGAGAGAGACCTCTCGGCCGGCCATGGACTCCGAGGAGGCCGACAAGTACATTCAGATGGTCAAGGAACAACAAGAGAGGGGTCTGCAGAAGCTCAAGGGCGTTAGGCAAGGTACAGAGACCGGTTCCGGCGGTGGTTTTAGCTACAAGGTTGACCCTTACAGTCTCCTTTCCGGTGATTATGTGGTGCACAAGAAAGTTGGGATTGGGCGTTTTGTTGGGATAAAGTTTGACGTCCCCAAGGATTCTTCAGAGCCCCTCGAATATGTCTTTATCGAGTATGCAGACGGCATGGCCAAGCTTCCCCTCAAGCAGGCCTCGCGTCTGCTCTACCGATACAATCTGTACGTCTTCTCTTGCAACTTGCAACCTCTTATTTCTCTCCAACTCACAGTTTTTGACTTGCTTTTTGTCTTTGTCTCTTCCAGTCCAAATGAGACCAAACGGCCTCGGACTTTGAGTCGGCTGAGTGACACTAGTGTTTGGGAAAGAAGAAAGACCAAAGGAAAAGTCGCAATTCAGAAAATGGTCGTTGACTTGATGGAGCTATATCTTCATAGGCTTAGACAGAAGAGATATCCCTATCCCAAAAACCCCATCATGGCTGATTTTGCGGCTCAATTTCCTTATAACGCTACACCTGACCAGAAGCAGGTATTGCTGCTATCTCTTACTTTTCATCATTTATATCCCTTCACTCAAGCTGACTTCTCCTTGCAGGCTTTCCTTGATGTCGACAAGGATTTGACAGAGAGAGAAACACCAATGGACCGATTGATCTGTGGAGACGTTGGTTTTGGTAAAACAGAGGTTGCTCTACGGGCCATCTTTTGTGTGGTCTCAGCTGGAAAACAAGCTATGGTTTTAGCACCGACAATTGTATTGGCGAAGCAACATTACGATGTAATCTCAGAGCGGTTTTCCTTGTATCCACAAATTAAAGTCGGCCTTTTAAGTCGGTTTCAGGTATTGAGATCACTGTTTCTCTTGATAAATTCTTCTATGAATGCTATACAGTTCAATGCATAGAAACCCTCTGCTGTCCGCTCAGTGTAAGTTGTTCATGATTTTACCTGGAATTGACCACAGTTACTCTTTCGACATCGTGCAGACCAAAGCCGAGAAGGAGGAGTATTTGGAAATGATAAAAAACGGAGATCTCAATATCATTGTAGGTACTCACTCACTTCTCGGAAGCCGTGTTGTGTACAGTAATCTAGGCCTCCTTGTGGTCGATGAGGAACAGGTTGTGTTCAAATTCGTTGAAAATTAGTTGTTTATGCCATGGTCTCTGAAGGAAACTTGGATTAGTTAATCAAAGTCTCTCTTTTACTCTACAGAGATTTGGGGTCAAGCAGAAAGAAAAGATTGCATCTTTCAAAACATCAGTTGATGTTCTTACTCTATCCGCTACACCCATACCAAGGACACTATACTTAGCTTTGACTGGATTCCGGGATGCCAGGTTGCAACAGGATGTGTTTCAGATTCTATGTTCACTGATAGAATTTGATGAGACTAATTACTCTTTGATGCTCCCTTGTTTTAGTTTAATCTCCACACCGCCTCCGGAGAGGATTCCAATAAAAACACATCTTTCATCATTCCGTAAGGAAAAGGTGATCGAAGCGATAAAAAATGAGCTAGATCGTGGTGGCCAAGTTTTCTACGTCCTGCCTCGGATTAAAGGTAGAATTGCATTATAAGCTTTGTCTTCTCTGTATTATCTCTTACTATGACTACCTTACCTCTGGTCTTAGACACAAGTTGAATCAGAGACCATGGAATTCTCTTTGTCATTGCCAGCCATAACATTTTTCCATTATCGAGTTACCACTTTATTTTTCCTTATCAGGGCTAGAGGAAGTGATGAATTTTCTTGAAGAAGCATTTCCAGATATTGACATTGCTATGGCACATGGAAAGGTATGTTGTGGCCTTTCTTAGCAGTACTAGACATTTGGATGCTCATTCATAAGATATAGCACATATTTAAGGAACCCTCCTAAGCAATGCTGTTGCCCCCTATCATTGATCATCCTGCTACGTTGATGTATACACAGCAATACTCAAAACAACTAGAGGAAACCATGGAGAGATTTGCGCAAGGAAAGATCAAAATCCTCATATGCACTAATATTGTTGAAAGCGGACTTGATATTCAAAATGCAAATACCATAATCATTCAGGATGTTCAACAATTTGGGCTCGCTCAGTTGTACCAGGTGTCAAAATTAATTGTTTGCTTTATTCTTTCATCATTGCTATTGTAGTTAGCCCTGGCAAAGAAAGGTGAGTAGCTTCTTATATATCTTCCTCTTATTGCTGTCAACAGTTGCGTGGAAGGGTTGGCCGGGCTGATAAGGAAGCTCATGCCTACCTGTTTTATCCTGATAAATCGCTGCTCTCTGATCAAGCACTGGTATTGGAGGCGTTTTTATTCGTTCTATTCCCTTATCAGACTCTGGAATGTAAAGTACAAGCTAACTATGCAGGAAAGGCTTAGTGCTCTTGAAGAGTGCCGTGAGCTTGGACAAGGTTTCCAACTTGCGGAGAGGGATATGGGTATAAGAGGTTTTGGGACAATCTTTGGTGAACAACAGACTGGGGATGTTGGTAACGTCGGCATCGATCTCTTCTTTGAAATGCTTTTTGAGAGTCTGTCCAAGGTATTTTATGTTTAACATCTCCTTCTACATTCTCTCTGACTTGACGAGCCTTTTGTTTTTTTTTTTGTTTTTTCTTTTTGCCTTTTGTTTTTAAATTGGGCTTGGTTATTGACTTGTGAGTCAATCTTTTTGGTTGTTTCCAGGTTGAGGAACTCCGTATATTTTCGGTTCCATATAACCTGGTGAAGGTATATTCCATTTTAAACTTGTAAGAAAGGTGTTGCATTTGACTAAAATAAAACAAGATCAAATATTTCCAAGTGTATTATGAGGGCCAGATATGATAGTTATTAGGTCCGTTGTTTGTGCAGGAGTAACTGGAGAAGTTCAAATTTATATTGAGTTGTTATGCCTCAAACTGTAGCACTTAACACGCTTCTAATTTCCTTTTTGCTCTCTATTCCAGATTGACATAGATATAAATCCTCGGCTTCCGTCGGAGTATGTAAATTACCTGGAAAATCCGATGGAGATCATCAATGAAGCTGAAAAAGCAGCTGAGAAAGATATGTGGAGTCTAATGCAATTCACAGAAAACCTGCGTCGCCAATATGGGAAAGAACCTTACTCCATGGAGATTATTTTAAAGAAGCTGTATGTGAGACGCATGGCGGCTGATCTTGGAGTTAACAGAATTTATGCATCAGGCAAGATAGTTGTCATGAAAACAAATATGAGTAAGAAGGTGTTCAATCTGATCAAAGATTCCATGACTTGTGACGTTTACCGAAGCTCCTTGATACACGAAGGAGATCAAATAATGGTATAATTATGAGCAAATTAGTAGTGTTGAGGTCTGGCTTGATTTTGCATGATCTATTTCATGCAACGCTTAAGATGAAAACTCAAGGGCTTTACACGATATGTGCAGGCAGAACTTCTGTTGGAGCTACCAAGAGAACAGTTACTGAACTGGATGTTCCAGTGCTTGTCAGAACTTCATGCATCACTTCCTGCTCTTATCAAATATTAGTCCCCAATTCACAGTTTTGCTTGCGTGTAGGATGTGTTGGAAGAAGAGGGACTCCTCAGCACTTGTGTTGCTGTGGAGTTGCCTTCATAGACTAGAACACAGAAGGAATAAAATCTGCATATAAGTATATACGAGGGGCAGCATTATAATCAGGTACGCACGTCTCAACCTGATCGCCTCAACTGTTGATCGCATCAACAACAAAGGCCTTTCCTAATCCTTCCTCTTTTATCCTGTTCCCGCTCCCAGCAGCTACTCACACTCAAATCGTTTGACGAGGTTTCTACCAGGGATGATGAAAACTGTCCATCTTTGGGATATATTCCATGCAGCAGGAAGCATGACTCTATCTGGCCATTTCTCACTATTAGATCATCAACCAATTACGAGTTAGTGAAGTTTTGGAAATCTATTGTATGTTGTATATTGTGGGTGTATAAAATAGTGTAAGAAGAACTGGTATAATGTAGTTTTCTGGGACTTCTTGTTGTTTGTAGCTACCAAAACCAGCCCTGAGCATGATCGTTTATGGCCCAGTAAAAAGCCCATTAAGATATCATTACTCCAAACATCTTTGCGGGCCCAGTTGTCTGATTCTGGTTCTTCTTCCTCTTCATCTTCCTCTTCCTAGCGAGCGATTGATCAACCCACCTTACGACCGGAAAATTCTTCTGTTTGCGAGCGAATACGTATTGGTTGATAATTTCGTTCTTTATTATCTCAATTTCTGTCCTGTAGTAGTGCAACTCTGGTTCCATGTGCTAGTTTTTTTTTTTCCTATCGTCGACGATGGTTTTGCTGATTGATCTTGTGCATATGTTTACAGAAGCTGGCTGGATTCTCTGAATAAATCATCTTACGATTATGAACGAGGAAGGCCGCATCCCGCACCTCCCTGGTTAGTTTGTACTCTGTACGATGTCTATATCTTATAGCAGTTTGTAATTCTTATTGCATCGCCTCTCCTTTTCTGACATGAGATCTGACACCTGATATCGCTGATCGATTCATCTTCTTTTTTCTTTCTTTAATCATCGTTGTTGTAGATGGTATCAAACAAAAGTCTATAGATCAAAGACCCCCTCTTCTCGGGGAGCCTATATGTGTTATCTGCGGTCGTTACGGTGAGTACATTTGTGACGAGAGCAATGATGACATCTGCAGCCTCCAGTGTAAGCAAACTGTCTTGACAAGGGTTGACAACACTAGAGTGTTTCCTGCCACAGATGAGTGTTTCTATGTTAGAGAACCAGGATCTTCTTTCACCGATGCTCAACTGCTTAGAAGCAAGCTTGACATTCATGTCCAAGGAGCACTAGTCCCTCCTCCTGTCTTGACTTTCAGTTCATGTGGCCTTCCTCCTAAGCTTCTTCTCAACTTAGAAACGGCTGGATATGACTTTCCCACTCCTATCCAGATGCAAGCAATTCCAGCTGCATTAAGCGGCAAAAGTCTGCTCGCTTCAGCAGACACAGGCTCCGGGAAGACGGCTTCATTTCTTGTTCCTATTGTTTCTCGTTGTACAAGGTATCGCTCTGAGCATCCCTCAGACCAAAAGAGCCCATTGGCTATGGTTTTGGCTCCGACTAGAGAGCTCTGCGTCCAAGTTGAATATCAGGCAAAGATGCTCGGAAAGGGACTGCCATTTAAGACTGCACTCGTTGTTGGTGGTGATCCCATGTCTGGACAACTCTACCGCATTCAGCAAGGTGTGGAATTAATCATTGGTACCCCAGGTCGGTTTGTGGACCTTCTAACAAAGCACGCCATCAAATTAGATAGTATTACGATGTTTGTGCTGGACGAGGTTGACTGCCTGCTTCAGAGAGGCTTCAGGGATCAGGTGATGCAGATATTTTGGGCCTTACCGCAACCACAGGTCTTGCTGTTCTCTGCCACACTCTCAAGAGAGGTGGAGAAGGTGGGAGGGTCTCTAGCGAAGGAAATGGTTTTGGTAACCATCGGTAAATCCAACAGACCTAACAAGGCTGTCAACCAATTAGCTATCTGGGTTGATGCAAAGCAAAAGAAACAGAAGCTCTTTGAGATACTTAGAAGTCAAAACCATTTCAAGCCCCCAGCTGTTGTCTATGTGAGTTCGAGAGTTGGAGCAGATCTCTTGGCTAATGCGATAACTGTGGTCACCGGAATAAAAGCTCTCTCGATCCATGGGGAGAAGCCAATGAAGGAGAGAAGAGATGTAATGGGTTCGTTTTTGGGTGGAGAGGTGCCTGTTCTTGTATCAACTGGAGTTCTAGGCCGAGGTGTTGACCTCTTGGTGGTAAGGCAGGTAATAGTGTTTGACATGCCTAATACCATCAAGGAGTACATACATGTAATTGGCAGGGCCTCTAGGATGGGGGACCAGGGCAGTGCCATTTTGTTTGTGAATGAGGACAGCAGAAATCTATTCCCTGATTTGGCTGCGGCTTTAAAAAGTTGTGGAGCAGCCATACCTAAGGAACTTATCAATTTTACATCCAAGGAAATGCACAACAAGAAGAGGAGGGTTGGTTACTGAATTGTATGACCTCGATCCGAATGTATATTTTAAAGAAAGAAATGAAGACTTGAGATGTTAAGGATATAACGAATACGGAAAAAGGGTTTACTTTGTTAAGATTCAGATGCGAATACGAAAGAAAATACATTGACTTATGGGTTGTTGAACGTTATTATTGGCTAACACAAAGTTGTATTTATTAAAAAGAAGGGAGATTGACTTATGGGTAGGACAAAAGAACGCGGTTTTGCTGGACTGTCGTAAGATACCCGCCAACCAACTGCCAATGTCTTAATTTAGTGGTGAAAAGAGCCGAACTTTATTCCACCCAAAATCCCTGAAGCCGTCAAAGAGAAGGTCGTCGACACCTACTTGCTTCTCTTCTCATCTCCGTCGCATCAGAAGGTATCATCTTTTCTGCTCTTTGGAATCCTTATCCTTTCCATCTGTTTTTAGATCCGATCATCATCCCGATGGTGGTTGATGATTGGCTCATTCCCAGATCCTATCGATTTGTGCATTTTTTCTCCTTACGTAACCAAATTTTCCACTTTCCTTTTATCCTTGCGCTCTCTCTTTCCGGTTTCATGTTCTCTGTCATCTTCTGGCGGCTCCGTTATCATGTCTTGATCTTCCAATTTTTCCTCACGAGGAACACATAGTTTAGGCCACGACCATTACTCAAATCGATGAAAATTTCCTTCATAATGTGGTCCAGCTTCCTATTGTAGGATTACAAGAGTTTCTTTCTTCACTTGTTGGAGCAAATACTACTTTACAAGAAAACATGGGAGACTCTTCGAGTTCAACCTCTTGGAGCAGTCAAAAGGATACAGAAGACGATCGGATGATTGCTCTTATGTTATCTGAAGAGTACACTAAACTAGATGGTGCAGTAGGCAGACGCCTCTCCAATCTTGCTCCCGTGCCTGTAAGTTTGGTTCTAGTCCCTTTCGTACAACTACAAATCACAACGAATGCAAGAGTATCGCTATAGATTTTATTGTACAGAATGAAACCTTTCTACATACTTAGCTCTCTCTCTCTCTCTCTCTCTCTCTCTCTCTCTCTCTCTCTCTCTCTCTCTCTCTCTCTCTTTATATATATATATATCTATCTATCTATATATATGTTCTTGTTTTGCAGCATGTTCCACGGATAAATTCTTATATTCCCAACTTAAATGATGCCACCTTGGATCACCAACGCCTTCTTCAAAGGTTTTTCTGATGATCTCTTCTTCTTCTTTTCTCAATCTACCTAGGACGCTCACTCGTTCTTGTGAATATGTTAGTGTAATCATTGTAAAATGTTTCCTCCTAGTCAGTCAAGCTGAGAGTAATCCCCTAGGATGCTTTCTTTCAGATTTAATTGTTAATTCCTTAAGTTTGATCGTCTTGCAGGCTAAATGTTTATGGTTTGTGTGAGTTGAAGGTCTCTGGTGATGGAAACTGCCAGGTGAATGGAGGCTTGATTTCAAACTATCTTCTTCATCTCATTTTTTTTCTTACTCTCTCTGCTCGGGTACTCCGTACTCGTATCTTATAGATAAATTTGAGTCTTTTCAGTTCCGAGCACTTTCTGACCAGTTGTACCGATCTTCAGAGTACCACAAGCAAGTTAGGGGAGAAGTTGTTAAACAGGTGACATGTCTTATGAGTAATGAGCGATGAACAGAAGCAGTGACCACCTATATGACTGTGTTTTATAATTAGCATTAATTGTTGAAGTTGGACAAATTCTTATGTGAGATTGATATCTGTTTGGAAATTAGGTGCACACATTCCTTTCCGTGCCTAGTTGTCCCATTGTTTTTTCTTGTTGCTGCAGCTCAAGGACAATCGTTCTATGTACGAAAGCTATGTTCCGATGAAATACAAACGATATTACAAAAGGATGGCAAAGTATGTTGTGCAAACATATTCATTTCTCATTAGTCTTCTAAGCTACTTTGTTTGATTTAGAAAGTTACATGAATGACAGACCTGGAGAATGGGGAGACCATGTTACCCTACAAGCTGCGGCAGATAGGGTAAATTTCCTTTTGTCTCAATATTCATAGCACTCACTACTTAAGATGTACCTAAATAATGATCTTTACTTTGTTCTCATATTACTTGCTCTAATTCTTAAGAAGACAATTCTGTTGCTTTATTCACAGTCTTCTTCATGTCCTTTTTTTTTTTTCCTTTTTCATATGGATATTGAAAGAGGTAACATTTACATATCCTCGAGAAGCCATGTAAAGTAACCACATACAGATTACATACCCTTTTCGCATTAGGTCCCAGTGCCTCTGAGAATAGCCAATAACTTTTAGTTATCCCTTTGTTCTTACAATTTTTCCATGTATCTCCCTTTGAACAGTTTGCAGCAAAGATATGCCTGCTGACATCCTTCAGAGACACTTGTTTCGTTGAAATTATGCCTCAGTACCAAGCACCCAAGCGCGGTGAGACTCGGAAAATATTTCTTTTCACATTCACTTGTCGCTACTTGATCTGAAGTAACATCTATGCAATCTTACAAAAGTTGTGGCTTTATTTCGTTGGAATGGTTCAGAGTTATGGTTAAGTTTCTGGTCAGAGGTGCATTATAACTCGTTATACGATATTCAAGGTTTGTTTTGTGTTTTGGAAATGTAACGAAATGGTGACTTTGTGCTTGAGAACACTGATTATGATCTTCCTTTCTGAGTGCAGCTGCTCCAGTTCAGCAGAAGCCAAAGAGAAAACATTGGTTGTTCTAGACCGTAGGCCTCTCACTCGTCTCAGAACTTCATCTTTTTCCTATATTTCTATCAGTTTTGTGCATAAGCCAACATTTGTATACGCCAGAACTCTTCTTTCTCACTTCTGTATACACACGAACTAGCTTTAGCTGTAACATTTCTAAGACGAATATGATAGAGTCATTGAGTCAAGTACCAACGCGAAGACAATATGACAGTTTTAATAACGTCGCGAATAGAAAATTACTCCAACAAGATAAATGTTTCAAGCTTTTCGAGCGAATTTGTATCCTTGAAGCTCAAAACTTTATTTTCCACGTTTTTTGTTTTGTTTTTGTTTTTAACTTCTTATTTCATTTATCATTGTAAAGACATTACAAAGTTTTTTTTTGGGTACAAGATGTTAAGATTCATACCAATAATAAGTTTTACATAATTGTGGAAACCACATTACAAGAGCTTATAAACGAAAAATGACAAGATATTAACTAATGGAACCTAGATGCTGGAAGTAACGCTCGAGCAGGGAAAGAGAAGAGATGACGCGCGCCGGGTAAGATAGCAGCCTGTCCCTCATCATACGGTCAACCGATGCTCGAAAAAACTGAAGAAGGGAGTGGAGACGTATGAGAAGATACGAGCATTGCGATCTTTTCCAGACTAGCTAGATGATGATTTGAAACAACAGTTTTAAGATAGTCCGAAGCTGAGATTTAACTGAAGCATTACTCTGAGAGATCCAATTTGCCACCTCTTGAAAACCTTGAGGAGGAGAAAGACCGAACAAGACGATCCTTGGTGGGTAGATGAGTCCAACATAACAAGCCAGGTGATGAAAGAGCACCGAGGGATTGCTTCTGTGAACCACACAATCTTATGCCAAGATACAAGTGGAGCTGAAACTCGTATATAATTCCAAGTTGCCTTGGAGGAGAATTCATTCACAAAAGATCTTGACGCACTGCGCCATAAATAGATATCACCACCTCTACTCGGATTAGGTAGTAGTAGTTAGAAGAACCTGTTAAGCATGAGCTTGGTCAGATCTTGCAGCCTGCAGATGCCAATCTCCATGCTCATTAGTAGCATGTAAAACACGACCCTGAAGACGAACATTACAAAGTTACTATGGAGAATATTTACTAGCTACAACATTGGAAGATTACATCACTAATTGAGTTGAATTCTATAAGAGCTAGTTCAACAGATCTCGATATATTTTTGAAAATTTTAGCTATCTTGTTATAAATTTATAATAGATAGGTACAGTATGAGTTCCTTTTTGTTCTAGTTAGAACGTGAAGTTCCTTTTTGTCATAGTTAGAACCTGAACTTTAATTACAGCAGAAAAACATAGGCAATATATATACATTACTAAGAATCAATGACCAACATGTCACACAGAAATAAACTTTGCAGTGTGCCAATTCTCAAGTGTGGACTAACATATCATCAAAAATAAGGACTCAATTGAGAGAGAGATGAGAACAAGGAAGAGTTAAAGTTGCCAAAGCTGTACAAGTATAACAAAATCGAGCAAAGAGAGAGAAACAAATTTCATGATAAGCAGGAAAATCAAATTTACCTAAAACATTCAAAAAATGAGTTTAAGGTTTAAAAGTTAATATTGAAATTAGTTAATATTAATCAAGATTTAGAATGTGATTTAATAAATATACAAATTTAAAGAATTAGGGTTAGGGCTTAGGGTTAGGCTGTAGGGCTTAGGGTTGCTTAGAGTTAAGGCTTAGGGTTTAGGGTTTAATGTATGAAATGTGATTAAATTAGTTTATATTAATCTAGAACTAGATTGTTACAAAGTATTTTAGAAATAGAATGATGGGGATAATTTTATTTATTTATTTAATTATTAAAAATATTAATTTTTTTTAAGGATTAATTCATTAATTTCGATATATTTTTAAATATTTTTAGTTACATTGTTCTAAAACATATATACATCTTACATAAATTTGGGAACTAGATTGCAGAAGTTTGGATTCCTATTTGTCTTTGATTATCCATGCTAATAAGGGTTAGCCATGATGTATTAGAGTTTTTTTAAAAAAAAATTAATAAATGAAAAATAATAAACCTGCAAAATAACATTCAAAACTAGTATAGTTAATATTGATCTAGTGTTAGAATGATATTAGGTCTTTTAGAAATATAATGAGGAGAATTAATTTTTTTAATTACATCATTTATTAATACAATTGAATTTTCATAGGGTTACTTCACTGGTTTAGAGGTATTTCAAAAATTTTAGGTATCTTGTTTTAATATATAAATACATCATGTATGGATATAGTAAACATACCGCAGATGTTTAGC